TTTATAGAGGCGCCGAGACGCCGGCCCCGCACTATCCCACATGTTAATTGGCTACATGGGCCGCATTTTTCTCTCAGCGTGACCGTTCTCGCTCACACGATGCCGGCTAATGCCATCGGAGCGGATGCTTCCGACCGACAAACATTGACATCCAATGTAACTGCCCTAGTTTTTGATTCGGTTAAAGCAAGGACAATGCCGGCTTACACGTTTCTGTGTTACACGTGAAAATAGTCACGATGACAGTTCAAGATTATATGAACCATTAACGAAAAGCAGCACATTTACATTTTCAGTTCTGAAGGAACGAAAGATTAATATCAAAATTTTGTAAAAAAATCAGTATCTTCCGGCAACCTGAGTTTTAACTTTCTACGGAAAACTTTTTATGGGTGCTGATGGCGACTGATCTTACGGTTACTAAAGCCTATAGGTAAAGGTCATTAGGTAAATGTCGCTAACCTGACCTGAAACCGCTGAGACAAAGTTGGAATCTCAATTTAATGTATAAGACTGAAAATCGAACGTATGACAATAGCACAAAAATAGCAGGATGTTATTACGAGTACCAATACGCGAGGACTATTACCAGTAATTACGCAGTTGGCGTTTTATCTGCCTGTCTTTGATCGTATTATTACCAAATTAAGATTAAACCAAACATAATAAAAATCAATGAAATAATTCGGTCCCAAATCATTTCGAGATATCGAGAATGTCAAAGGGAAGATCTTTCACCAAGTGGGTGATATTGCTTGGTAGACTAACGAGCGACGATTTGGATGTTGTAATTCGGAACTTGTATGGATGCAAGGCTGGGGAGCGATCCTCCTAAGAGGTTCCTGCGCGTAGGGTGCGCGTGGGGTATGTAGGTCCGCAGACGTTGGGAGCGGACCGGCGGCCCTAGGAATGGAAATTAGGGCCCTACTCCTAAATGACTCCTAGACTCTCGCCCAAGCGTCCGATCCCCCCCGAGGTCAAAACCCAGGTGAAGTAAGAGGATTACCGCGGCAAAAACTTCAAACAGACATCGCGGCTCACCCAAGGACGACCGGATGACGGAGCCTTCGAGGCTAATCGAAATTGCCCGACCAGTCAATCTTTTTTCAATGATTTTTTTTTGAACTCTTTTTATTTGAAATACTTGTAGATAATGTACAGTTACTTTCCGAAAAGGCTTTTGAGTTCCTCAGGATAGAAAAAGTCTTGACCGATCGTCATATATATATTTTTTATGTGAAGTAGAAATAGGCCATATTTTTAGTATCGAATTTAGCCCCGGTAATAACCGTTTGGCAATTGCAGAACTCTGGTAAAATGGTAAAAAGCTGCTGCACATTCTCTGATGAATTCTTAGATGACTTTAAAGAAAAACAACTCTCGAATTTTCGATAATGCCAACAATCAACATCATTTTAAGGCGCGAAAACATTTTGGCAAATAAAAAATTACTTACATAAAGTTTAAAAAAAGGAAGAAATGATANCCCCGGTAATAACCGTTTGGCAATTGCAGAACTCTGGTAAAATGGTAAAAAGCTGCTGCACATTCTCTGATGAATTCTTAGATGACTTTAAAGAAAAACAACTCTCGAATTTTCGATAATGCCAACAATCAACATCATTTTAAGGCGCGAAAACATTTTGGCAAATAAAAAATTACTTACATAAAGTTTAAAAAAAGGAAGAAATGATACTTCAGATATACTTAAAAGTTGAAGAAAAGAAGAAAATAATTGAAACTACAATTTTATCGAGTCGCCAAGGTGAATGAAAATAACAGGAATGAGACAAGAACGATGAGTCAATGTCAAATAGTGAGAACTGAATTGTTTTGTGGTATTGTTCGAGATATGCTTAGAGACTAAAGATCTGGAGCTGGGTATTTTTCAGCGAGAATTAGTTGCCAAACATCGACGTCATTGATTTAAAATTATATACATAGTCAGTTCAGGGAAAATTAATCATTAAGGTCTGCTCTATGTGCATTATTCCTGGATTTTAGAGCAATTCGTTCTCTCTATTACTCCGTAGCAGTGTGTGTCTTCTTCCTTTCTTTTTCTTATATTAAGTACTAGTCATAAGAACTGATGCAAGCTACCAATTTCGTATTAATTTCATTCCCGATCCTGTGGACCGAATGGTAAACAGTCTACGTGGCCCTAAACACGCCATTATGGATCCTCTCGATCCATTAACGGTGCTTTTAGGTACCTCAAGCACCGGTCACCGTCCTCGCCAAACCCGTCGCTTGCGACGAAGGGCTCAACGAGTAAATGAACCCATAGACACAGCCCACTGAGTTTCTCGCCGGATTTTCTCAGTGGATCGCGTTTCCGATTCGGTGGTAGATTCTGTGAAGCACTGCTCTTGCTCGGGCCAGTGCTATCAACACTCCGGTTTGAGCCCCGTGATCTCACATACACGTCAAGGCGAAGCTGAAATAGCCTCTCAAGTATATTAGCAAAGGTAGGAGAATAAAAAAAGTATCAATGCTATTCATGCTATTCCGTTTAATCCCACCTACAGATCCAGGCTGTGTTGTAGTGGTGCAGGCATAGATAAACGCTCAGATGGGCCGTGATCTCGGAAAATATGTATAAACATCCTAATATTAAATTTCAAAAACTATCATTGAATTTAATCTCGTGCCATGTATTCAATGAGTAAAACTAAACTGTGTTAAACTGAAAATACAACTTGGCCTCGTATACCAACGAGGCCGCTTACAAACCAGAGATCATGGTTGCATGGTTAATAATTATAACCAATGACCATGGATAATAATTCAGTATATCATTCTAATCTACACGAACATAGTGTCCAAGGTGGAGGTTTTATTAACTTACTTATCTCGAAATTAGAGACATAAGATCCAAGGGTCGTAAGGCCATCAAAACAATGCCAAAGAAAAACTGATTTCAAATTTCGAAATTAAGCATTTCAATGTCTCATTCATTGCCTTTAATATGTAATTAAGACAAGCTACCATTGAATGGACATATTAGGACAAGTTTTAGTTTAGTTTGCAATCGATACTTATTTTATATTTTCCAAAACGAACTTAAATTATTAAACATAACTACGTAGTATATTTTATTTAAGAAAATGTTTGACCGGTTCGTCTTCCGTGCGTTCGTGTTCAACCGTGTAAGTTGAAACTACATTATTATAGTTTTTTTTTTGCATTTGAAACCACAGTCGATCTTTTGCACGTCATTATTATTTTCACGGAGTTTAGCTCAACGAAGCGTAGCGTTATTTAATTAGTTTTGTATGAAAATGAGGTATTGCGAGTAAAATGGACAACAGGATATTGAAATCGAAAATAACAGTTCTGTAATTGTACATGCATTAAGTTAATGATAGTTTTTATTTTTATTTGGCGACAGTTTTATTTCAATTCTTTTCGTGTATTGGGCCTCACTAGTCGACTTGCATTGCACGACGATTTCTATGATATTCAAGTTGAGCGATCATATAATGGTTACAATACTATACTAAAATGGCATACCTACTTTTTTTAGTATAATGTTTCTTGGTTCTTAGTAGAGTGGGCGAGATATATTAATAAAGCTCTAAAATCAGAGTCGAGAAATGAAGTCGATTAATTAATTGATCAAAAGCTGACTAACATATTTCTTTGTATTTTTAATGATTCCTGGTTATTTTCAGAAATAATTTGGTGTTTGACTTTTCCCCGAAGAACTTTGATTTTAGTTGGAGATCGTTGTGCTACTTTAAGTTTTGTGCTATGAACGTGGCTGAGTATTTTCGTCAACCGACTGAAAATGTAGGCGGTTTTACGACGATTTTATCTAGTTTTGCGAATCTGCAAATCAAACATAATTACATTCAGTTTAGTTTTGAAATTCCTGTATCTAAGCGTTGACAGTATCCAACAGTAGATAGCAGACTTGTCGTAGATAGAAAGTCACGGACCCCATAGCATCACAACGTGAACGGCGACCTCTACCTTGAGATAGAAGTCGAAGCTTCAATTGCATTGTAAAATGGCTGACTGCATTGCGATCAAAATAGGCTGAATAGTGGTACCTATCAGAGTAACAGAGTACCATTAGTAAATTCTGGTTGGGAATCGCCCATTTTTCGGCGCATCCCATAATCGCCTTTTGCTATACCTTCCTACTTTAAAATACGGGGTGGTGCTATTCCATGACGATACTACATTGTCTGGAATAGTCATAGCAATATCAATAGGCTGTATTGGCCATAACTTCGAAAACCTAAGATAATACTATAATGTGTGAGATTCATGGCAAAAATAGATAGTAAAAGATTTCTTGTCGTCGAGATTATTTCTAAAAAAAAACCTCAATTTCACTTTCGCATCTGTTCCGATGGAAAGTTGCCTTCCCACGTGCCTAAGGTTTCAATTAGATCGTTTGATTGTTTGTTCTCGTAATGAATAATAATGTATCTCGTACATTCTACGAGCCTCAACCTCCGCGGCACTGATTAGCATTCACCCTTGTTACATTAAATTAATGAACAGGTAGGTCCCTGTTGGCGTGAAAACTGTATCGTTTGCCAGTTTATATACAAGCTTGTCTGATGGACGATGACACCTACTCCGACACTCGGTGCTCGCCAACGTTTAATATCCGAGAGAGCTCTTCCAAATTCGCAAAATTGCGGTGATTCCCGAAATTTGGGATATGTTTTTTTTTATTATTTTTTTGCTCGTGAAGAAAAATATTAAGCGTGTTTCGCCATGTGTTTTGAACAGAGCGCGTACGATTACATTTTTTTAATGTTTTTTTTAAAAGACATGTTTTTAAATCGTGTGTAGATAATTCGTAATCTGATCACGAACTCTCACTCAAGGCAGATATTTGAGTTCATGCAATGAATAAATTGTAAACTTTTCGTAAGAATCAACAATTAACGAACACTGTTTATTTTATCCTTTCCTTTATAAATAATTTATGAATGAATAATTTATTCTATGTAAGTGAATGTCTAACTTGTTTGTTGCAGTCACAATGGTAGTGGGCGAAAATAAGCGCACCGCCAATATCATGGACGGGATCGAAAACACCGGCGACGTGCGTATGCACGACCACCGGCTGAGGCTCAAACAAAGGTAACTGACACATAGTACATATGTATATAGTTTAAAGAAATATTTCCTGAAAACTATAGCGGTCGGACCCCCGAGTACGCCTACCCGTCCTCGTTATGAGGCAAAACTCTGGGCCAAAAGAAATCTGACACAAAAAATTCGGCAAACGTATATAAGTATTTTACTTTTATAGATTAAAACGTGAACGCCGTTGCCAGCCTTGAGTGGCCGAAATCTCAGTTCCATTAAGTCAGCGACCCTTCTGCCCCTCAGACCGGAACACATGATGGCCAAATTTTCTTAAGAGTTGTGTTAATGTCCAGATAGGACATTCTGAGTAGGAGTGAAGATTGTAGAATGTACTTAAAACAAGGAGGCCATAGTCGCGGCCTCTGGCGAGATTAGCTAATAAATATTGTTTTCCGTTTATGTTAAAGTGGCCTCTTAGTATGTTATCTTGTATATTTTGAACTAATTTTTAATTCTTATGAAATCAAAATGCTATCAGATTTCCACTACGATTTACTTTCTAAACTCAACACAACTTTGGCCAATAACTAAGCGTTGTAGCAATAAAATAACGCTGTCTATTAAAGTGTAGGTGGTAAAATAATGATACCTGTAAATTATTTTCGCCTCAAATAGAACTATTTACATTCAGCGGGATTTGTTTGCATTGAAAGTAAGACACTCGTGCAATCGATGAATAGGAGACGACGCCGCCGTCGGCCTTTTTAAACAATATTATTTTAGAAGCACACCGAGCTACGCCTCGGCGTTTGTGTGGATACGTGATGGCAGTGACGTCATCAACCAATGACCGACATTAGGGTGTCGGATCATTCACCTTCCTACACTCGATTTTTCGGAAGTCGTAGGAGGAAAGGTTGATTGTTACATCATTTTAGATTTTAACTTGGGTGTCAATTGAATATTGATTCGTATGTTTGATACTGACTACTATATTCGATAAATTTAGAAGCGGAAATGAAATAATCTACGTTTTCACGAAAATTACGAAAATATTTATCGGTCGTCATTTTTAAAAATAAAATGGTATATGTAAAATAAAACTTTTGGGCCCGGTCTGTACACTTTCCGACTACGTGTCTGTCAATTCAGTGCTCCCGTTTTTGTAGATATTTTCGTGCTCAACATAATGTCGAAATGGTAACATGACCTGAAATATCACAACAGAAAAGTTTTGTAAATCAATCATACCTACATAGTCTTTGATTAATGTCTGACGGCTGGTGAATGTGACCCTGTGTTTGTATGTTACCAAATTCCTGATTTACAATAGCCATGCGATATCAGTTTGTGCGCGTGGGTAAAGTTCGATGTTATTTTTTTGGTACAATTCATACGAGTTTTTGATTTAAAAGCCCTAAGCTAGAACCTAGCTAGGTTCTCTTCATTTCTATTAGGTGCACAGAGGTGTATTCCAAGTACCCTAAAGATGCTAACTCCGATCGAGAATCAAAGTGTATGCCTTACACCACCAGTCGGGTCACTAACCAACATAGACCAACGAGGTGATGTAGTATTTAGGCATCACCGCAGCTTACGCAAAGAAGATTACTTAACGAAAAATCTTCTCTTTGCAAAAAAAAAAAACAAACTTTCACGTTCCTTATAGTCTTAATGTGAAGTCATGCGGGTAGGTATGACTGTTCTGTTGGTATCTGCTGCAATTACATTACGGTTTGAATACGGCAATCTTTCTAAATACACTTCAAATTACATATTATTTCTGCTCGCGTCTTAAAAATAAGACTTCGATTAGATCTTGAGGTTCACTTGACATCTGGAACGTTTCTCCCTAATATCAGTATTCATAAGACGATGCAAAGTTGCAACAATAACTCTCATTTTACATTCGAATTGTGTATTAAGAGAACTAAGATAAATTTTCAAATAAAAAACGCTTTGAGTTCGTAACATAAAGCCGTGTCAGGAAAACGTGTGAATACGTTAGCATGACGCATTGATTTTCTTAAATGTTTTGAACCTCGACGCTAATCTTTCATGTAAACTGTACAGTTTTAGTCGCGATGACTTTATATATTAGCGTTCAAATCGATTTAATTTAGCAAGTCCTTTTCATTTCGTTGCTGATTCATAATACTATTGAGTATATTGTTTGATATGTATGCCTGATACTACCAAGTGCGTTTGCTGCATAGTAGACAGCAAGTACCAAAGTGTAATAATAGTTACAATCCTTAATGTACTTAATAGTTAAGCACGTGTTATTAGCGAATACGCCGTTTGCTCGTTATGTGCTAAAAATACCTTAAATACGATATAATCAGGAATAGACATCTATATGTTTACTAGCATATACTAGCCAACGTACAAGCTTAAACGCAACTGTGAGCAATGACGAGGGCTGCACTGTACAAACATATACGACAAAAAAAACCACACACACACACAAACACACACACGCACACACACACACACACACACACACACTTATTGGTATGCGCCTGATCTAAGACCTTCTGCAGTATGAGCATAAGCGCGAAAGATTTCTTTGACGCAAGATTTTTTTCTTGGAAATCAAAAAGAGAAATACCGAAATATTTCTGGAAACTTCCCTTATTCATATTTACGGCTAACTTTACGTAATGTATCAAGTCAAAAGTTGTTCTTAAACCTAAATGTGTTCCACAGATTTGACATAGTAAGAAAATTAGGACAAGGCACGTACGGCAAGGTGCAGCTCGGTATCAACAAGAAGACCGGTCAGGAAGTGGCCATTAAGACAATAAAGAAATGCAAGATCGAATCTGAAGCGGATCTGATTCGTATAAGAAGAGAAGTACAGATCATGTCGTCGGTCAGACATCCAAACATTGTACATATCTATGAAGGTACGGGAATGTTATTTTATTGGTCGTAGAACATTCCGCCACAGATTGTTATTGTATGAAGCGTTTTATTTAACAGTTCTTTACCTGTGGCTGATTTAATCATATTTTAGCGACGACTAGCGCGGATCGGAAGTACAATCTGATTTAGAAGATTAGACCTTATTCAAATAGAGCAGTAGCGTACAGTTTATGTCAATATCAGTTAGGACATTTACAATAGTTTCTTAGAATTGAGGGATTGCTCGTGGCTCAGGGGCTCTTGCAGTTTCACCAAGAGTTTTTTAGCTTTTCTGAATCACATTAGGTGAACAATTAGCATACATATTCACTTTCATTCTAAAAAGATTATGAAAATGTAAAACTATAGTGTATGGATTAATTCTAAGCACAAAAATAAAGACAGTAAGAATCGTATGCTTCTTAGAATTCACGCGACTGATGCTGTGTTTACGACTCGTTAAGTGCACTACGGTTCAAAGAACTTTATCAAGGAGGATTGGATATTTTTATTACAAACAAATTTTCACCTAAGCCACGCTTCCGATTCAATAGATTATATTGTTACTATTGTTTGGATAGAAGTTTTTTCGGGATATAAAAAAGGGCATTTTAAAAGTACTGCAAATGTATTTTTTTCTTATGCTGATAGCCTTGAGAGGCTATTTCAGCTTCGCCCTAACGTTTGTAGGTGAGCTCGCGGGGCTCAACCGGAGTGTTGCTAACACTGACCCTAGCAAGATCAGTGCTTCGCAGAATCTACCACCGGATTGGAAACGCGACCCACTGAGAAGATCCGGCGAGAAACTCAGTGGGCTACGTCTGTCGTCAATTTCTATAATAACCTAAACTTTCGGCGTATGATTCTGCTATGAAATTGTTATTTTTAGTAAAAGAAATAGAACGGTCGATTTAATTTGAAATTAGAGCTTTATATTTAGGTGCATTAACATTCCAAATTTTGTCAAGTCTGGAACTATTATTTGCATATTGATTGGTGATATGTGTAAATTTAATCATTTGTGAATCACGCCTGAGGTTTTTGTCGGTTTATTGACCTTACGATCAGTTACTTGTATTCAAATACCACAGATCATAGATATGATCTGTGGCAAATACCAACCAAATAATCTCAAAAAAATCACATCACTCTCCGCGCTGCCACCTTTATTTCACTAAACGTTATTTATTAGCAGAATTGTGTGGCACATTTTGTAGGCCCGCATGGGCTAGTGCCTACCGTCTCATTGCCTTATTATATTACTGTAGTGATATGCAGCACAGAACACAACACTTGGTATCGAGTGATCAACGTGACATTGATGGAGAAATTGAAATGTGAATGACGTCACCCATCTATAAACATGAGATTGAAGTCTCTAATCTATAATTTAACTGATGAACCACCCTTCAATTTGGAAAAAATTATCGTATTGTGGGGCAGTTCGTATCTAGGGATGCTAGCGTACTGTTTGAAATCCTACCACAGGTATTAATATTATATTTTTGTTGTTGTTACTGTTTCCTTTGAGGCTATTTGAACTGTGATTCGAATTTTTATTTGAATTTTTTTTTTTTTTATCTCATTCAGCTTGAATGTAACGCGGCCTTAAGTAAAATTAATCCTTGACATTTACAGTATTCGAAAACAGTGAAAAAATGATCCTAGTGATGGAATACTGTTCCGGTGGCGAACTGTACGATTATCTCAGTCAGAGGAAAGTGTTACAAGAGGATGAAGCCCGAAGGTGTGTGACATTCTTTAATAAGTAAATGCTTGTGAAAAACTGTTAGTTCTACTAGTTATTGGGATATATTTCAGCAAATTAAGTTAAACTAGTTTCTCGGTTTTCCGGATATAATATCATTTCAGATACAGATCCTTCAATAAAGATCATATTGACTTATATGTCGCAATATCCACCCACTGCTGGCAGCTATGTTGTTGTCTGCACTGACAACGCCTAAAAGCCGTGATCTTCTTGTCTTATGATTATTATTATTGTTTATAATTTTTCTTTTCTTTAACAGGCTTTTCAGACAAATCGCCACTGCGGTGTATTACTGTCACATTCACAAAATCTGTCATAGAGATTTGAAATTAGAAAACGTATTGTTAGACGATACTGGAAGCGCTAAGGTACGTCCAGAGTAATCGTATTTGATTATTTTTATTGCCGTTTAGGCAGACGAGCATACGGCCCATCTGATGGTGAGTGGTTACCGTCGCTCATGGACGTTAGCAATGCCAAGGGCAGAGCCAAGCCGCTGCCTACCGTAGCATAACCCACGATTTTTCTCATATTGTTTCGAATATTTAGTCGGTTGTGTATTGTGAGTAGCTCAGAAACAAATGAATGAGTGAATCTGAGTGTTTGGGTTCTCGTCGTGATTCTGCTCTTTATTCATTTTACGATTCGTTAAATTATTTCAGATCGCGGACTTTGGTTTGTCGAACGTTTTCAAAGAAACGTCTCTGCTGTCCACGTTCTGCGGGTCACCTCTGTACGCGTCTCCTGAAATCGTCAAAGGAACACCTTATATCGGGCCCGAGGTAACATTTCGTTCTTAACGCGATAAACGAGCTATAATTATTTTTTTATTGCTTAGATGGGTGGACGATCTCACAGCCCACCTGGTGTTAAGTGGTTACTGGAGCCCATAGACATCCACAATGTAAATGCGCCACCCTCCTTGAGATATAAGTTCTAAGGTCTCAAGTAGAGTCATAACGGCTGCCCCACCCTTCAAATCGCAACTCATTACTGCTTCACGACAGAAATAGGCAGGGTGGTGGTACCCACCCGTGCGGACTCACAAGAGGTCCTGCTACCAGTAATTACGCAAATTATAATTTTGCGGGTTTGATTTTTATTACACGATGTTATTCCTTCACCGTGGAAAGCAATCGTGAAAAATTGGTACCCGCCTAAGATTCGAATACCGGTGCATCGCTCAACACGAATGCACCAGACGTCTTATCCGTTAGGCCACGACGACTTCAAAATGACTTTCCATGTATGTTGGCATAGTATTATATGACAAATCGCGGCTTTACATTCCGAAAACATATTTAAAATCCCGTCTGAAATACGGAACCGGGCTAGTGTTATCAAGGTCACCAGGTTAGAACCCCGTGAGCTATTCGTTCAGTGAATCTAGTATAATCCCTCGAGGTCACTAGAATAGGTAGGAAAAAAACCGCAGCAGTAGCAGCTAGTAACGTGACCTTTTTAGTGGTAATTTATGGGATGCTATATCACGCTGGGAGATGAGGGCGATTAAATACGTATCAAGTTCAATCCCAATCGAAACAGAACTTGGAATCCACACGTTTCCCAACTATGTCCTGTCCTAATATCGTGAAAACCGTACATTTCGTCGTCTTCCCTCTAAAATATATTTTAATTCACTAGATTCAGATTAGAGCTACTAACGCTCTTTTATAATTCTAATAAAATCACAACCTACGTGAAAACGTGAACACAAAAATAGAATCGATGACAAACTTTGAATATTTTCCAAAAGTATTCTTGATGTACAGATAAATATCATTTCATAAATTAATTTTGTCGGATAGTTTGTAATTAAGAAACTAATATTTATTCGGCTTCCGCGAGTCGGAGGCATGTTTAAAAATTACTTTCACGATTGAATTGAAATGAAGTCTGAAATAATAAATGCGATATTCAACCGTAAAATGAGTTTTAAATAAAAATACGTCGCACCTTTAGAATTAATTGTTGCGTGGTTTAATTCAAAATTCTTGTTTTTCGGTAAACGCTAAAAATATAATTGAAGAATTATAATTTTGCTGTTTAGATTTTAATACTTTAAGCCTTAAAGCGCATACCTTAAAGTTTAAGGGTAATACGCTTGAGTTGAAAAAGATGGAAATTGTACTTTTGACCTATTCTAAATAAAATTAAATTTTTTATTTAATTTTTTTTATTTTATAAACTCTTAAAATAGATGTTTATAAGTCGTTGAAAGTATAAAACTTATTTTCTTATATTTTTTAGTTAAGCCACTTCAATTCTAAAGGTACATTTCTTTATTACAACGCTCGAAGCAGTCAGATGACTTTAATAACCTTATTATCACATATTTACAATTTGTCCTGTTCAATCAATGGTACTAATATATACAGGGGTATTAAACATGATGGTGACGTCATTAATGTTAGATAGCAGCTTCGCGCATTAAAGCAATAAAAATAATAATAAGGGATATATTTTTAAGATCATTCGGTATATTGGTCCGACGTATAAATCAATCCTGTGTTTGTTGATCAGGTGGATTGCTGGTCTCTAGGCGTTCTCCTGTACACTCTAGTCTACGGAGCCATGCCGTTCGATGGCTCCAACTTCAAGCGGCTGGTCAGGCAAATCAGTAACGGAGACTATTACGAGCCCAGGAATCCTTCGAGTAAGTATCGTTTTATTTCATTATCAAAGGGAGGTTAATATTACGGTCAGTTGGATAGGGGCGAAACTGTTTTAGACGTAGCCAGTCTAAGAATCGGAATCGGTATCGTAATGGATAATCTGTGGTCGTCAGGTGAATCTGTGTCGAGTTGACTTTTTGGCGGAAACGCGAGGAGTGAGGTTGTGTGTTTTGTTTTATTTTGTCTATTTAGTGTTTCTACAGGTTTAAATGTGTAATAACGGTGGTTTATTAACTGTTTAAAATCTGTGAAAGTGCACAAATGTAGGAAAATGAAACAAAACCGCTGGACGTAACTTCTCGGGATCCTCCAAAAAGTCCACTGAAAAAATCTTAGTAAATGACCACCATTTTACTGATATTATATTTCATCCCATATCATCTCATTTCATTTCATTTAATTTCATCCCAGTTGATTAATGTCTCAAATTAATCATCTTCATTTCATTTCACTTCATAATATAATTTTTCATAAATATAAGAATATAAATTAAAATAAGACATGACTTAAAGGTCTTAGTTACCAGGTCATAAAATATAACATTACAAACTACTAGAATTATTGGTAATATCATACACCCTAAGTACTAGCGTCTTCCCGCGAACCAATTTATACTCAGTTCCAATTTCAAATTGGTCTGAGGTGTATATAGGCGTTTTCTCTATGATTTATATGCGGTTAGGGTGTTACAAATTTAAAAGGTCGAAAACGAATTTGTCACATCAGAACCCTTGATCCGAAAAAGAACTGAGCTATCAAGAAGTTCGTTAATATCGAATTGAATAGTTTCTGAGCTCAAATTTTCGTAATATATCAGAAACTAGATTTTGTTTCATAAACGCTAAATATGTTATTTAGAAAGCATGAAACCCATCGAATTTTCTCTGCATAAACAGTATCACTCTTTCTGATCCAAAAAGTACCATTGGAGATCCGCTGAGACGTAAAATCACGAAACGGCGAACGCACTATTGTATTTATTATAGTAGATATAATCGGTGTTGCCCGGGCCATGACGTTTACCATGATACAAAGTGTTTTGTGTAAATACATGTTATCAATAACATTTTATCTAAACTTTAGTTTTATAAAAGTATATAGTTTACATAGATTAGTATTATTGATTTCAAGTAGCGATTTGTAACGTTATATGGTTTCATTCAGGTGCCTCGCCCTTAATCCGCGATATGCTGACGGTCGATCCTTTGAAACGTGCTGACATCGCCTACATATGTGATCATCCGTAAGTAATACAATTAATTTCATTTTATATGTAGTAAAAAAGTGTACGTGGAGGGACGAGTGACGTCACTAGTGTGTTCAATAGAACACTAGTAAGATGAATGCCGAATAGATGGCAAGTTTAAAAATCATTATAATTACATATGTTTTAATATAATATACAGGTACATATACATTCATTGTACTGTCTAAGGCTACCTACGTCACAGGTGCGACAGTACGAATGCGAATGAGTAGGATGGAATACAATCAATGAAGTTCAATGAACTAATGAATGGATTGTAAAATAATGTGTCCATGATTTAAGTGAGATTTTTTACAATAAAAAAATTATAATAACTTTGCTATTTAAAGGTATTATGAGATTCTTTCGCCACACATATGATAATAATGTCTTCCCTAATATCGTTTATTCGCATTAAAAGTGTATGATTTCGAAATTGAGTTAATATGCGAAATCATTTAGTATCACCAGTGTTTTTCTCATAAATACTGTCAAAAGAACGTAGTTTTTTTTTTTTTACCTATATTTTGACTACTATTAACAAAATTAATACATAATTTTATCTTACTTGAAAAGACATTTAATGTAACTGGTAAAAAATAAAAAATAAATATTGCAAAGATGATTAATATTAAAAATATCACATGTTAAAACTTTAAAACACTCTCCTGTAAAATTAGTCATTTTTGAGATTATACAGTTTTAATGCGAGAAGACGATATGTCCTTAAAGTTTTTGTACTAGTTAAAAAATAATGGTGTATAATAAATCAACTTACGTCACCTGATCTTGTCTTGACCTTCTGTCGCATTGTGCATTTTCATTGAGCTATTTTCATATTGATAACCAACCCGGTCATCGTTTTCGTCGAACCCGTCGCTTGTGACGAAGGGCTCGACGAGTAAATTAACGCTCATATACGCCCACTAAGTTTCTCGCTGGATCTTTTCAGTGGGTCGCGTTTCCGATCCGGTGGTAGATTCTGCGAAGCACGGCTCTTGCTAGGGTTCGTGTTAGCAAGGTCGTCAGGTTTGAGCCCCGTGAGCTCACCTACTAGTTAGGGCGACGCTGAAATAGCCTCACAAGGCTATCAGCTTAGGTAGGAAAAAAAGGAAAGAAAAAGATGAACAATTGTTGGACAGGTGGGTGAACACTGGCTGCGAGACGTCATGCCTGGAGATGGCTGAAGCGCTAGCCGCCGAAACTCCAGTGCGTTTGGATCTGCTGCTCTCGCTGGCTCCGGCTGCTCCTTCTAACTCCAACTCTGTTATGGTTCCGGCTGAGGTATCACAGCTATTCATATATCACTACATAGTATAAAACAAAGTCGCTTTCTCTTGCCCTTATATCCCTATATCCCTATGTATGCTTAAATCTTTAAAACTACGCAACAAATTTCGAAGCGGTTTTTTTAGTAGATAGAGTGATTGAAGAGAATGGTTTATATGTATAATAACATTCATTAAATAGTTGACAAATCAATAATAAATTACAGTTGCCGAAGCGAAGCGAGGGCGGGTCGCTAGTTTATTATGTATTGAACACAAAGGTAATGGCTACTGACTGACCCCTAGGCAATAGGAAAAATAATACACTCATTTCATACACTGCTGACTACTTTCAGACTAATTTATTTTTATGTGTCAGGCCGAAATGGGTCCGGAAGAGAGCTGCACCGACCTGACAAGTTCAACGTCGATGGCCCTAGAGCCCAGCAATTCCGCTGAAAAGAGAATACTTGAATTAGTTGCAGGTAGAAGATTCTTTATAGAAACTCTTAAAGATTTTAATGCTAAGCTTTAAGCTGTTGGATGTGGTATTATTTCTAAACATTTGACTGTACAGTACCCGGCGATAAATATTGCACATCGACTTTTCGAAAGAGACAATCGGCATTGTAGAGCGTCATCTCCGTCGCACTAAACACTAGCAGTCCGGTATCCATTAGGACCTTGAACAGCCACTGAGAAACGTCACATAGGTAGTGTGTGACAGAGATAACGCTCTACGAAAAAAAAGAAAACAAAAGAGGGACTTTAATATAGAAATAACCTTATAACTTTTTCTTCTGGATTGGGTATTTGAATGAGCCGACAATAATGAAGCACCAGCATGTGAGGTCTGTGTCTACCAGAAATTCGGCGCGCATTAAAGTTTAATAGTCGATATATCTGTATTATATAATGTTATATAACACAGGTACAATGTAAGTAGCGTTACCTAAACATTGAGACATGAAGTTGTTGAAGTCTCAATTATACTATGTAACGGATGTCCTATTCGTAATAGATATAGTCTTCATGGTACCTAAAAGTGTTTTGTTAGTTAGATACCATATGATCGAAATTCAACCTTTATTTATTTATTTAATTATGTTATTTAATTTACTTAATTTTGCCTCTTGGTCTATATATTAAATAAATAAGAATAATAATACCATTCGAAATCATTCATAAAATTTAGTATCTCTTGAGTGGTTAGTAAATAAGTGCAGTCCAAATGAGATGTTAATATGTTTGTAACGATGTAGAGGGCGGTGAAGACGCAATAAAACCATCGCCGACAAGAACAATAGTTTCTGCAGGGGAGAACAAACGGAAATTGGAGCTCGCCATGTCGGCTAGTGGACTACAGCGGAAGAAAGAGAGAGTGCCCAGGTAAATATACTGTATGGAATAATTATTATCAATTAACGAAAAATATTTATTCGCGCTTCATTTACATCTTTAAATGATTCTGGTCCACCTCATTACTGTTTGGAAAATAACTATAGATATATTATAGTTGCCGATAAGAGCGCCCAATATATTTAATGTTGAGCATTTATGTTGATTTTGTATTGGTGTTACAATAAAGCAAACTCTACTCNAAATATACTTTATGGAATAATTATTATCAATTAACGAAAAATATTTATTCGCGCTTCATTTACATCTTTAAATGATTCTGGTCCACCTCATTACTGTTTGGAAAATAACTATAGATATATTATAGTTGCCGATAAGAGCGCCCAATATATTTAATGTTGAGCATTTATGTTGATTTTGTATTGGTGTTACAATAAAGCAAACTCTACTCTAATTACAAATCGCTGGTAATTCAGATTTAAAAAAAAATCCGAAATGAATTTCCTGACCTTCTAAGACAGGACAAATGAAAAGATACGATTCTATAGGGCAGCGGCTCTCAACCTTTTATACTAAACGACGCACTAAGAGTCTTTCACCTAATATAAGAGTTCTTTTTTGTCTCAAACTATAAAACTTGGGATGTTCTGTGGTATTCCCCGAGCTCAATGTCGTTTCTTTCTTCAAACGAGACCTTAAGTATTGTAGGACACGTGTTACAAACCATTACCATCGTTCAATGACCTTTGTACGATAACTAGTGATCTTTTAAATAATGCTGTACACTATAATCAAAGTACTGATTATGAATTTCTCAAAGTTGGCAGAATTTACTGACTATTCTTACCACATCCATAAGATACACCGTGTGGTGACTTTAAAAGGTAATATAGAAGGTTGTTATTGTGCTCACAGCGCGGCAAGTATCGCGCCCCCCGGCGGCTCTGTGCCGGAGGAGAGCCCCGAGGCGCAGGACGCGGCCACCACGCCAACACCCCCCGACGAACCACCCCCACTCCTCGCTGACGAGGTAAATAATTTTTTGTATATAAAACGATCAATTAAAATTTTGTCGGTTTTTCCCTCAACCAGCTGTCACTTTTGAGCTGAGTTCAGCGCTGCATCCGCACCCGACTCGTTCAGGAATAATTATAAAACATAAATTAACCAGGTCGTGTAATAAAAATCAAACCCGCAAAATTATAATTTACGTAATTACTGGTGGTAGGACCTCTTGTGAGTGCGCGCGGGTAGGTACCACCACCCTGCCTATTTCTGCCGTGAAACAGTAATGCGTTTCGGTTTGAAGGGTGGGGCAGCCGTTGTAACTATACTGAGATCTTAGAACTTATATCTCAAGGTGGATGGCGCATTTACGTTGTAGATGCCTATGGGCTTCAGTTACCACTTAACACCAGGTGGGCTGTGAGCTTGTCAAAAAAAAACTTATGTTTTCAGTCGGTACAACCATCGCTGAAGTCTTCGGCCACCATGACGATAACGCCCACACCAGTAGAGCTCATAAAAGACCTGACCAAGGAGATCATCAGGGACGCTCCGAAAGACGAAGAGAAAGACAAGTCTGAGGCGAGGCCACGGGTCGTCATCAAGAAAAAACCTTCACCGACTAAAACGGTTGAAGAGAAACCCCCGCCGCCTGACACTGTTGAGGAGCTCAAGGTTTGCAATATAAATCTTTGCACTATATTCAGAAGTACAACTTGCTCGTTTCTTCTTTTTTTCTCGTTTTTGTCAAACGAATTGGGAATTGAGGAATTGTTCGAGATGATACCATCATCTCGTTTTTACCATCGCACNAAGAAAAAACCTTCACCGACTAAAACGGTTGAAGAGAAACCCCCGCCGCCTGACACTGTTGAGGAGCTCAAGGTTTGCAATATAAATCTTTGCACTATATTCAGAAGTACAACTTGCTCGTTTCTTCTTTTTTTCTCGTTTTTGTCAAACGAATTGGGAATTGAGGAATTGTTCGAGATGATACCATCATCTCGTTTTTACCATCGCACCGCCCGCCACCAAAGTAGAGTTCATCCATACTACCTGGAGCCACTGCGGTCATCCACAGTGCGTTTTCAGAGATCTTTTTTGCCACGTACCATCCGGCTTTGGAATGAGCTAGTTAGCTCCCTTCCACGGTATTTCCCGAGCGCTATGACATGTCCTTCTTCAAGCGAGGCTTGTGGAGAGTATTAAGTAGTAGGCAGCGGCTTGGTTCTGCCCCTGGCATTGCTGAAGTCCATGGGCCACGGTAACCACTGACCATCAGGTGGGCCGTATGCTCATCTATCTACAAGGGCATTAGAAATAAAAATAAATTGTGCTATAACAAATCGGTCCTAATTTATCTAATGTTATCTGAAATATGATGAACACCTTGTTGTTTTACTAGTTAGCGGAACAAGAGGAGCCGAAGTCAAACGCAGTAGCGTCGGCGGCCGACAAACTCACTTCTCTGAGCATCGCGCAGCAACCTGCGAACCAAGCTCCCGCCAAACCTAAGAAACTCTCAATACCAGGTCTGTTTGTTAAAGCTTATGGTAAACATATAATTTAACACGTTGACTGCCATGTAGATCACTGGTGCCCTACGTGGCCCACTGAAGTAATTATGTCGATTTCTCTCTTCGATCTTCTTACTAAGGCGCCAGAATATCTAGTAGACTCTGGCAAAGACGAATCCGAAGCACTGAGACTGAATCTATTTCTAGACCTAAAAGTAAAACATACATCAAAAAGAAATAAAGGCAAAGTTAGGCAATCCAGACTCGCTTAGTAACAGGAATCGACATAATTACTTCCAGTGCGCCGCGTAGGGCACCGGTGACCTACACGGCAGTCAATGTGTTAATATCGACAATTTAAGACTATGCTGAGTAAATCTGTACTCAGTACTTTTGATAGCACTACTTGAAGAGTATCAGTACTCCGTTACATACTTTGTTAATTCGAATCTGTTTAAAAATATTCCAAAACACTTTTATATATTTTATTCCATTTTGGAGGAAATCCCAACTAGACAGCAAATAAGTCACTGTTTAGAAATGTCATAAAAAATATTCTTAAAATTATAGTTAGGGTATGTAATTCAGATTTTTAACATTTTATTTATTATTTGTTGATTAAAAAATGGTTAAAATCAGTTGTATGTTCGTTTGGCAGGTGGAAATGTCGGTAACTTCAAAGAACAATTCGAGAAACGGGCGAATTCTGTATCAAAGCCAGGTACTTTATAATTATTTTGCGGTTAAAAAATTCTACCCGCCTTTTAGTAAATCCATTTAAAAATATTCTTCACGCGATAAAGTCCGTTCGTACCGAGCGACGAGGACACGATACTGCAGGTCTCTCATATGAATCCAGCATTGAATGAGCCAGCCTTCTCGACCAGCTCTGTACTCATTAATTATAAAGCAAATTCATTTACAGTGGTATCGAAGATCGCCAAGCCCAAAGCTCAAAGCGAAGACCGCGAGCTTTCGAACAAAACTTCAGACAACGGCACTGTTCGACTGCAACAGATCGGAATTGAACCTGCACCGGTAAACATTACTACTCTGTCCTTGCCAGACCACCAGTTTCATTTCCAAACTTTTATTGAATTTGTTCTAATGTAATTAAAATGAAAAATCTCATTAAAATGACTTCAATTCGGTTCAATCAGTTCTATATCAAGAATTATTATCAAGAAATTTGCCAAACATTTTATTTGCAAAAAAGCATAAATTGTGCCGGTCACCGTCCTTGCTGAAGCCGTCGCTTGCGACTAAGGATTCGACGAGTAAATTAACCCACAGCCCACTGAGTTTCCCGCCGGATCTTCTCAGTGGGTCGCGTTTCTGATCTGGTGGTAGATTCTGCGAAGCACTGCTCTTACTAGGGTCAGTGTTAGCAACACCTAAGGTTTGAGCCTCGAGAGCTCACCTACACATCAAGGAGAAGCTAAAATAGCCTCTCAAGGCTCTCAGTACAGGCAGGAAAAAACATTGTGATACAAGCTGATTGATGAAACAGCAAGAAATACACTTAACGCTTTACTGTCAATCAAATATAACTCGTAGTATAATTGAAGACGTCACCACCCATAATTCATATTCATGCTTATGTATTGCGATTTATTTAAAACATAATAAATTTTGATGCAAAATCGTCCTATCCCTAGTTTCAAACCATAGATAACAGATGACTTTGTAAACATTATTTTATCGCGTATTTTTTTTGCCTACGAAGTATTGTAAAAGGTAAATTCGAACCTCATTATCTCCATACTAACTATGGTAAACTTAGGCCGTTTGCGCTGACGGCCTCGATTATGCTTAGTTGTCCAGCTAACAACTAGTAGAAGGTTAGTGTCAATAATTGTATAGCTTACCCTATTGCGTGTTTTAGTCTCCGATCGAGCTGGAAATGAACCGGGGCGGCGTGAAGAAAACAGAGAGCGAACCGACGCACGGCGCGGCCGCGGTCGACCCCTCTGTGCTCCTCAGCGACGCTAGACGGTACACCGCCTCCAGATATCACTTATATATCACTGGTGGTAGGACCTCTTGTGAGTCCGCGCGGGTAGGTACCACCACCCTGCCTATTTCTGCCGTGAAGCAGTAATGCGTTTCGGTTTGAAGGGTGGGGTAGCCGTTGTAACTATACTGAGACCTTAGAACTTATATCTCGAGGTGGGTGGCGCATTTCCGTTGTAGATGTCTATGGGCTCCAGTAACCACTTAACATCAGGTGGGCTGTGAGCTCGTCCACCCATTTAAGCAATAAAAAAAAAACTATCTATAAAAAAATCTAGATTTTTGCATCTAAGCAATAAATAAATAAAAACGAATATCCCAATATACATTCGAAAAGGCAATCAACTTGATGCATGGACCCCTGTCATGGACGTCAATAATTTGAAATAATTGTAAATAGACATGCTTTAACAAAAACCGACTTCAAATAGAAAAAAAAGATAGTCCAAAACAAATTAATATACACTAAAAACAATAATCAGCGAAATCGGTTTCATCTACTTGTCGCGCACGTACTTAATGCAAATTTAAGACTTATATGGTTTTCTCATGGATACCATTATCAGAACTGGACTAAATTGAAATGGGACAACACGGGAAGCGTCAGCTTTCTAATAAAAAAGGAATCATCAAAATCAATTCACCCAGTAAAAAGTTATGAGGTAACAAATATTTAAAAAAAACATGCAGTCGAATTGAGAAGCTCCTCCTTTTTTGAAGTCCGTTAAAAAGGGGATGAAAGGTGGCTGCTACATCATCGCTGCTGACCACTCAAATATCTCTTGGCCATAACTCGTTTGAGAACGGATGTGTTCTAATCTAGGGAAATACAATTTATAGTAGGGACTTTATTTTAAAATTTATCTTTGCGTTATGTGCCGTGATTTTTTTTTAGTTATGTGGTGTTACTATTTCATTAAATATTAAGTTCTTTGTTAATGAAAATAGGATCAAGGCAAAATCGTATGAGATCTTGTGAATTTATACGATTTTTTTTCTTTCTTGTATTCATACAGAAGTCTCCAGAATTCCATGGCGAAGCTTGTGGAAGAGAAAACAGGAGAGGAGAGTCGTCGTCGGGCTGCGCGCGATATTATATCGTCCGCCATCCGCACAGGTTATACTTTTGACAACAAGATTTACAATTATAATATCTATACAAACTACGACTTAGGGGTAAAATCCAAAGTCCTTTCACCGAATGCTGGCCATTTTACAAGATTAACAGGTTGAGGATGCTACCTCAAAAATAAGACTATATTACTAGTATTATTTAAGTGTGGTTTTACCATAAACAAATTAAATATTTTCAATTTATTACATTAATATAATGTTATTTAAAAAACGAAAAGACGACAATAATTTTTAACTCTGTAAATAAAGAAAGTTCATTCATAAAAACTTACCGTAAGCTTAAACAAAAAGAATCATAATGCCTGTTTTAACACGAAAAAATCACCCGCTTCGCTTTTCGGGAAAGCCGTTATTACAATTATTAATACTGTTTGTTTTTTTATAATTTTTTACTCTGTAAATAAAGAATCGTCTTTCAAAAAATCTACTCTAAGCTTATACAAAAATAATCATAATGCCTATTTTAGCACGAAAGAATTACGCGCTTCGCCTTTCAAGAAAGCCGTTATTTCTGTTCTGTTATTACTATTAATACTGTTCGTTTTTGGTGTGGGGTAACTTAATCAACTGTGGCAGTAAAAATAATATTCGAAAGTTCTCTGAATATTAATTAATCATGTGTTTGTAATACAGGCAAGCCTCCGGTGCCTTACGGGCGCTCGTCGTCGGCGGGCGTGGCGTCGCTGGTGTCGCCGCCCGGCACTCCGCCCGCCGCCGCCGCTCCCGCGCGCCTCTTCCGCACCGAGGCGCACCACCAGGTCGAAGACCATCGCAACAGGTACTACACACGCCATACGCGGTATTTTTTTTAGGGATTTTACGACCCGGGAACCAAGACCTTTAAGTCATGTCTTATTTTAATTTATATTCCCATTTTTATGAAAAATGATAATATGGAGTGAAGTTAAATGAAATGAAATGAGATGATATGAGATGAAGTATAATCTCAGTAAAATGGTCGTCATTTACTAAAAACATTTCAGAAGACTTTTTGGAGGATCCCGAGAAGTTACGTTCAGCGGCTTTGTTTCATTTTCCCACATTTGTGCACTTTCACAGATAGTAAACAGTTAATAAACCACCGCTATCACACATTTAAACCTGAAGAAACACTAAATAGACAAAAAAAACAAATCACACAACTTCACTCCTCGCGTTCCCGCCACAAGTATTCTGTCCCATTCTCTCGCAAGCTAAATCCTATGCGTATTTTTTTTTTCTTATCACCATTTTGCCAAAGAACTACTAAATTCTAATCATTCGAACAAAATGTTAACTAATTTTTATAAGCATTTAAAATTTAGCTAACGCGCATATTTCTCGTTATTCATCCAACATGGACTTTTTACGACAAGTATTCGTACCAAATTTAGTAAACGAATTTAGATTTCCAAGTACGTTACTTTGTCGATTAAGTTACCAATCTCAGAGTTTCTAGTTTAATGACGTAATCATCTGTAATAATGTATGTTAAGCTAAAGCAAAAATTTGTAATATGTTCAGAAATAAAGAGGCAATCATTTATAATTCATAAAATGCATGTTAGAAATTTTCATTTTTCAGAAACACACTCGTCTATGTCACAAGTTTGTGTTTTCCGTAATACAATGAGGCTTATCTCATTGAATTACATTGAATCATAAATATTTTAAAAAAAACAATAGAACGAAAACGTGTCCCGTTAAACACGAGGTTGACAATATACATTTGATAGAAGCCTCTGTTGTCAGTTGAATTTAATAAACATTAGTCTAGAGCGGATTTAAATGATTAATTAGTGTAGGTTGGCTGAGTATCTCGAAATATGACGGATCGAAGCTTATTGACACACGCCTGTACTGAAATTATTTGAATTCGATGTTATTTGAACTAATTCATGAATAATAAATTAATAAATCTGAATAACAAATAATAAAAACGATTTCGAATAAAATTCGCTTCATAAGGCCTATATATAGTAAATAGAACAATACTGTAGGATGACGATTAGGAAGGATGAGGTTGTTTGGAAATTGTATTAATGCAAATTGTTTAAAATGACGTTAGCGCCACTATTCAGGTTTCTAACATTTAATTTCTACTCTATTATATGACACTGTCTCAATGTGATTAACAAGGATTAATAATTTCAGGGGTGTATCGGTGGAACGTATTATCCCGATTCAAGTGTCGCCGGACGAGCCTCCTACCTCTCCACCCCCCGCCCCGCCCGCGCACCACACACCTCACACCCCCTCTACGCCGTCGGCCCCCACCACACCCTCTGCCCCACGTCCCGCACCACGAGCTACCACTCCTCAAACACCACTCAGGTACTTATAAAGTTTTCATTCAATTAAATATATAGAACTCTTTATTAAGAAACCACAAATCTATATATATAAAAATGAATTGCTGTTCGTTAGTCTCGCTAAAACTTGAGAACGGCTGGACCGATTTGGCTAATTTTGGTCTTAAATTATTTGTGGAAGTCCAGAGAAGGTTTAAAAGGTAGATAAATATGAAAATGTTCGGAATTAAATAAAAATAACAATTTTGTTTTCCTTTGATGTGTCCCCCGTCGGACGGATTCCTTTTCTTTGTTTTAAGTATATTTATTAATTGAGGCACTACGAAGTCTGCCGGGTCAGCTAGTAAATGAATAAATTTAAAAACTTTGGCAATAAAAATATGTATAAGAAATGAATGAATGAATGAATGAAAATTCTTTATTGCACAAAATGTTATACAAAGGCGAACTTAACGCCATGCAGGCATTCTCTTCCAGTTAACTCTCGTTGATGAAGTGAAAGATTCAAGAAGTGCGTAGCTGTGATAAAGTTAATACATGGCGATCATTTAAAGAATTATAGTAGACATGAGTAATATGAACACTGGGTGAACTAACGCAATCCTTACAGGTACACCATCCTGCCTCTTTCTGCTGAAGTCATACGTTTCGATTTAAAGAACGGGATAGCCGTTATTCTATGAGATTCAGACTTACACCTTGTGTCTAGAGTTGGATATCGGCAATCACGTTCTTTTGTCCATGGGACTCGTATCCACTTCACACCAGGGCAAAGAAACAGCGACCTTTTTCAGGTCGTCATATACGTAAGATATTATTTAGCAATTGAAGTGGTTTCCAGAATTTATTCAATCAAAAAATTTGGTAATAAAAATTAGAATGCTTTGTTACTGATCTGGATAATAATTTGGTACAATTTAGGCGACTAGCATCAACCGAGTCCAACGTGAGCGAGGCCTGTTCGAGTCCAGGCGAGCCCATCAAGAAGTCAGCCCGGGAGTTCATCATCCCCATCGCGGTCGAGGGCAAGGGATACGTGACCCCGCGACAACGGAGCCTCGAACCGGAACAGTCGCAGACCCGACTGCCGCGGAACACCAAGACGCGCAGGCTCGGGTAACTACAACGTGACCATCATTATTTCTATCCTTTTCACACTAGTGACATGTTACAATATATTGACTATGAATTGAGTATAAATAAGTTATAATAAAATAAAATAAAAAGGTGCGCGTGCAACTTGGTGCACGCGAATGAAGTGAAACGTCTTTTTCCAAGTGTATTATTGTGTTTTCTTCATGTTTCGTCCTTATATCAGATTGCCACGACATCTTCAACTTTTATATTATATATATTTTAAATTATAGATAGAAAAATATATCCGTGGCGTCCAATATTTTAATGAAGTTTTTTTAAATACTTCATTAAAATATTGGGCGCCACTCGTTGCTAACGCTCGCGCTGGCCTGTAACAGGTAGACTACGCGCATGCGTTCGCGTGCCACGCATTCACTCTCGCTCTGTCTCTTTCTAGTAAGGTAGCGTTACACGTTTAACGCAACCTTGTTGGAAGTCGCATTAGAAGTTTCACTTCAAAAAGAAATAATATGGTTTACAAAGATAATATGATTTAGAAAAAATTTGATTGTTCTTTGTATTTGCAGGAGCCTAGTGAGCGGCGGCGAGTCTGAGGAGGAGGACGAGTCCCACATGCATCGCCTGCGACCCAGCCGAGCCGCGCGGGCCGAGTCCGTCAGCTCTGGGGAGGAGGACGAGGAGGACGAGGGCTTCCATCTCCTCACCGCCGAGAACCTCTTCTCTACCCTACTGCACAGGGTAAAAAACATTCAACTCAAGAGCTTTTAAATTACCAAAACATTTTATTTTTCAAACATGTAACATCAAAGAATATAAACAAACGTTTAAACAATTTCCTTTATAAACACTCCTTAGACTCCTTATGTTAGGTTATATAACTGCTCGACAAATCGAATTTTGCGATATTTTGTGTTAGTCTCCTGTCCCCCGCCCCTAAATTCCCCCCATACAAATCCTGAAATCCGTTACCCGATATGGTCATTCTAGTCCATCCCGGGTTATATAACACATAATTGTAAATTTGTTTTCAGGTACGTGCCCTCACCCAGCGCTTGAACGGCGAGGAGGGTCCCGGCTTCCCGCAGCACACACACTCACTCTTCAATAACTTGCATCAGTCGCCGTTCTTCAACAGGTGAGATATTCGAACGCTGAATAATCGAGTGGCTTCACGTTTACACTAAACACTGACACGTTTTAATATGGAATAATTGTAAATAATACCGAGGTATTCCGTCTTAAAGACGCGAACAGTAAATTTTCCTACTCTGTATTTTTTTCCATTCGTTCATCATACGACTAAAATTCATTCAAAGCAGAGTTTTCAAAGTTGATTTTTGTTTTGAGTTAATAAAATAATAAAGTTTCTTGTGGTTTTGCTTTTAATTGTTGCCGCTGTTTGAAGTCGAACCCCATTGTGTTTTTAAAACATTGATCCGACTTCACATGGGAAGCTCACTATTCATTTTACTCATCGTATAGGTACTTTATTAATTCAATAATCATTACTTTCTTGTTTCATTCATTTAATAATTGACACTGAACATGTTCAGAAAAACATTTAGATTTAAACTAAATTTATATATAATTTTTTTTGTATTTTACGCATGCAGCCCCCACTTACCAAGGCGAAATTTGTTGTGAGTATAACTTGATTGTTTTTTTTTTCTCTACCGCTCAACTATAAATTTATTTAAAATATAAAGTAACTGTTTAAACTTGAGAAAATTTTTTTTCATAAGACGTCATAAAGTAGTGAGTGAATGACAACGAATGAATGAGATTCAAATTTGTTCAGTTTAAATTTATTTTGCAAGCAGCACTCATAGACATGTGGAAAGTAAAAGGAGTGTATCAGAAACGTAAGTTATAAATATTATTACGTAAATGTCGATTTCTGTGCAATTATTTTTTATTACAATTTTACTACAAAAAGCCGAAAACGTTTCTCAGTGATTTTTTTAAAGATTTAAAATTAACTTACTAAGTATAAAAGTCATATGATACAAGATTGTAGCGATCGATGATAATTATAGATTTCAATAAAAAAGCAATCGACTAGCATTGTCGTTGACCTGTCAGTATTATGTATGAAACGAACTTATAGAAAGGTGATGCTGTATGTTTCTGCCTATTCCTGCCGTGAAGCAGTAATGCGTTTCGGTTTATATAAGAATAATTTTACTATGACTTGTATTCGATTGACAGTAAAGCAATTAGTGTATTTACTTCTGTATCATTCATCAGCTTATATTACAATTTGTTGTTATTGTAAATAGAATGATTGCTAAAATTCTTGATGGTTCTTTATATAGAATTGATTGAACCGCATTGAACTGTACTGCCGTTGTACTGTACTCATATCTGAAGGCAGGTGGTGGCATTTACTTTGTAGACGTCTATGAGCTCCGGTAACCACTTAACATCAGGTGGACCGTGAGCTCGTTCACTCATCGAGGCAATAAAAAAGAAGGTTCGCCATTCACGTGTTTGATCCTGCATCTAACTATGAAGTAACTTGAATGATGTATGTTTCCATGTACAGACGGGAAGGCTGGGGCGCTCGGGACCTCCACGCCGACTTCGACTCCATGTTCAACAAGTCCCGGCAGTCGATGCCGCGAGGTGAGCTCACACGTGATCACACACGCTTACCGCACGCGGGGAAAACGTGGCCGATACACAGCACTGGTCGATATTAAATACTATGCACTCGCATTATATGTATCTCGTATACAGTTGAAGATGTTAGTGGAACGGGAGTTCTTTTTTTTTTATTGCCATTAAGATACCAGTTTTGACTTATAAAGCTCCGTCTAAAGTAATGCTGTACATTCTATGGTCTTTCTGAATATCAGAACTTGTTGTATTCGGATGACAATTTAGATGTTGAATTCAAATTACGCATATATATATCATCTGAAAATCTCGAGTTTTAAATTGTTCCAACAAGTCGATCTAAAAATGATCGGATTCTTGAATAATATATGTAATAATAATGCTTACTTAAAATGTTACAGGTTTAAAAAAAAAAGAAATTGTTTCTTACATACAGCATGTTGCTATATCGAAATAACGATTTTTTTACATTTCATTTAAAAAAGTTTAGATATCATTCGAAATCCGTATTATGGATACCGTTTATAGATATTAAATGTATGCAATTATAGCACCGCAAGTACACAGCTACCTCCGCTCAGCACGGGCTGCGAGACTCACAAGAAAGCTAGCTTCTGCGACTTAAAACAAATCAATTAACTATCCATCACCCATCACGCCGCGTCCGAGCGAGCGACCATCGCCATTAAACAGGTCGCGTCGTGTATTCGCGACGTTTTCCACCGGCCAACGTTTAACAAACAATGTTTGATAATGACTAATGACTCGAAACAGTCTGTTATATACATCGTGTGTTCAGTACATTAACATTTGTCTTTTTTTTTAATTTAATTAATCAAGTAACATTGTTTTTTTTCTCTTGCATTGTAGTGTTAATTTCGTATTCAAGTTGCATTCTTTGTGCAGGTGTTGACTTTCTCCTACCCGCTAACACTAGCAGGAAAATGTTGCGTTGCTCTGAGTTATGTTATTATAAATTACAGTTATCCGTAGCTATTTGAAATTGCATGATTAGTAAACTATACAATACAAATTTCACATATCGCATCTCCAATGACGAAATCATTTCTGTACAGTAAGCAAAAAAGTAACACTTGTTTTTTTTTTTCCAAAAAATTATAGTAACAACTAAAATCTCGCCAGTTCGTTGACCGATTGACAGTTAATTAATTTGTTTAGAAAGTATATATTATTATATATAAAGCATAAATTCGTAGATAGTGGATGTGGTAGCGTTCGACGTGTGATGGGAACACGTATGGACACGTATCAGTATCGGTAGAGATCATGTCACGAGTCATACGCTATTAGCTCGGTGAGCGCTCGGGCGAACAACTTACCTGCAGCCAGACCGCGGTCTGCGGGACGGGAGGGGAGGGGTAGTACTGCCGGGTGACGGGGAGGGGTCGGGCCAGGGAGCGGGGGGTAGCGGGGCTGCGGGGAGGAGCCAGAGAAGCGGTAGTGAGGTTGTGTTGGTGTGGTTGCAGTTGGGTTGCGCGTTACACTGCATGCTCCGACCAAATCTTCACTTCACAGCGGCACCAGCGCCAACCACAAATCTACCACAAACGCCACACAGGAATAGGTACTAAACTANGCCGGGTGACGGGGAGGGGTCGGGCCAGGGAGCGGGGGGTAGCGGGGCTGCGGGGAGGAGCCAGAGAAGCGGTAGTGAGGTTGTGTTGGTGTGGTTGCAGTTGGGTTGCGCGTTACACTGCATGCTCCGACCAAATCTTCACTTCACAGCGGCACCAGCGCCAACCACAAATCTACCACAAACGCCACACAGGAATAGGTACTAAACTATGTTTATTTCTCTTCATTTATGTGTTTTGTGTTGAGCACCGTGCGCCGCGTCCGTTTGCCAGAATAGAGATGCCTCTATTATGTGAAATATCGCTGAAGTCATCGTTTAGTATGCATTCTGGTAATTCACCGTTCTTTCAAAAAGCAACATTTTAATGCATTCTTTTGTGATTTGGTTTTGCCTATTTAAAGCTTCCGTTTTAATCTAATTCGACTACCTAGCATTCGGCCCTCGTAGTTAACTATTAACTTTTAACCGTTCACCGCAACGTTCACATCGACATCCTAGTGTCTCTTTATGACACGTTTCTGATCAGTAAATTTAGTTGAAATTGAATTCACGCTCATAAAATTTAAAATGTAAAAGTATCACCCCTGTAAATACATCATCCCGGCGAGCGTTCTGCATGATCGAAACGTGTGTTTTTCGATTTAAATTTCAGGTAGCACTAAGAAGTCCAACAAACACCGAACGAAGGCTCCCCAAAACGAAGAAACGACCGAAGAGAGCGGCTTAGACCTTTCGGACCTCGACTTGAGCTCGATTGAGTTTTCGGAAAAGGAGATGCGCGCGCTGTCCGGTCTCACGCCGGCGCTGTCCCGCCGTCTGCAGCGGCAACTGCTCGCCCACCTGCCGCCCGCCGCCGCGCGCTCCCTCCGCCGCACGCTCTCTCTGTCCGCACCCGCCGCGCCCGCCGCGCCGCCCACGTACGCGCGCAGCCACTCCGCCGCCGAACACGATTCCGAGACGCGACCTCCACCAGAACCAGAACCCGAACCCGAACTAGGGGAGAAGCCGGCGGACGTCGCGCGGCCCCAGTCCTCGACGTTACCGCGGCCGCGACGGCGCTCCGTGTCGCGCGAGCCCACTCCGACCAGCCCTCCCGTCGCCGACCCGGAGCCGGACTCGGGCCGCCGCGACCGCCCGCTCCTCAGCAAGTACCTGTCATTGGACGAACCTTACGCGTCGGACGGCTGCAGCATTCTGTCGGATCCGAGCTACGTGGCGGCGTACGGGCCGGCTCCGCGCCGACACTCACTCCGCCTCACTGGAGACCAGCCCCGGAAGCGATACTCTAGATTCTTACGTTCTGATTTTTTCGATTCGCCGGCGGACGAGAGCGTTTACGTTAAACATAAAAAAGAGAAAGAAATGGAGACCCAAAAAATACTTCGAGAAATTCGAGAAAAGAGGAGATCGCAAGAGGTGACGTCCCCGAAAGAAGGGTACGATTTACCAGAGGCCTCTCTTTTGTCGCGAGAAGATTCCCTCGGGTCCCGAAAAAGTCTTTCACCTATTAGCGTGCTGTCAAACAAAGACCGCAGTAGGTCCGCAACTCCATTCTTCCCCATCCTGGACAACATTAAGGAAACCGCCGCCGACGCATCGTTAACATCGAGAACGCAAATTCCGGGTGACCCTAAGCAAAAACCTCGTTTTGATGAAACTTCAATTAGTAAAGAATCGAGACTGACGAGACCCAAGAGCTATCCCATCAAAACATTAGACTCGATTGATGAGCCAGATGAACATAAGGTATCGGAGAACATAGCTAACAAACAGAATGAAAGTGTAGATCGAACCGCTTCTAAAGAATCTAAACTTATCAGACCAAAGAGCTACCCCGCCGGCAGCCCGTCTCCCGAGAAAGTGTACATTAGTCGTAATTTGAAAAAAGACGAAACGAAAACTGTGAAGGACGAAGCACCTGCTGATTTGAAATCTGATGTGGAAGTCAGTTTTAGTATAACTTTGCCTAAAAAGGTAAAAACTGATCCTTCGACAAAGACAGAATCGGTCAGTAACAAACCTTTAGAAATGAACGTTAACACTGATGGTAAAGGGGCCACAACAGACGCGGCAAGTAGCCTGATTATAAAGAAGTATCAGGTAGTCAAGGAAGATAACGTTATTAATCCTGAAAGTAATGATAAAAAAGTGAAAAATGGCACTATTGTACCCAACGCCAGTTCAAATGAAGTTGCCGTTAAATTAGAAGATATAATCAAAAATAAATCATCGACCAATGTCCAAAAGGGGGACTCTAATAAATCGATTGAAAGTGATTCCGGTGAAAAGAAAACTACCACGAAGAAAAAGATAATACGGAAAGTTTCTTCGAAAACAAAGACTGATATTGCAAACAGCCAAGACACGGGTGAAGCTAAAACGACTACCGAAAAGAAAAAAGTTACCAAAAAAGTAAAAGAAAAATCTGATGAGGATTCCGTGAAAACCACTATTCCTAAGAAAAAATCTGTTCTGCAATCAATAGGTCATAAACTAGAGAAACTGACCACAAACAAATCTAGTTCTCCCGAGAAAACGGCGGACACCACTACAGCCAGTGATAAATTAAATCGTACAAAATTAAGTAGATTGCAACGAGAGCAGTCTGTGCCCGTGAGTGCCGAGCCTCCCAATGAATCCAACCTCATTAAAAGAGCAGTTACTTTGACCGATGTAGCGACTTTAGACAGTCCAAATACAAATAACAAAACGACAGTTTCCAAAGTTTTGGGACTGTTTAAAAAGTTCGAATCCAAAGATAAAACAAAACTTTTGGAATCATCGCAAAACAAAAAGTTGTTCGAAATTGATGAAAACGGTCACAATAACGACTCATTGAGTTCAACAGTCTCTGAAGCTATCGACAAACCGCGCCGGCCGACTTCCTTACTTCTGAACGGTCTGGGTCGCAAGAATAAATATGTTCGAACGTCCAGCGACAGTGTTACTGCGCTGCCAACCGAAGACGACGATCAAACTGTACTTAAAAAAGAATACGACCCCAAACACAGAAACAGTTTAAAATTAGATTTCTCCAGATTGCCAAGAGTTAAAAAAATAGTTCCTACCAATCCTGTGATAGAACCGCAAATAATCAATTTTTCCTCGAACGACAACGAAACTGAGAAAAAGGACGCACATACGAAATACAACCTTCTCAACAAAGAGATTAGCACAAACGTTGACAACGCCAACACACTGAGCCGCAGTCGATCGAGAAGCAGGTCAACGGTTTCAAACTCTGATATTAAATCTGACAATAGCGGCGATATTAAATCGATATCCAAAAATCCAGCATCGCCCTCCGACAATAACACATCTTCTGTCCATCCGCTGCGTAGTACGGAATCTGTAACGCCAGAAACCGAGGACATCGTCGATAGAATACGACGAAAGAGTTTTTATTCTAGATTCAACGAAAAGAAGCAACGACGAAAAAGTAGTTTGGTCGGGCCCGGAGCCACCGAGTACGATCCGATCGCTCGGATACACGCCGCCCCATCCGACAACAAGTACGACGCGTCGCCCTCCTCCCCGGCCGGCTACGATATATCCCCGGGACTCTCCATATCATCAGATCTATCTCCCTCCACGGACCGGTACAGATCGCTTCTCAGCGAAATGCCCGTCAGTCCTAGGAGTAGCCGATTTGATAGTAGCGGACTTAATGATAATAAAATTGATACGTACAGATCTCTCGACCGTAACGACTTTCGGAAATATCCGAGCAGTCGAAGTTACTTAGACTACGAACAGCCGCTGTCGTTTGGAGCTTCTAGATATTCCAGGACGAAATCGTTATTGGAGAACTCGGAGGGACCAGACGATGCCGCGCTCGCGCACTCGATCAGAGATCCGCATAAATACAACAGAACCCTGTCCATGTACTCGCCCGGCAACTATGCTACATATCGGCCCATGAGGACGCGTAATCCCGCGATCATGTTGAAAGAGAGCGAAAAAGAACCGAGCCCCGAAAACATACTGGATAAAATAAGACAGAGGAAAAAGATTTCGATCAGTGTGACCAGAAAACCCGACGAAAAGGAAACACTACCAAGGTGTGTATGTTTTTGTTTTAAATGTCACGTAAATAATTCTCTATAACTTCCGATAATAATACGGTTTACCATGTGCACGCTTCACGCTTTCTATTAAATTTTACCGCACTAATGCTTCGTCCTCAAAGTGTACATTGTCCGACGTTCATGTACAGCGGTCAAACGTTACAANGTGACCAGAAAACCCGACGAAAAGGAAACACTACCAAGGTGTGTATGTTTTTGTTTTAAATGTCACGTAAATAATTCTCTATAACTTCCGATAATAATACGGTTTACCATGTGCACGCTTCACGCTTTCTATTAAATTTTACCGCACTAATGCTTCGTCCTCAAAGTGTACATTGTCCGACGTTCATGTACAGCGGTCAAACGTTACAATCAGTATGTAGATAGCTTTAATAAATCACTCGACAATTTCGTACCACATCCAGGTCTTGATATCATTGTATACATTATTCAGAAACATATTCATGCGTAGTAGATTCATTCAATAAGCAGCACTTGCCGCGACACAGACAAGGACGATGACGTCACTATGTAAGTTATAATTCTGGTACGTATTTGTTTTCAGATCCATTGTCCCATCTAAAGGCGAAGGCGACGGTGCAGAATGCTCTGAGAAAGTTGGCTGAGAGGAACTATTGATTATAACGAAAAGTAATTTGATTTTTCGAGTTACTCAGCATTTGTTAGGATTCACTAAAATAAACACGAAACAAACCTTGTTCTTTTGATCATGAAGCCCATAGAGGTAGTTTGACTGTATCTATTGTAATCTTGCCAAAACCTAGATCTTAGACAAAACAAATTAATAATAGTCTCGTCACCGAATCGATGCTTACCATAAGACTGCAAGTCTGGAAGCAAAAGTATTGTTTAGAATCTCAACTGGAATTTAATAGGATTTGAAAGTATCTGAGATTTTTTATTATGAAATCTCACGATTAGAATGTAGCACGCGCATATTAATTTACGACGAATGTAGAATTAATCAATTATCTTTGTAAGCTTACTGACGCTAACTCGGGCTTGTTTCGATAGCTTTTTAAGCTGGACAAGTTTTTGTAATGACAAAGTAAATGTAATATTTTGCCGAGTGAACTTTTTTAGGTGTTTATTGTATATTGATTCTTACGTGCCTTTATGAAACATAAGTGACTGGATTTGTTATAGTCCGCATTACATGGAAAGAGACAGAGTGACACAATTTTAGTGTTTGCACAAATACGTATTACTCAATTTTTTTTATTATTATTATAATTTTTCATAGTTGTATTATTATTGTGTATTTACATTTTTTTTATGCGACAATTCAATTTTAAGTTTGAACGTTTATCTTAATTTAAAGTATTGAATGCTAAGTCAGATCGTAACAGTAATCGAATAGAAAGGTGCTTAGATTTCGTTAGGTTTAACTATTTGTAGTACTGACTCGTTATAGACTCACACAAGGTATGTATAGGATTGCGTTTGTCTACACTTTTAGCTAACTACGCCGTATTCGTTTCTCACGACCAGTATTCTGTATACAAAATTGTATAAGCGAATATATTTTTGCCTTTTCTGAATATCACAAAGAAAAGCCTAACAAAAAAACCTTAGTGATTTTAAAAAAAGCAATGTTTTATGAATTTGTCGTTTATTTTGACTTATTTATTACATTTTTTTAGAATTCAAATTATTTATTGGTGTGTAATGATTTTAATATTTGTCTGTTAGTTCACACGTGACGTGATGACGATGTATGTTAAATATTCATTACACACGTTTTGTATTGAATGTGAATAATAAATTATATAGTTGCGAACGATGTCTTTTATTTTAAGAAATTTGACGATATATATTATCATTACACGAACCGAGTGTGGGCGACAAATGTAATTGTTTTCATTTTTTATTTCTTTATCCCGGCTATTCTTGTATTTCGAATAGTTCTTGGCAGCATTCCCGTAGCGGCTTCGTCGTTGGAACCAGAGCAGTCTCGACTTCGTTTCATAAATAATCAAAACACAGTTTATCATGTGACATTATTATGGAATCAAAATAAGGTTATTATTATTAATCCACCTCAAAAAAGGAGATTGTTCTCAATTCAACTGTTTTTTTCTTCTGTGTTACTTTAGAAGTTTTTATAGGTGAAGCGATTTTAATGCTCCTTTTTTATTTGACAGTGGATGTTTCTCATTTGTCACATAAATTTTATCAATATTTGACCAGTAGTTTTTTGAGTTATCGTTAATAATTCATATATTATTCAGATCGGCATCGATCAGATTGATGATATTCTCTCTCAATTTATTTTTCTTTATTAAAATGTAAAATTTTATTGGTGTAGATGGGTAAACGCGCCCGTGATCCACATGGATTTTTAAGGGATTTTACGACCCGGTAACTCAGACCTTTAAGTCAGGTCACGTCTTATTTTAATTTATATTCTTATTTTTAAGAAAAATGATAATGTGGAGTGAAATTAAATGAAGATGATTAATTTGAGACAATCAACAGGGATGAAATTAAATGAGATGGGATGATATAATCTCAGTAAAATTGTGGTCTAAGGATTTTTCAGTGGACTTTTTGGAGGATCCGGAGAAGTTACGTCCAGCAGCTTTGTTTCATTTTCGCACATTTGTGTGCTTTCACAGATATTAAACAGTTAATAAACCACCGCTATTACGCATTTAAACTTGAAGAAACTCTAAATAGACAAAAAACAAATCACACAATTGCACTCCTCGCGTTCCCGGCAAAAAGTCTGATCCACATGGTGGTGGATAACTAACCCGAAAAACGTATTCTGAATTCTGTCACACATATGCGACTAAAAATCGCTGAAGCTGTCGTTTAAATTCTGAACTAAATAATCTACTAAATGAAACATAATAAATAGCATTACAATATTTATTACTAAAAGTGGTCAATAAGTTCACGCAGTTAAAGGTTCAAGATCAGCAAAATATTTGCTATTCTCTTCCGCTAACTTCTCCAGAATGTCGTCGACCTTCGTGTTGGGGAACCTGTCCACCCACGACGCGACCATGCCTTCAGCCGTCGCCGGGTAGCGCTTTAGCTCCACCGCGTCGCCTGGAATATATACATTATATATCAACTTTTTGTACGCCCATAACGGTAATATTCTGCATAAATAAAGATGCCCGAATCATCAACTTTTGTATTATTGAAATAAAATAAAAAGATGGCACGGTTGTGATTTGAAATTTTATGAAACGATTCCAACATACATCCACAGGACCTAGCTCGCGGGTGAATGAAATAAAATACTAAAGATTACTTCAATTGCGTGTGAATAGCACATGTTTTTTTAAATTTAAGGTCACCTGATTTTGCCGCCTACCGCTTAATGTACGGCTCTACGATATATTTATCATTTCGCAACGTGCAGTAGGCTCACCAGTGCTCACAGTTTGTGAACTGTTGCCATTTTTACTGGGATATGGTTGACTTAATTAAACATACTGTGTTGCTTTAGTAACTCAGTTGGACTTGCTTCTTTTCTCTCGAAGAATGAAATGAAATCAAGTCTTAAGCTGTGTCGCCAAATTGCTTTGAAGATGTTTTTACAAACTAAGTAATCGTATGTTTTCAATGGATATTTCTTTACAAAGTACTTATTTTTGGATTGATTTTCTACTTATATCTATGTTGTGTGTACAGTTTTTTTTAATGAATAAAGTTACCTTTGTGGAAGGTGTTGGGCTGAACGAAGATGTTTCTAGGCTGTTTATGCATTAGAACGATGTCTCTCCAGCGGCCCCAGGGCTCGTCGAGACTGCTGTACTTATTGAATAGTTTTTCGCCCGCACTAAAGTCACCGGTTGCCTTTATCGTTTGAAGTTTCACCAAGAAATCGCCTGCAAAAGATTATGAGAAATACACTCGCGTATACTCAGTGTGAAGCGATCTAATGTATGTTCTGTGTGCGAGATTGTAGGTGAGTTATTGCGATGTTCGTATTTATCTGAAAGACATATTACATTTATATATATACACATTATATTATATTGTGTACGTACATATGTGCTTACGGTCTATTACTCTGTCTTGACGACAGTTAAATTTTAGGCGTTTGGCTATTACGCCAATGTAATCCCATAAAATAAATCGCAAAGCAAAACCGCTTTATTAGCGTGGAGACGAGCTTACGCAGCAAATATTATCAAGAAACCTAAGAACTGTAACTGTATTGTACTGTAAGAACTACAAGCGTACGGTGTAACGTAGACTTATCACACCGTAGTAGGCGAAGGCGACATTAGCGTCACATCAGCTGAGCCGTATCGTCTGCCTACTGTGAAGGTTCACAAACCTACCAATGATCTTCTTCCCGTCGGTAGCGAGACGGTCCTTTTGCAGCGTCAACAGGAGATTCTTCCCGGGCTCGGACTCCTCGACGGTGAGCAGGCCGCCCCCCTCCAGCTCCAACAAACGCATGATCACGAAACGCGCGCGGGCGTGCGCCTGGATATTAAATATTACAATTAACTTTAGAAATTGTTTTTTTTTATTGCTTAGATGGGTGGACGAGCTCACAGCCTACTTGGTGTTAAGTGGTTACTGGAGCCCATAGACATCTACAACGCAAATTCGCCACCCACCTTGAAACATAAATTCCAAGATCTCAGTATAGTTACAACAGCTGCCACACCCTTCAAACCGAAACGCATCACTGCTTCACGGCAGAATATTTTGCTATTCGATAGTAATAATTTTAAGGATCTTTGTCACTCTTCTTCTCTGTTACACTGTTGACAGAGTGGAGCATTGGAACACTGGTCACCGACCTCGGAAGGGCTCGGCGAGTAAATGAACCCATAGACAGCCCACTGAGTTTCTCGTCGGATCTTCTCAGTGGGTCGCGTTTCCAATCCGGTGGTAGATTCTGCGATGTACTGCTCTTGCTAGGGTTCGTGTTAGAAATACGTCAGGTTTGAGCCCCGAGAGCTCACCTACACACTAGGGTAGCGCTGATATAGCCTCTCAAGGCTATCAGCATAGGTAGGAAAAAAATGGAACTAATATTACAAGCTAACCTTCCCACAAATTCCCATGGGGTCGTATCAGAAGATGATCAGTCGTTTTAGTGATCGATTAGTGGTTTAAACTCAGATTATATTATCGGAGGTTACGTCGAATTTGCTTAGCACAGTAAGAACAAGACTAGTTCAGGGCCCACCTAATGTAGTGCAAGGGCGCACAGACAGACATCACGAAAGTCGAAACTCTGAGATGTCAACAACTGCCCTACCCAACGAACCAGAACAAATATCGACTACACAAAAAATATGAAAAATTGTAATGGAAACCCGACAACATAAGTTCATCGATTAATGTAACATCTCTCAAACATTTTTTGTCATTTTTGGAATTTTTTCTTTCCATATAACACACTAACCTGCAACCAAGTCTTAGTGGAGGGTTGGTACATTTCCGTGGCCTTAGCGGCTCCGTTCCACAACAAGCTGAGCCAGTTAACGTATGTGACGTCTTCGGCCTCCTGTCCTTCGTACCCGAAGATCCTAGAAGGAACAATAAAATCTTAGTGCCTTTAGTTTCCGTAGTGAACCTTCCGTGGTATTTAATGTTACTTCCATTTATAAGCTACCAGTTTTTTATCGCCAAAAAATCGGGATTGAGATCGAGTAACAGAATTGAAGACATGAGTGGATAAAGGGGATATGATACAATTTGTTAATTTTGAGAAAACGGCAGCAAACTTTCGTTACCTGTACTTTTTCTTCGTACATAACTCCTTCATCACACGCAATTTCTAAAAATAGCCTTTAGTCCCAGTGTTTTAAGGTCTAGTGTGGTTTATAAGCACATACCATCATACAATGTAAAAACTCAAAAATCTTAAAAATTGTACTTAACGCCTTCAGCCACTCACGTCTTCAATTAATGTATTAATTGTAATATATTATGTATTAAGTACCGGAAAAAGTATTGCTATATATTTTAAAATGTCCTGCTACATATGGATGTAGTTTAAGCAATGAATGTATAATGGACAGAATGGGCATAACAAAACCGATACGTATTGAAACTAGAGTTTATTGTATTGTTCCTATATTGTTAAGGATTGGTCCAAGAAACAGCATTGACTTTTGAATGTAATGATACTATTTAAAAATGATGCTTCTAGTTCAAATTTACCCGCCTCTATTGAAATAGCTTCAGTATTGGCAGAACATGACATTGACAAGAATATTGGATGCTCTATTATTCTAATAACACCCTATATTTACGGTGGCCAAAAAGTAGTATGTACCAAGATTTTCCCACTACTGGCAATACTAACGTTTACTAACAGGTATTGAATTGTAACTAGTAAATTACTTAAGTATCTCTGGTACCAAAGAGAGGTACAGTCCGACGGCTTCAGCGCGACACTCTTCGAAGGCGGACCCCAGGGTTGTGAACTTGCTGTCGTAGGTCTCACCTTCACTGTACCAAGATTCTATACCTTTACCTGCAACACACAAATACAACATTACTAATTTAATTATGTATATTGACATATGAATGGGGTGCATTCAAAGAGACGTGTACTCAGCATTGGTTGGACACGGGTTAAAGATAATATAAATTAGTAAAGAGAAGGGAGCCGCGGTGTCGTGTGCGTTAGTACCTCACAGTGCGGTCCACGGGCACTGCCCTCGTGTCCGCTCTCTTAATTTTGGCGTTATTGAGCGGTTGTTGGATAGCTGACTGATCAATAGCGTAGCAGCCGCGTTATTAAATATTACATTGTTTTATGAAGTAAATCAATGAAAAGTAATCCTTGTATTAAATATTGTCCTCTTAATAAAATCATTTATAACGCGTGTTGCTTAATTATATATCGAAACTACCAAAAAAATTTAAGTTAGGAAAAGATAAAAGATTTAATATAAATTTTCCTCTGCTTATCAACCGTTTTTTCGGTAGTTATTTGAAGAGATTTTTTCAGAAGCTATTGGATGAGGGTTTTTCAGTAGCCATTGGGTGAGAAATTTTATCAATAATAAAAATAATTGAATTTTGACATTTTTCTATGAAATGTTAATATGGTTTTATAAAATCAATTTTCGATTCTAGTGACAGAGATATAGATTTATGGTTAGTTAAAATAACAAGAGTGAACATATATATAATTATAATCTTAACTCGTTAATGATAATTATGGAGAAAATTCAATAATTGGGCTATTTTTAAATTAAATCAGATTTGATATAGTGAATGTTTGATGTAGTGTTTTTGCTATGTTCAAAGTTTATTATATGGGTATTTTAATGAATTTAACTTGCACATTAAAAAATAAATATAAAAATTTTTACCAGTCAGGGGGTTCTTGACCTTTTCTTTGTCAAAATTGAATGTTCCATCGGCATTCTGTCGCAATAGCTTACCGCTTCCGTGTCCTAATAGCTCGTGAAGTCCTACTTGAACCTGGTGGATACGATACGTCATTACAGAATCTATTTATATATTAATACGTGAAGCAAAAACTTTGTATCCCTTTTTACGAAAATTGCGAGGACGGAGGAGTATGAAATTTTCTATACTTATAGAGAATATAGAGAAGTGCACAATGCTAATATTTATTTAAAATAATGCATAAAAGATACATTAAATCAATAAAGAAAACATTACACACACTACATACCATGTATTCGACACACACACATATACTATTTGTTTATTGTAAAACTTTTGTTATTGCTTAGTCTGTAGTCAAATTGAGAATAGATTAGTATTGTCTATCTTTAATATTACGAGTATTTGTCTATAGTGTAGTCTTGGTGAAATCTGTAACGATAGGACTATAATAATATTCAAACTTATAATTTCAATTAATTATAGTCGAATTTCGACTACTGCGGGACCACTAGTGTAATTTAATATTATAATACATCAGAAACGCTAACTACCTGTCTACATTAATAATGAGAGTTGAGTCGTCGTGGCCTAAACTGCCTAAAGGATAAGACGTCCGGTGCATTCGTAGTAGCGATGCACCGGTGTTCGAATCCCAATGACAAGTATGTACAAATTTTTCTAATCAAATACGTACTTAACAAATGTTCCACGGTGAAGGAATAACATCATGTAATAAAAATCAAAACCGCAAAATTATAATTTGCGTAATTACTGGTGGTAGGACCTCTTGTGAATCCGCGCGTGTAGGTACCACCACCCTATCTATTTCGGTCGTGAAGCAGTCATGCGTTTCGGTTTGAAGGATGGGGCAACCTTTATACTATACTGATACATTAGAACTCATATCTCAAGGCGGCATTTACGTTGTAGATGTCTATGGGTTCCGGTAACCACTTAACATTAGGTGGGCCGTGAGCTCGTCCACCCAAAAAAATCGTGAAAAAAATCATAATACACACAAAATGTTAAATATAGATCTTTTTTTTTTCACAGTCAAACTATGCTCCTTCAGATCCGAGATATTTATGCCCACGAATTATCCAATCATCGAGATATTTTCTAAAAGCTTTTTTCCGGAATCGATTTCAGTTCTCACCGCGAATTCTCCTTCATGTCTTAAAAGAAGTATAGCTTTTAAAAAAAACCGCTCACCTCAAAGGCGGAAACTCTGTATTTCTCCAGTAGTTGCTTGTCAGCATCAGACAGGAACGGTATGGTGTACTCCTTGTACGCGGCGGGGATCACGTTGCCCAGAGACACGTTCTTGAAGCCTTCGTTTTGACGGATTTCGTCATCTGAAACAAGGACAAACGAGCTATTTTTCTATGCATTGTTAACTACCGTATTTCTTTTTTTTTAAATTCGCGTGCCGTTACTTGATTAGAACTCTGATATTTAAAGAAGCTTTACCAATTTCAATAAATTTATAATGACTAGGTATACATAGAATACGACTGAAAAGTTTCAGTGAAGTGACACTTTTTGATTGGCTGATTTGATTTTTGACATTTGATAAACATACATATATAAGTTACACGATTGAACTGGCTATTTGAAAAATTAAAAAACTCAATTGCACGCATCACTTCATTATGTGAGATGTCGTTTAGGGATAAAATAAGCGACGAGTTATTAGTATAGGTTAGACTAAATTCATATATTAATAATGCACTAAATATGACAATACATGCGGTGGTCTGTTCAGTTTTTTCTGAAACTGTTGGAAGTTATAATTTTTCATTTGTGATTTGAAATCTAAATTATAAAGATTTCACAAAATTAATAGATTTTTGTTATTTAATGTCCGGTTGCTAAACGTGTATAATACACGATTCTCTCTTCTCATAATAAACTAAAATTGAAAAATACATCGAAGTGCTAGAGCACTTTAAACCATCCAGTCCAGTGGATCTGAGGTGAAATAACAACAAAGTTCTATTATGTAAAACTAAAAGTATTAACAAGTTAATGGCAGTTCTTGTTACGAAGAGCTTACACTTGCGGATTCTTGTTTTTCAAAGGCATAACTTGTTCACAAATTTCGCCTTAAGCTTTCTATGACATATTGACAATTTAATGACATTGTTAAATGATATAGCCGCCTGTCTGTCAGATTGAAAAACATATACTTACAATTAGGAATATTGATTCCGGCAGGTATACCACTTCCGGAAAACGTTAGAACGTCCAGACTCGTGAAATCGGGTCGCAGGAACGAATCCTTTTCTAAGTCTTCACCCCAGGGCAACAGTTTAATGAACCTCTCAGCGCCATCGACGAGACTGCCGAACTTCTTAGACATCTCCTTGTTGACCATCGCCACGAAACCCTCGAACTCACCCCGCTGACCACTCGGATCACGATATGTCTCAATGAAACCTTGATATCTGAGAAAAAAATTGATAAGCTACTTTGATAACAGCCGTAAAAATATCAAACATTTCCAAAACTCATACTCACGTCTCAATAATAGGTCCCTTATCTCTTATCCAAAATCTGCTTCCCTCTTTATGCTCACTAAGATCGCCTTCTTTAAAACTTTTAACATAATGCAAGAGCATGTTCTTCTCATTATCATTTGTTGCGTAATCCTGAGCTGTTGTTAGATGTTCGTTCACAATCTTCAGTAAGGGTGAGTAATCGCCGCGTGTAACTTGGAAGTAAGCGCCTTTGTACGATTCTTTATCCATCGTTAGGGGTGGTTTTGACGATGTTTCGACGCTGGCAAGATGAATGGTGTATAGGGGTACTGAAATAAAATAATTTATTGAAATCAGTGAATCACAGATATATATAATTCATAATTTATTAACACAGTTAAAGTACTTTAGCTGTCGACAATTTCACCGTCGTCAACAGATCATAAGAACGCTAGAAATGTTTATACGAAAAAAAAATGTTTTTTTCAAAAACTTAATAACTTGTATACATATATATGTTTATTTGTTTGTATGTTCCATTTCCATCTACTTCAAGACACCTTCTTAACTGGAAAATTTACACACTCATCAAATGAACAAAGAAAATACAGCAAATTACATATTATTATATGACTTTGTTATCGTACCCTTATGCACTTCAACAGAATTAATATATAATTATGTGTGGAATCGTTCATGAGTAAAAGTGAAATACAAACGAATTCATCAAAATTGGTCTAGCCATCTAGTGGGAATTCACTAACATACACACAGGCAGAAGGATTATATAAATTAAGACTAACGGAGCCGCCAGACGTTGTCCTGCAAAAATTCATTCGAATCGATCCAGCCGTTTAGTTGCAGTATAGATAAATAACCTAGATACCGATTGCACCGCCATCTTCTGGGCTGATTTGTGAATCTAAGCTATCCAGGGCGCTACCCAAATGCATACAAAAAAATTCATCCAAATAGGTCAAGCGCTTCAGTGACACTCACGCGTACAGTACAATCTATCTTCTATCTATATACATATATAAAAATGAATTGTTGTACGTTAGCCTCGCTAAAACTCGAGAACGGCTGGACCGATTTGACTAATTATGGTCTTGAATTATTTGTGGAAGTCCAGAGAAGGTTTTAAGGGAGATAAATATGAAAATGTTCGGAATTAAATAAAAATAACAATTTTGTTTTCCTTTGATGTGTCCCCCGTCGGACGGATTCCTTTTGTTTGTTCTAAGTATATTTATTGATTGAGGCACTACAAAGTCTGCCGGGTCAGCTAGTAAATGAATAAATTTAAAAACTTTGGCAATAAAAATATGTATAAGAAATGAATGAATGAATAAAAATTCTATATTGCACAAAATGTTATACAAAGGCGAACTTAACGCCATGCAGGCATTCTCTTCCAGTTAACTTTCGTTGATGAAGTGAAAGATTCAAGAAGTGCGTAGCTGTGATAAAGTTAATACATGGCGATCATTTAAAGAATTATAGTAGACATGAGTAATATGAACACTGGGTGAACTAACGCAATCCTTACAGGTACACCATCCCGCCTCTTTCTGCCGAAGTCATACGTTTCGATTTAAAGAACGGGATAGCCGTTATTCTATAAGATTCAGACTTACACCTTGTGTCTAGAGTTCGATGGAATAAAAATAACAATTTTGCTTTTCCTTTTGGACGGATTCCTTTTGTTTGTGTTAAGTTTATTTTATACAAAAGTTTAGGTCTGTTATTTATCGATTGAGGCACTACGAAGTCTGCTGGGTCAGCTAGTTATATATATAAAGATATATTTATTGATGATATTAAGTGTACTTACAGCCGTCATCAGCAACCGTTTTGAACGTACGACAAATGTACGCCTCTATGAGTTTAGTTTTCATCCAATCGTTAACGAGATTCGAATCTTCTTCGGTGCAGTTGCTTGAGAAATATGTTGTTACCCCCTGTTATTAATAATTATTTTAAAAATATTTCTACGTAATCACTATGACAGTCTGATTATGGTTTAGTTAGGTGCCTAAGAAATATCCGATATAAATCAATAGATCCAGACAATTTTTCTCTCAGCAGTAAACTTGGGATTAAAAGAGCCACTAGATAACAAGTCTAGTGTTGGTGATGTCAAGTGTGACTTATGTTTAACTTCATAAGTAGTTTAGATTAGGTGATTTTTTTTTAAATAATCAAAGTCACAGAAATCCACAACTAAGCAGTCAGACATCAATTACTAAATCGAACTGATTTAAAAGCATAATTTAGCATATCTTTTACTTTGTAATTATATTTCTTTCATATGCGTTTTCATCACCGAAACCTTCCTAATTTCCTTTTGTTGAAATTTGTGTATTTTTATATGGATCCCTGCATAGTTTGGAATAACATTTAGATATATCCATAGATGGCACTGCAATCAGATTCAACATTTTTCAGAGCAGTCTGCTGGGTCCATTGGGGAGTTGTATCATTGCATTGTTGTTGTTTTGAATACAAATATCTAATATTCAATAGTGTGTTTAAGTAATAGATAAGGTTTGGTTTGATTGGTAGAAACTATGACAAAGTTAGTGACCACTATCATTATTGATAATAATTGGGCAATAAAAATGGTGGTGAAATTGCAATTTATAAACCACTTTTAAGTTACACAATAAAAACATTAAATAAAAAGCAAAATATCCAAATTATTAGTGTGTAGTTTGCCTGTCAGGCAACATTACAGCTACACCTATTTGTTTCAACAATGATAAGATATTTTGTAGTGAGGTATATGTTTTAGTTGTTACATACCAAACTATTACTACATACTAATTACTTATTGAGACATTATCTTTAAATGCAGTATGTTTAGTAAACCAAAAATATGTGCACGGAAAAAGAGGAACCAAATAGTTAGCTATGTTGTTATATCTCTAGTCCTCTTATATGAAAAAAGGCACTTGTAAACAAAATTTTATTGGATCAACAAATTGAAGCAATTTTTTTTGTGATTTACTGTACAAAAACACACAAGTTATGGTTTTAGGAAAAAAACATATGAATACTAATTACCTTATTAGCTAAACCAAGACTGGTTAATCTGGGTGCAAGCCCATAAATGGCATTTTTAGTATTTTGCCATAACTTTAGTATGTGCGTATTGTCCTTTTCATATGCTTTAGATGCCTTTATAATTAATTCTAATGATTCAGCTGGTAAATTAGGAATGAACTTTGTATCACCAAAACCTTTATAGTTACCGCTGTTGGCAAATAGACCTCCTGCATAGACGAGAAAAGCCTGTGAAAGATATACAGTTGCATAATATATTATTATAACTAGATATTTATTAAATCAAGAAAGTTTTGCTGCTATACTTATTGCAAGACCTCTAGCACCTCTTAAGGAACAATACTGATCATNTGGTAAATTAGGAATGAACTTTGTATCACCAAAACCTTTATAGTTACCGCTGTTGGCAAATAGACCTCCTGCATAGACGAGAAAAGCCTGTGAAAGATATACAGTTGCATAATATATTATTATAACTAGATATTTATTAAATCAAGAAAGTTTTGCTGCTATACTTATTGCAAGACCTCTAGCACCTCTTAAGGAACAATACTGATCATAAGGTGATTGAACCCACACCAAATGACAAATACAAGCCAGCTCTTTCTACATGATTATGAGAGTTTGAGTTAATTCACCCAGCTTTGCCTGTGTGCCACCATCTAAGACACATGATAAAGTTTGGCTTCCATCCATAATAATAGCTGTCCTAGTCTAAAATTGATATGCTTTTTTTCCTCCTACTTATTCGCTGGTAGTCTAAGAGGCTATTCTAGCTACGCCCGGACGGGCAGGTGAGCTCACAGGCTCAATCTGAGAGAATTTGCTAACAATAGACTTAACAAGAGCAGTGTAGTGCTTCCTAGAATCTATCACCGGATCGGAATCGTGACCCACTGAGAAGATTCTGCGAGAAACTCAGTGGGCTGTGTCTATGGGTTAGTTCACTCGTCGAACTCTTCGTCGTAATCGACGAATTCGACGAGGGCGATGACTGTTGCTTGAGAGGCCTAAAGCACCGAGAGTGCATCCAGGGGATCTGACAAGCTATGTTTAGGGTGTTGGCGGCTTTGCGCTACCCCATCGTGGTCGGATAAGGTTGAGATTGATTGATTTAGTACATAACACAGAAAAACTCAAAACAAAGCTACTACTATTACAAACAGATTGTAGCTCTAACAAGCGAATGTATCTTTTGAAACATTAGGACAACCTATTATCATTTAGATTCACAAGTATCTATTATAATATTCAAGGGTCTTGATTTAACATTGCTATACTCAATGTAAAGTATTTATTGCTTACAGCCTTATAGTTGTTCTGTGATTTTTATACTAATATCAAAATTCTATATTTTACTTTACCTGAAATTCATCTTCAGATACACCAGATTTCAAAGCCGATTGTTTAAGATTCTCTAATGGCTCAGCCACAAAGACTCTATGCAGCAAGGAGAATATCTTTGGTGACTCAGGACTGGTCTGTACCAATACTATAAGTCCACCGTTCCATGCAGCCTGCAATAAATATTATATTATTAAAATCGGGTTACAATGCATTTTTTTCTATTGCTTAGATGTGTGGACGAGCTCACAGCCCACCTGGTGTTAAGTGGTTACTAGAACCCTTAGACATATACAATGTAAATGCACAACCCACCTTGAAATTTAAGTTCTAAGGTCTCAAGTATAGTTACAATGGCTGCCCCACCTTCAAACCGAAACATATTACTGCTTCACGGCAGAAATAGGCAGGCTTGGGAAGAGTCGCATAATGCCCTTGGGGTTTTCTGCGACTTATCTAAAGCTTTTGATTGTGTTGAGCATAATACATAGTTGAGGAAATTACACCATTATGGTATTAGGGGCGTTTCATTAGAACTTATTAAATCTTATTTATCCGGAAGAATCCAAAAGGTAGACGTTAAAGGAACGAGATCTTCCGGTGTCTTACTTAATATGGGTGTTCCTCNTGCATATTTAATTGCCTTCGACTACACTAACAATGTTTTCTTCTCATTTTATTTTGTTGAATTTGATTTATCTTTTTTTGTCAAAATTTCATATTATTTGTTGAAACATTGAAATGTTTCCGTTAAAAATTCCACAATAAAATTTTCCCGTGCAACAGGTCCCATCGATCCAAAACACTCGATTGGTCGTGGTCGACTTTCTCGTGAGTTCGTTCTGGATCTCGTTTTTTTTTTAATGCAGTTACTCTATTTTGAAAATGAAGGCAATTTGTCGCGTTCGATTCGTGGTCGGGCGGTGGCTTTGATGGGTTTTTATTGAGTCAGCAACGGGGCGATTGGCCGCGGTGCAGTCGCTGGCTTGTTCAATTACCGGCCTTTGTACTTAGATGCTCATAATCGTTATATAACGTTTAAGAGGTAACACGTTTAGGCCACATATTGATTCCCCTCTTCCTTATCTAGATAATGATATGACAGCAAATGTTTTAAGGCAACTGTAATCACACTGAACAAATTTAATAAGTTAGAGAAAAAATTATTAGTAGGTACGTCTCGTTGATCTAGTGGTTACTGACTATTTTACCACTAAACTTTGGAATCAGGTAACGATTCGAGCGCAAATATCTTATAAAAGAAATTAAACTTGCTCCATAATTCAAATTTTAATCCCATAATAAACATTTTCACTGTCGTCATTAATTCTGTCACTCTCTGTTCCATAAACAACCAGTCGATTTTTAGATCAGTTAGTAGGTACGTAAATGACGAGCTGGTGAACAGTCTATCACCTTAATTTTGGTACTTTTACCTTCATAAAACTATTAGTATTAGCGCATATGTATTAATCTAACCTATTTTTTTGACTTTTTTGACTTGTTTTTTCTTTTATTGTAAATATTTTTATTTATTTAAAAAAAAGAAAATATTTGAGAAAAAACAAAAAAAAAAGCCCTCTGAGTTTGTTTCGCCGGTTCTTCTCAGGACTGTGGCTTTTTTTGGAACCGGTGGTAGAGTTAACATTGTTATTTGTATTTTGACATTCAACAAGTGTGTCATACTGACATCTAAGTTGAAATAAATGATTTTGAATTTGAATTTGAATTTGGCAGTGGTACTACCTGTGAGGACTCACAAGACGTCCTACCAACAGTAATTAATATATTTCAATATTTTATATTAGTAGTATTCTATGGAATTCATCTGAATAGTTCAAATATGAAAATGTCATAAGGACAATAATTTTATTTAAAAAAACAGTCGAATTGAGAACATCCTCCTTTTTTGAGGTCAGTTAAAAAGTAATATTCACTTACCTGACTCAAATAATGAGCATATAATTTCTCATTAGTTGTTAGATTATCAAAAGCCTGCGAACTATCCAACTCCACGAATCTTTGGTTATTTGGCAGTAAAAAATTTGACTTGTCTTCCATGACTGTGAACAATTTAAAAAAAAAAAACTATACTAACCAAACAAGCAATGCAATTAATAAATATATACCTACTAAGAAAACTACTGACCATTAACTTTTTTCGGCTGAGTGATTTTATTTTGTTGTACACCTGAAGAACAAATTCTATGTTTTCCATTTAGTGAATCAGCAATTACAAGACGCCGGCATTTTGCAAGGTTAATAGTCAGATTCCGAATCATTGAACTTTTATGTTATAAATAAATAGCAAAACAAGTTAAATAACCTCGAATTTGTGTCGTACTTACTGATTTTTTACGTTCTTTGTGTACAATATTTTATTAATTTTTAACGTAAAACTTTGGTTAATCTGCTTGCCAACAAAAATTGAGTGACAGTCATTTCACAGATACACATAATATTTAACAGATTTTTTTTAAGATATTTTTTGATCTGGTAACTTAGACCTTTAAGTCATGTCTTATTTTAATTTATATATAATCATATTTTTATGAAAAATGATATTATGGAGTGAAATGAAATGAAGATGATTAATTTGAGACACTAATCAACTGGGGTGAAATTAAATGAAATGAATTGAGATGATATGGGATGAAATATAATCTCAGTAAAATTGTGGTCATTTACTAAGATTTTTTCAGTGGACTTTTTGGAGGATCCCGAGAAGTTACGTCCAGCAGCCACCAATAAACCACCATTATTACACATTTAAACCCGAAGAAACACTAAATAGACAAAATAAAACAAATCACACAACTTAACTCCTCGCGTTCCCGCCAAAAAGTCCTTTATCAAACAAACTTAGTAGACTGGCATAGAAAAAATATAGCAGAGAAAATTGATCTTCAGCCAAGTTCAATGTGAAGACATGGGATAGATTATATTTTTTGGCCGCGATGACTTAATTGTAAGTAAGTTAGTACTGTTTTTATTTTTACAATCAGTGGTTTCGTTTTTGCCATTGCCGGTCCCAAGCCCGGATGAGAAAAGAGGAGGGTTGGCGTCGGTATGCCACCTACCTAGTCGTAAAAAATATAACGCCGAGCTACGGGCGGCGGTCAACTAACCCGAAATAAGGCCTCAGTAGCCCAGAGGAACTAAATCGCCTCTAAAATTCTGCTATGGAAGGACGCGGGAACCCACCACTAGTAATTTTCCCAAGAAAACCTTTACGTATGAACGAGCTCTAATATTGATGTGAGGACGTTGGATTATCCGATTAACAACCGGCATCAGCGGGTACCTGGGCCGACTGATGTGAAGTATGCTACCGAAGTTTCCATTGAGGTTTCTAGCCAGGCCTCATATGGAAGGAATGCTACTGGCCAGCACCAAGTCATCATGAACAAATTACCCATTCGGAAAGAACACCTCATTGCTACGTGGAACGTTCGAGGATTATTTAAAGGTCACGACCCTCAGAACTGAGGAATACGACGCACGCAGGAGGAGGAGAGGTTTCGTTTTAAATTTTAATTTTAGAGTGCAGACGTCACAACGAATTTTCGAGGAAGGCAACGGTTTTCTCAGTTCGATTCTCCCTGAAGAGCAACTATGATAGCTTGGTAATTGCTCGAATCTGATTTTGGAATATTTATGTTGATTATAATAACGTTCTTGATAAAATTGCATGGTGGGTGGCCTAAAAACTCATATGCTACTTGAAATAAACTATTAGGGAAATAAAGATTGCATTCGTGTTCTAGTAGTACCTATATTTAAAGCGAAAGTTAATAGTTTTAAGAAGTAAGTAGAGTATGTTGTTATGCGGTAAATACATACTATGTACATGAATTTACTTTAAGAAATAAAAATATAAATTGCTTTGCCTAACTAAGAAAGTGCTACAAAATCCCTTGATTTGTCTATTTTTTTTTACGTACAGACGTTTAAAAAAACATCGCTTTTCTATGATAATAATGATACTTTGTAGCAAGTTGCGTTCATCTAGAGTTGATAGATAAAGAGATATTTTATTTTCACAATTTTTTCATATATTCATTATCTTGTGCCTAGTAATCGGATTATTTCATTTTTAGCCTGTGCTAGCAACCCTAATTCAATGAAGTAAACATTCAACATGGATGGTTTTGATTTCTTCGTTCCCGTGCTTTAGGTCCTATTCTAATTTGTTATAATGCTTAATTAAAATGAATTAAAACGTCATTGTTTAATTTAAGAAAATGTCTTCGGAGAGGTAACTCTTTTACTTATGTATCGTGTTAATGTTGATTAATAGCTTCCGATACCCCTAGTTTGAAAGTTGCAAAATCAATAAAGTGTACGGGAATCGCTAATGTCACGCCCTGAAACTGTGTCAGGTAGCTATTGCGGTGTGCTGTAACAGTGATAAAGTGTGTTTGTTGGCGATGTTTTATTCTAGGGTAGAATGGGTGGAGATAATCGAGCCGAAGACAAAGGAGCATATGTATGCTAACCTCACCACTGGGGAATGCGTCTGGGACCCACCTGAGGTAACACATATTTGATAAAAAAACGGTACCGGCAGTGTCACTTCCTGGATTGCAATTTCGCCGCAAACCGGCGCCTCAATGTTATTACTCAATTAATTCATATGCAAACAACTGCAACAGTTTATGAATGCTTATACCATTTGAAATATACAAGAAATTCAGTCAAACAAATGCCTAAGGAAGTGTAAAATAAGAATAGCTTATGTTGTGAAAGTACAGTTACAATTACAATTACAAAAACAAAGTACAATTACAATTGTTATTAGATTGACTTTAATTAAAGAAATTGGTAAAAAAGTATAAATTTTAATTGAAATCACCAAAAGCTGTTTTTGTTTTCACAATAATATTAAATAATAATGAAGAATTCTGACAGTGAACTTTTAATATTTGATAGGAATTGACAACTGGAATCAACTGGAGTTATTGCATCAATTATATTAGGAAATGGAAATTTTATTAAAACAATATAAATGAGATATTGGAACTGTGTTTCCACAAGTTATGATAATTGTATTCAATGATTTAAACTATTTTCACTCACATTTATTTCAGAATTTAAAGGCAGCACAAAGACAAATGTTGATAGTGATATTCATCATATTATTATGTGCTATGTAGTACTGTACACCCCTTACTTTTTTTCCTATTTATAGAGAAGTAGTTTTGCTAAAATTAACAAATCAAGTAATATTTCTAACATGCAAGTAAAATTGTGCAAAATTGTGTTTGTGCACAATTGTGTGAAACACTAAAATGAGATATCTTCTTACCCTACTTGCCATATTCCCCAGATGTTGTGCTATATCATTATTTGTTCTGTTCTTTGACACATGGTCTGGTCAATCAACAGTGGGCTTAGTGTGAGTTTTTTAACATTCTTGATAGTGCGAAAGTTAACTCGAATTTGTATGGAGTTGGAACGTTTGCCTACATTTGCCTCTAGTTCCAACTGTATTCAACTTGGAACTGTACTGAACTGTATTCTTTTACGCTATTGAGAACGTTAAAAAACTTACACTAAGCACACTGTTCCACTCATTTACAGACATCAAATAATGGCTTAATTTGTGGATAGTTTCAAAAGAACCCTTATTCCTTCGAGGTATACACCCTCTACCCGAAAGATAGGAATAAATTCTGACTAGTTATGAGCGATACTTTCAAATATTCATATGTAATTATTATTGCACAATCAATTTGCATTGTTATCAAAAAAACAGTCCGAACCTATTTGTGGACCTTATTTAGTAGATTTGAGACTTTTTAAAGTGATGACAGCAAATACTTAGTGCTCTTTATGTATTTTTATTTTATATTTTTATTGCCCTTGAAGGCAGACGAGCATACGGCCCACCTGATGGTGAGTGGTTACTGTCGCCCATGGACTTCAGCAATGCCAGGGGCAGAGCCAAGCTACTGCTTACTGTTAAAATATGCTCTAGTAACCCCTCACCACATGAGCTATGAGAATTTTAAAAATTAAGACTATGTTTCTGGTGTTTTAAGCGATTATTGTCCATACTTAATTCCATTAACATATCACAAATATGGATTGATTGAGTTCAAACCATTAGTTATTTGGTTGGCAATTTGAGTTTTCGTGACGATCGCTCAGAGGAGCAATTAAGTAAGCTAAAATAACTTCAAAACTGTTATGTTATTCAGAGCACCATAAATTATATTAGGTTGAGCGGGTTTGTGTTTGCCAATGCCAGGATTTTAATATAGTGCCATTCCTTTAAAGTATTCTGTATCAAACATTGTCTCTGTGCTCCTTCCTCAATTGTGTTTTTTTAATTAAAAGTTCAGTTCATTTTCAGTTTTAGTGCTTGTTCATATGATTATAAAATTATACTTTTTAGGGAGTGAAAGTGAAACGCACCGACTCATCACAGTGGTGGGAGCTCTTTGACATCAATACACATAGATTTTATTACTATAATGCTTCAACACAGGTTTGTACAATGCAACATAGAAATAAATTTGATTATAATTGATTTCGAATATTCATCTCTTATTTATTAATTTACATTATTTATTACAACGTGTCTTAAAAAAAAAATTATCCATGAATAATTGTAAAGAGGAAGCTGAAAATGAAATGTTTGATTAGTTTCTTCTAACAGCATTAATTATTTTACAGACAACTGTGTGGCATAGGCCCACTGATTGTGACATAATACCATTGGCGAAGCTTCAAACATTGAAACAAAACACGGACCCACAGAAAAGGCGAGAAACATCTACACAAACAACCCAATCTGCCCCACAGGTATTACTTAGACTAATTTATAGATATTGATTTGTAATACTAAAGAGTGAATACATATTTTGTCTAGAACAAGATTAACTCTTTGACAAATCAAACAAGAGTATGTATGTTGAAAGGTGTTAAAATGTAAATAAAAGCCAAATACAGCATTCTCAGTTTCAGCTTATGATCAGTATTATTAATATATTTCAATCATCTGTTATATCAGCTGGAACAGTTTATATTATAAGTATGTTGACTACATTGCAGCTGCTGTTGGATAATTGTTTGAGAAATAGGTAACTAGCTAACTAGGTCAGGATTCTCTAAGAACTTATGTGCGTAATAGAATTTTATCTATGTTCACTAAACTGCTGTTATTAAAAAAAACGATTATAAAGTGTTTCAAACATTATTTTATAATCGTTTTTTCATTATTTTTATTTTTATAAAACAACTAGCGGCCCGCTCCGGCTCCGCTCGGGTCTTTAAAAAAAATTTCAACGGTATTTGACGTTCTTTTATGTTTTTGAATAAAAGAGCACTTATTGCGGCATAACTATAATAGTTAGACATAATATGCTGTCGCGACGCTTTTTATAAATAATAATGTGTTCTACAAAGTCGTAGTACATTATTTTATTCTATCATCACACACATAGCTTTCGCAGGGCACGTGATGTCAAGAATATTTTAGATACATTTTTACACCTTGGGTTACATTATTGGAGTTTTAGTAAGGATCCCTAATTTTTTTCAAAAAAGATAACCTATGTTGCTCGGGAATAGTGTAGCTTCCAAACAGTGAAATAATTTTTCAAATCGGTTCAGTAGTTTCGGAGGCTATTCAATACAAACAAACAAACAAATCTTTCCTTTTTATAATATTATTAGTATAGATTAGTATAGATAATTACAAACACTTTATTTTTGTAAGATATGAATTTTATAAAGTTGATACAAATATAAAATTACTTTCATTAAGCCTGTAAATAAACTCAGAACCCTCGAGATTAGATCATTGCCGCCACTCACTTAAAAACGTGATTTCCAAAACATGGTTGTATTGTAATAATCGATACCTATCACTCTTCAAACTGGAATTCAAGACTATGGCGCAGAATCTTAAATTAATCTTAAGTTTGGTAAAAGATAAGTGACATCATAGTAGTTTCAACTTTTTCGCCAGACGTCGTTAATAGAACCTACAAGCAGCAATGGAAACAGTACATCGGCCAGCGCCAGCAAACTTTCGCCTGGAAACCTGAAGATTGTTACACAGACGAGTCCCGTAAGGACGAGGCGAACTCATTACCATCATAGGTAAGTAATAAGTAGTCTAAAAAGTTACCTATATTATTTATTGGGTTTTAAATGCCCACTGCATTTAAAATCTTGCATTAGAATTTGTTAGGTGTGTCTCACAATACATAATATTATATTATAATTAACCATTCATCGATTCATCAAAGTCAAAATGAATTTTGGTATTGCTTTTAACCTTCAAATACCTTTACCCTTACCTTTTGCGGTAGGCAGCGGCTTGGCTCTGCCCCTGGCATTGCTGAAGTCCATGGGCGACGGTAACCACTCACCATCAAGTGGGCCGTGTGCTCGTTTGCGTAGAAGGGCAATAAAATAAAATAAAAAATAGAGAACGTAATTTTTGAACGACTAATTATGTTTTCGGTCACAGGAATAGCGGTGAAAGTAGGCGTGGTAGGTTAAGTGAAGATGGTACGAGCCAAATATGCCGGCACACTGACTCCGGTCGGTCTTCCGACAGCAGCATCAGCAGTGCACAGCAGAGACGGAAACAGGTAAACGCCTTGCCATTTTAAAGGTACGATACAAAAAGCTGAGGTAAAGTAAGGCAGTGCTTACCCTATTCAGTGACATTATGAATGCCGATACTGTGTCTAAGTTTCTGGTACGTCACTAACTACTCACAGTAGTACCCCATAGACACAGTCCACTGAGTTTCTCGCCGGATCTTCTCAGTGGGTCGCGTTTCCGATCCGGTGGTAGATTCTGCTCTTGCTAGGGCCAGTGTTAGCAACACTCCGGTTTGAGCCCCGTGAGCTCACCTACAAGTCAAGTAGAAGCTGAAATAGCCTCTCAAGGCTATCAGCACAGGTAGGAAAAAAAATACAGTACATCCGGCTCCGGTAACCACTTAATACCAGGCGCGCTGTGAGCTCGTTCACCCATCAAAGCAATAAATAAATAAAAAATGCGTTGATTGAGGAGCTTAAAATTGCGTATGAATTCTTTTCGCCGTAGATCATCGTAATTGTAATTTCAACGAGATTAACTGTAACCTTTTCTGAGACAAACGGTGCTAAGTGTTAGACAGACAAGGGTTCCGTTGGTTGCTTTTTGTGAAAGTTAAAACCTTACCCAATGAACCATAATAACAGGTAATAAGGTTCTTAATGCTGTACTTAATTGCATTTTTATTTTAAATTAGGAACTAAATGCGGCTGCCTGCAATCCTCCGATATGCACACCACAGTTAAGGAAACGTAGCAGCGCGACACCTGCTCACGAACCAGAGAAGTGGTCGCAACATTCAGGTATGTGTACAACTGCTCATTTGTCGTACAACATCACGAGAACAATAATCGGAATAATAGGAAAGCTTAATGTAACAAGGAACAAGAATGTTTAATGGACAGTATTATCCAATAAAGTGACATTTTTGAGGGCACCCTAAATCTCTAGTGAATATTATTTGTATTTTGTAAATTTGATATGGCATTGATAAAATTACATATGTTGTGTACTAAATGAAGAATTTTATTGTTATCAGAAAATGAAACATAAACTATACATCTGTTAAGGATGGTTACTAGTTACTGGTTAACCACAATCAATGACCTCTTATCATTGACAGGTTGATAAACGCGTTAAAAGTAAATGTGAAAGTTTAAGCATAGTAAGTATAATTGACGTTACAAAATGATTAATAGCCAATTCATGTTGAAATTACAACATGTTTGTTGATTCAAAACTTCGAACGAAAATTCGTTTCCTTAGCTGATGACATCTACTACCCAAAGGTTTTACTCATTTGGACGAATTGATGGGGGTCTTATGATTTTAGTAATCATACTGTATGCGGACACGATTCCCAAATAGCTATAATACGGTACGACATATGGATGTTCTTATGGTGTTAGTTGTTTTTATTCCCACGCGGTCTATTCAAATATCTGCAGACTGTCAAGTCTCACGTATTCCGCGTGCCCCCAAGGCGTGAAAATCGCGGATGAGGTCCGGCCTAATGCTCGAAAAAAAAAATTATTCCATAGACCGGCGTTCCAAATGGTGTCTGCTGTAATTATTAATTACCTAATTGTTGTCTTGGAAGTCATCCATACATATAAATAAAATTGGAGTGTCTGTTTGTAATATTTAAATAACCGCTTTTTACTACATGCATATAAGTATATATGCGGTACAGACAATATATTTTTCTACAATTTTTGTCTGTCTGTCTGTCTGTTTGTTCCGGCTAATCTCTGAAACGTCTGGACCGATTTTGAAGAGACTCACTAATAGGTAGCTGATGATATAAGGAGTAACGTAGGCTACTACTGGTGGTAGGAACTCTTGTGAGTCCGCACGGGTAGATACCACCGCCCTGCCTATTACTGCCGTGAAGTAGTAATGCGTTTCGACTTGAAGGGTGGGGCAGCCGTTGCATTTACGTTGTAGATTGTCTATGGGTTCCAGTAACCACTTAACACCAGGTGGGCTGTGAGCTCGTCCACACACCTAGGCAATAAAAAAAAGGCTTCTACTTTTTTTAGACTAGCTTCGCCCTGCGGCGTCACCCGCGGTACGACTAACCGCAGGACTTAGCTATCAATAATAAAATTTAATGCTTCCGAAGTGAAGCGAGGGCGGGTCGCTAGTCGCCAATATGATGACGACCGTGAACATCGCTGGTGAAGTACAAAAGTAATATCGAGCTTAGCTGAGCTGTGTTACCTGATGCTTACAGCGTATTTAATACATAATTTGTATAGACAAAGAAATGCAGCTTGCAATGTACCTAACTAACGTGTGCGCTGCTTGTACCGGTCATCGTTCTCGTCGAACCCGTCGCTTGCGACAAAGGGCTCGACGAGCGAATTAACCCACAGACACAGCCCACTGAGTTTCTCGCCGGATCTTCTCAGTGGGTCGCGTTTCCGATCCGGTGGTAGGTTCCGCGAAGCACAGCTCTTGGTGGGGTTCGTGTTAGCAACAACGTCAGGTTTGAGCCCCCTAAGCGCGCTTACTCGCCTGGTTACGCTGATCTCTCAAGACCATCAGCTTAGGTAGAAAAAGAAAAGGCTGTTTATGAAACATTCGCTAAAACATCACAGAACATTACGAAACTGTTATCTCGAATTTTATCCCACAGTCACAAAGTACACTATGTTTTCTTATCGCACGGCACCTGAATCACAATGATGTCACGCCCGCAGTAATCTAATGACTGAAATTTGATTTATCACTATACAAACTACATTGCATGCTTAAACATTGCTCCCTAAGTAGGTCTTGAACTTTGTTTAATGTAATTTTTTTTTATGGATACTCTGAGCTTATGGGTCTTTGCTTTAACCGTTTCAGTTTTTAATATAGGACTTTCTGACAGATTTAAGATTAGAAGAAAACAAAAGATTATAAGACGCCCAAAAGAAGTATTCAGGGACATTAAAAAAAACTGGGCAAGCGTCTTAATGTCTCACTACTAAAAGTGAAAAGTCGTGTTAGGATGTACCTTTAACGGCAAAACACAAAGTTTTTTTTTTATTGAGTGTAAAGGGTGAATAAAAATGTCATACATATAAATTAATACGTGAAGCAAAAACTTTGTATCCCTTTTTACGAAAATTGCGCGGACGGGGAGTATGAAATTTTCCACACTTATAGAGAATATAGAGAAGAAGTGCACAATGCTAATATTTTTTTAAAATAATGCATAAAACATACATTAAATCAATAAAGAAAACATTACACACACTACATACCATGTATTTGACGCACACGCATGCATACTATTTACTGTCAAACTTTTGTTCTTGACGTCTGTGGTCAAATTGAGAATAGATTAAATATTGTTTGTCTTTATTAATATTTTTTATAGTGTAGCCTTGGCGAAATTTGTGATTATAGAAGTGTAAAATACAATCATAATAGTGTAAAAACTTACAATTCCAATTAATTATAATCGAATTTCGACTACTGCGGGACCTCTAGTACATATAAATTAATCAAACTTATTTTGGTGGAAAATTACTGGAACACGTTTTTACGATTTTCTAGAAACGCACGGCTCACAACTAGAATATAAATAAAATTGCTTACATACATGCGTTTGTCGAATGAAAGTGATTATTATCCAATCACATAATAATGTGAAAATTCCTATCCTCCTAATTCATTCAATTCATTATGTTTTATTACACTTCAAGTAATATTTACATTGGCGCATTTAATACTTAAGGCATTCTCTACCACTCAACCAAAAGTAATGTAGAGTAAATAATGGTAGGTGCATTATTAACATTTAACTTAAATTACAAATAGATGCATACCATACATAAGGGTAAATACATATACATATACAGTCAAACCTGGATAAGTGAGAGTTGAAGGGAGCACAATCTCATTCTCGCTTATAGAGGTTTCTCACTAACCCGAGTTTCTCGCTAATGCTCCCTCTGAATTTCATTTCGCGATTTTCCGGATTCAAACGCATTCACTATTTTAAGTTTATCACTTAATGGCAGTACTTAAATTTTCTGTATTGACATGATGCAGAACAGAACTTTCTTTCACAATTGATTAACGATAAACTGAGTAAGTCTGACATACAGGACGGTACACAGGCACACGTGTCCATTCGAAAAGAATGCGATAAAATAACAACGAAATAGAATAGGTTCAATATTGACGAGAAAACAATACAAAAACAATGGTAGAGAGTTCCAAGAAAGTTAAGAATGAGTCATAAAATAGCAGATGTTAAATTTGTGATTTGTTTTGTCATTTGTTCCTCCTAAATAATATAAATATACAAGCTGACCCGGCAAACGTTGTGTTGCCTTAAATAAGATTTCTAGGGAAATTCTACTGTAGAAAAAAAAACCTCATTTAACCACATAATACCTCATTGTAAACCAAAAAAAATATCCAAAAAATTAAAATAAAAAATTTATGTTTGGGGTCGACAACCCTTTTCACTTAGGGGTATGAAAAATAGATAGTAGCCGACTCTCAGACCTACTGAACATACTATTGATACACAAATAAAACCAAAAAAACATGGCTGAAAAATGTATAGTATTGTATAGCTCTCAAATATATTAAGTGTATAATCTATGATGTATAGTGAGTAAGTAAGACAGGAGACCGGCTTCGTCCTCATCCCTACTACGTGATGTTTGCTGGATGAGTGGTGACACCTGGCGGGGATAGCTGATCGATTGATAGTTGATCAGTAGTCGACCGGCGAGGGCGGGAGATCAAATTCAATTTAAAAAAAATCATAATTAAAGGAACTTGAAATTATAAACTCTGAATAAGAGTTTATCGTACTACAATTATAATATTTGATTGCCATCTTGCAACCTTATTGCGGAACTGTGCATAGAATAAAAAAAATATTGATCGGGATGGAAAAATAGGGGTTGATCGTATAAGAGTGAAAATTGAGAGTAATAATATGATTTTTTTTACTTTAAGTCATGACAAAATAAAAACAAAATTCTCGCAAAAAATTTTAAAGTTTTTAATTAGCAAATAAAAAATAAGGGTTGATCGTAGAGGGGTGAAAATTGAGGATTGTATGTATTTTTGTATGTTGTATCATAAAAAAATAGAAATTAAAAATTTTGTCTAAAAAATACAAAATAAAATTTAGGGGTGGACTACCCCTAACATTTAGGGGGACGAAAAATAGATGTTGGCCGATTCTCATAGATACCGAATAAGCACAAAAAATTTCATCAAAATCGGTCAAGCCGTTTCGGAGGAGTATGGCAACGAAAACTGTGACACGAGAATTTTATATATTAGATAAAGCTCGACTGTCACTTATAGAGGTATAGATATGTAGCAGTCTCACTTACGGAGGTCCACAAGGGAAAAACGACTCTCTTTTACAGAGGTTTCTGTTTCTCGCTAATAGAGGTTTTGGGAGCTTAAAATGACGGGTCCTGGCTACTACTCTCACTTATAGAGTTTTCTCACTTATCCAGTTCTCACTTACCCAGGTTTGACTGTATACACAAATATATACACATATACATACATAAATGCATAAATGGTTTACACAGTATTTAAAGGATTAACAAAAACTTAATAAAATCATGACAATTCCGCTAACTTCTCCAACAGCATTGGCCGAACCCTTAACTTGATCACGCACTTGTCAGTAATGGTTTTCCTATTTCGAGATTTATCTATTCTGAATGTTTTAATTCCAGGTCTGAACAGAAGTGGCAGTTTTATATCGCCCCGTAAAGACGCGTCAGACGACTCGATGCACGAGAAGTATTTCAAGTCAGTCGAGAGCACACCGTTGACGAGACGAAAGGTGAATATTCATTGCTCATATTCCAGCTTAAATTAGGTCCTAAAGCACAAAAATCAGAAGGATAAAAAAGCCACTAAAGACAACTGTCGCCTATGTCATTATTAGCTTTACAAATGCATAATAATATGTTGTTAATTTTTTGTCAACTCTTATTAACACAATTCACGTAACATACATTAAACTTTGAGGAAACTGAAAATTAAATTATACACGTCTAACATCGAACCTGACAAATCTTACTAAAGTAGGTACAAATCCGTGTCGTCATGAATGTGAGAGAATAATTGCTTGTGGTACTACAATTTGACTCCTGATGTCAATGAGCGAAGGTAATCGCTCACCATCAGGTGGGCCGTATGCCCGTCTGCCTACAACTTTAACAAAAAAATCTTCATTAAATACAATTAATGAAAGTATGTTGAGTTTTAGTATAGTGCTCAGTACTTGGTGCCATATTTAAACGTGCTAGTTTCAAAGTAATACTCAGCTGAACGAATAATCTTTTATATAATATTATATCGAGGGGTGAATTGGTTTAAGCGACATTTCGCTTAGTACGCAATGTTCACCTTTGTAATGAAAGATTCGTTCTATTTGGTATTAGTATCAACAATTCGATGCCTTTAACTTCTTCTTCAACTTCAATTATGTTGACCCCATTCAAATAGTGGATTTTTTGTCATGATATTTTTTCTAAAATTTAGCTTCTAATGTAAAATAAATCTGTAAAGTTCCAAAAATGTCGCTTAAACCAAATAAGCTTTCATCCCTCGATATGTAATATATGTACTTTCTTTTTCAATATTCTTGAAATGCTTGGTACAGTTGAAACAACAATCCGGTGGCGGCTCGTCATGTGATTCTGCGTCTCCTCAGAGCCCCAGCAGTCCATTGCAGAAACCACAGCCTACGCCATTTTTGCAGGTGACTTCTTCGATAACATTTTTAATGAGTGAGATCACAAAGTGCAACGCTTTGTTGATTTTGTTAATTCTTAAAGAAATTGTAGAAACGTAATTTTTAGTGAAACGTTGAGTACTTGTTTTAAGACACGCTGTATACAAGCCCACTGAGTTTCTCGCCGGATCTTCTCAGTGGGTCGCGTTTCCGATCCGGTGGTAGATTCTGCGAAGCACTGCTCTTGCTAGGGTCAGTGTTAGCAACTCTCCGGTTTGAGCCCCGTGAGCTCACCTACACACGTTAGGGTGAAGCCTCTCAAGGCTATCAGCATAGGTAGGAAAAAAAAAAAAAAAAAAAATGCTGTGTATTGCGACTATGTATACTTTCATAAAAGTGTTTACTTAGCCTTAGGTCAACGATCCTGTATGTGATCAATTATCAAATGAATTTGTAGACGTACTTTTTACATGTTAGTTCTTTACGTATGACGTTATTTAGGTTCAATTAGGCGATGACTGTTGGCTAATCATAGATCGTTTAATAATACAAAACTGTTAGCCATATATAAAACATTTTATACGATGTGATTGGTATCTAGAGGAGCGATATTATTAAATATGTGATTTAACCCGATCCATTAACGGTGCTTTTAGGTACCTCAAGCACTGGTTACCGTCCTCACCGAACCCGTCGCTTGCGACGAAGGGCTCGACGAGTAAATTAACCCTATACTACTGCCTATTTCTGCCGTGAAGCAGTAATGCGTTTCGGTTTGAAGGGCTGGGCAGCCATACTGAGACCTTAGAACATATATCTCAAGGTGGGTGGCGCAATTATGTTGTAGTTGTCTATGGGCTTCAGTAACCACGTAACACCAGGTGGGCTGTAAAAAAAATGTTAATTGCTGTGTTAATGTTTCCAGACAACATCGGCTCGCCCCTCCCTGGTGTCGTCGATATCGCTGGCGACGGAGGCGGCGGGCGGCGCGTCGCGCGTACTGCACAGCCTGGAGCGGCCGCACCATCTGTCGCGACACTCCAGGGAGCGGTACTCTGATAGGTATATAGCCTCTATGTCGTTGTGTTTAGAACGTTTATAGCTTAGGGGCAAATAGACGCCAACTCTGGTAGGAGCTAGTTACACTATATAACCCAGCGGTCGGTGAACTTTTTTAATTATTACCCCAAAATATTTTTGTGTAAGTTGATATTACCCCATGGCAAAGAACAAAAAAAAACGAAATCGCTACTTTTTAGTATATATTATAGCACCCATGATAATTTGAAATCACAACGATTCTAAAGGAGTTTCACTTAAATATAATCTAAACGTCTAAATTACGTTTTGTCATGAATCTATGGCATTATGAAGAAATGGAGGGGAGGTTTATTAGGAGAATAAAATCTATGAATAGTGCAAATTACACATGTTTATGAAGACTTTAGTGTAGTACGTGCAAAGGAATAAATAATTTTAATTATTAGAGGAGTATAGAGTGTAATGTGAACATTGATACTGTTACGGCGTTAAGAGTAACGCCATCTATCGCCGAATAATCGAACGAATATCAAAGAATCTAGTAGCATCTAGAAAGCTCGAGAAGTACAACGCCATTTATTGTCAGATAGTCCGCTATCTGGCACAACACTCGAAATGTGTGGAATATTCTCGATAATTCTAGAGATGTGGTATCGGCTATAAAAGCGTTGCAGAGATGGCACGCAGTCAGTAATCGGAACTACTCGAAGCGAAACAGCGAACGGATCACCTGAAGCGAAGCGGAAGAAGGGAATTGAGAATTTGAAAGTGTTGTGAAGTGTTTTAAGTGTTGAATACAGCTTTAATTTAAACGCGTAATAAGCCAGCGCGTAATAATGCCATTATTTAATTTCTGTATTATATTATTCAATAATTATAATGATTGTCGATTATGAAATGGATGGATTATGTGAAAGACGATATGGGTAGGAGGGGAGTGAGCGAAGAAATGGTATATGATAGAAGAGTATAGAAGTAGAAAACATGTTGCGCCGACCCCAGGTGACTGGGAGAAGGGCAGGATAATGATGATGATGTCGATTATGAAATTAAAAACGTTTATAAAGTTCAGCCGTGAAGCAGTAGTAATGTCTAACGCGTTGCAAAAACATGTTACTTTCGTTCTTTTTATGTGTTATGTTTATATGAAAATTTGTATATTCCAGACATTTAGACAAGGATCGTTTGGCGGAACTGGAGCGAATGGACCGCTATCCTGAGAAACAGGCCGTCTACAGCGTCGATAAACCTTTCAGACAAACCAGTTTAGATTTGCGGCACAATGCGGCGGCCAATTGGAATCCTTCAAGGGAGTTCACCAGGTACAAATTATAAGTTACCACTTATTTTGAAGCCCTCCTGCTATTCATTTGTTTTGAATGGATATGTATAACCACGTTTTTTGGTTTTATATTTTATTTTCTATTAGGACGTTTTGTAAGCATGCACGGGTAGCTACCGCCGATCTATCTATTTCTGCCGTGAAGCAGCTATGCGCTCAATCTGAAAGGTGGGACAGATAAACAATACAATTGAAACCTTGACCTTATGTCGGAAGTTGGGTGCGGGTATTCTCGATGCGATGTCTATGGGATCCGGTAACAACTCTAGACCAGGTGGGCCGTGAACGCATTCAGTGTTATGCCCCCAAAAAAAACCCCATTTCTTATTTTTACTTTCGCAAACCCCAACTGGGACACACCAGTAACTGCATACCTATAACTAATTGTTTAAACACTTTGCCGTCCGCCAACACCACAGTGGTGTCGTGAGCATCTTTTGCATTCTGTTAGTGTTTTGTTAAGGTAACAATAAGCTACACATTGTATTTATTTAGGTATGTGTATCTTGAAAATTTTTCTGAAAGTAACGAACAGCGTTGAGAACTTATGAGAACTAATGATGAGATTAGTAAAAGTTAACAATTTGTAATTATCCGATAATGTCGAGAACGGCCTGCGACAAGCCAAGTAATCGGAATTAATTACAAGACATGCGGACGGCAAGGTCTTAATAAATAAACAGTTAACTTTTCTGTTGTAAATTTAAAAAAAAAACCTGATTGTAAACTGCGGTATCGTTTTGAATTAAACACGATAAAGTTACATTTTAATTGATATTTGTAGGGTAGTTATTGTTCCTTATTCCGTTAGGTTAGAGGCCGGTTAGCTCACCTACTAGTTTTGTGAATCTTGTCTAACTCCTCGAGGTTCCTAGAATAAGTAAAAAAAAAGTTCCTTTTTTCATAGACGCCAACAAGCCGAACCCGAGCGCTACACTTCCAGCAAGACATCGGTCTCGTCTGGCGGCAGCAGCAAGCATCGCTCGCATGAACCCCATCATAACTACATGAGGCTATCGTCCGCTAATGAACAGGACAATATTGCAGCAGGTCAGTCGAAATTTATACGCAAAATGAGTTCAGTCAGAGATCAGAGATCATAATCATTTCTTTTTTATTGCTTAGATGGGTGGACGAGTTCATAGCCCACCTGGTGTTAAGTGGTTACTGGAGCCCATTACGACGTAAATGCGCCACCCACCTTGAGATATACGTTCTAAGGTCTCAAGTATAGTTACAACGGCTGCCCCACCCTTTATACCGAAGACGGCAGACATAGGCAGGGTGGTAGTACCTACACGCGCGGACTCTCAAGAGGTCCTACAACCAGTAATCATCCATCTCAGCCTGCTAAACATAGGCCTCTCCAGTCAAACTCCAGTGAGGCCATACAGCTGCCACCTCCAGTGATTTTCACAAGGCGATTCATGATCAAACAGTTACAAAGATTATAAAATAAGCTGATAGATTAAATAACTCACATTAGGAAAATAAACTTTTGAAATTTAAGCGTTTGAATTTGTGCCTTCGTTGAGAATGCATTTCGCATTGTCTCTTTCTCGGAAAGCGAGATTTGTTATCGAATTTTTCAGTAATTTTGAACATTGACGTCATAGTGCATATGCCATAAAACGCTATGTTATTAAGTGTTGAACTTGTAGGTAGTAGCAAAGTTAGGCAGCGGCTTGGCTCTGCCCCTGGCTTTGCTGACGTCTATGAGCGACGGTAACCACTTACCACCAGGTGGGCCGTATGCTCGTCTGCCTATAAAGGCAACAAAAAGAAAGAAAAACTTAACATTAGACAATCAATAAGTCAAAAACGGCCACAGGCAGCTCTGTGAACACTGGAATTAATATGCTGTTTTAATTATCTCTCTTTGTATAGGCCAGAAGGTAGATGGACTGTCTCTGTACATCTAAGATACTGTTAGTGTCAACCACGTCTAATAATAATGTAGGTAAATAAAAAAAAATGGAGACAAGTGTACTCAAGAAATAAACGAAATAATGCAGCTGTGTGAACAAGTTCAAGTTCATATTATTTTATTGTGTTGTAGTACTCCATATGACATCAAACTGTTACTCAAAATACGACATCCGTCTTTGATTTCAGTAAACTACAAAATGAAATGCGTAAGTCTAGAGCCGCCGCTGACGGAGCCTAACGTTCAGAAACACAATCAGAGAATGGAGAGAACCTCAACGCCTAGTTCGAAACGAACAAAAACGAGGCGTAAGTGATTCATGTCTATTATATAAATTTAGTGCTTAAGAAACATTGTAGAGGTGTTATAATAGAATGCAGGTAGCGATGATTTAGGTGCATCGGATTTTGACAAAGACAAGACCGAAAATTCTGATATCTTCTAATATGTCGAGTAGGTATACAATTCAGTTTTTAGTAGGCAGCGCCTCAGCTTGTACCCTTAGCATTGCTGATGTCTATTCGCGCCGGTGACTACTTACCAGCAGGTGGGTTGTATACTTAACTATAATGGTATAATGGCGATCAAAAGTCANGATGATTTAGGTGCATCGGATTTTGACAAAGACAAGACCGAAAATTCTGATATCTTCTAATATGTCGAGTAGGTATACAATTCAGTTTTTAGTAGGCAGCGCCTCAGCTTGTACCCTTAGCATTGCTGATGTCTATTCGCGCCGGTGACTACTTACCAGCAGGTGGGTTGTATACTTAACTATAATGGTATAATGGCGATCAAAAGTCATCGGTGCGTCGTTATATTACATAATAATAAGAGTATCTTCAACCTTTCGCCATATTAATTCTTAGAAAATGCTACAGTGACTTTCATTGCTGTGACTAGTGCTATGCAAATTTAATGTAGTAAAAACCACTATAACTATAAATACTACAACTATACTACAATACAAATATAAATACTAACAAATACATCTAAATCACACTAAATGCACATTTAATGTAAATAGGGCATAAGCGACCAGTGGAAGTCGAAGAGCCAGGACTTGATGGTGAAGATGAGGAAGACGAGGGTGGCTCGCCCCTCTATTGCAACTGGGATCTACGAGGAATGCAGCATTTATTGCCTCTACAAGATTATATCATACAACAGGCTAAATTATCTAGTTAGTATCCGAGTACCTAATATAAGCCGCGCCAATAAAGAAACGAATCTAAAATGGCGGCGGCCATCATGCGCTCTCACTCTAAATTATTGCTGTCCTTAGTCGCACACGGCGCGTACTGCATGCAAAAAAAATATCAGTTCTGGCTTTGTTGTTGAGTTCGAGTTTTTCACTTTTGAGTTGTGCGACTTAGATGACTGGCAGCAAAAGTGTCTATGCAAGTTGCACCCCAGATGAGACACCTCCCCTTCTGCCAGGGCATAAAGTAAAGTAAAGTACATTCTCATTTGTTTTTAAGTTATTGCATAGATTTTATCGCGGGCCTTCAGCGCGGCGATCGAATCATGAAATTCCGTAACGAAAAAAACCTTACACCCCTCACTCCGCCTACCATGTAGCTCGCGTTCAACACATTCACACGTTGCGCTTGTGTAGTGTTGGTGAATAAGCGCGTGGCATGACGTCACACTGCATGCGCGTCATGATTTGTATTACGTAGTCCTGTGTCGATCGCGATTGACAGAATCTTTTTGACCCGATCTCGACCCATACGCGTGTGATCGGGTCGTCGGTGTTTGAAAGATTCGATCACCAGGTGACATCACAAACGAAATTGGACTTTATTTGTGGAGCATTACCGTAGCTTGTTGCTTAATTAATCGATTATTTCGTGCATTCAATCACGAAATGACGTAGCTATTAAAATATCTTCTATCTCTTCCGTTTAAGTACATACATACAATCCTGTTCACGCAGTGCACTCTTTCTTTATTGTGCGTTGCATGATTGTATCCAAAATAAACCGGATTGCGCAGGATCTTTGGGGTCGCACGCGATTTGTCAATTGCGGGACTGGATTTTAATTAGAATGAATGAATCAATCATTGCATCGGTATCTCGTTCTAACGTGAGAACGAGAGATCGATCGCGCAATCCTTCGGTCATTTATATTATAAAATAGATACATACGAACTGTGACCGAAGTGATTGAACCTTTATAACCCGATCACTATACAAACGAATGGATTATGATTGATCCGAGTTCGGTACAACTGACCGAAACAGGTCTAGCCTTATGTTATTGAACCTCGCCATGCGAAGTGCCAAAAACTTCTAAGTAATACGTACTTAACACATTTGTGTTCACGAATATCTCAGTAAACGTGACGAAAGGCTTTTGTATTTTTCTTTGTCACGTGTCTATAGCGCGTTTTAGAAATACATACAGCGCCATCTATTGACAACAAACAAAACCTTTCTCAGCCTTACCTTGGAGACATAAACGAACAATATAATGATTTTTTTTATAACAACAAGAATATTATGATAATAATTGTATATGTTGGCACCTCAAATATTTCATTACACGATAATAAAGATATAAATTAATTCGGATAACTTCCGAACTGACAGTAAATGAAACACAATGTGCTATTGGTAATTTTCTAAAACGGATACTTAAATTTATTAATCTACAAATATAAATATACCTACATATAAACTTGTTTAAAGTCTATGAAATATATCAAATATATACTTTATTTGTTTAAAAGCGTATGCGAATTAAATATTCGCGTTGTTTTGTAATATTCTTATTAAAAATAAGGGAAATATTTTTATTGTTTCATACAAACTCAAGATATTTCAATATATTTTCAGAACATTCAAAATATAATAAAATTATTATACAATTGCGTCACTAAATAACATTCGCGGACAAATCTCAAACTTTAAAAAATAATAATTTATAACAAAATATGGGACCACCATTGACGCGGTATTTTCCAGATATTTAGAAGATATCAAGTCTCAAACTTATGTTTCTTATTTCAGTTACCATAAACCTATAGTTTCAATGATAAATATTCCTGAATAACCTACATGTATTGTAAGATAATAAAAATATTTTGAACAATATTAACTTCTCATTTATTTAATAAAAGAAAAAAAAAATCTTATCGGTCACCACGCTCAAAAAGTGTAACTTGAATTAATATCAAAGAAAAACAAAGGAAAAAAAATACTGCATAAATAAAATAAATGAATAATTATAATTACATAAGTTGATAAAAAATGCTATGCAATAGCTTTACCGCGGCAGTCTCCGAGTGCCACACGTCTTTTTTTTTATGTTTTTTTACATTAAACAACTTTTTCTTTTTATCTTCGATAGAGTAATTTTCGATTCGTTTCTTTATTGGCGCGGCTTATACCTATACGGTGAGGAGAGATGTAATCTGCGCAAAAAGCGTCACTGTACCCTCTGATTGATTTTGCTGAGTTTTGTTTAAATCTAAATAGCTAAATAGAATCTAATAGAGTATTATTGATACTTCCGCCAAAAATAGATCCTGTAAAAATGTTAATATATTATTTTAAAGGTAGAGGACGTTATGGTGGATCCGGATCGGACAACGAATCGAACTCGTCTCGTTCACGGTCCGGTTCGGAATCGCGTTCTCTGTCCGGCCACGAACCGGACAACGAGTCTTCGGACGGTGGCGCCCGTACTCCGGACGACGACGACGGTTCCGGCGTGTACCTACCGCACACGTACGCACATCGACCTGCCGACGTAGAGTATATGAACCATGGAGTCTCTTATTATAATACGTTTGTCGGGTTTGATAGAGACCGACAGACGTCACCTGGTATACATAGGGTGAGTTAACATATTCACGAATGTTGAAATTCTATGTATTTGTCAATTTCATTATAAGCAATACCTTTTTCTTTTTTTTCCTACCTAAGCTGATTTCCTTGAGAGGCTATTTCAGCGTAACATTAACTAGTAGGTGAGCTCACGGGGCTCAAACCTGACGACGTTGCTAACACTGGCCCTAGCAAGAGCCGTACTTCGCAGAATCTACCACCGGATCGGAAACGCGACCCACTGAGAATTTATCTGAGAAGGCTGTGTCTGTGGGTTAATTTACTCGTCGAGTCCTTCGTCGCAAGCGACGGGTTCGACGAGAACGATGACCGGTGCTTGAAGTACTTAAAAACACCGTTAGTAGATCGGCAGGATTCGAAATGACGTGTGCCTAAGCAATACCAATAATTTATCAAATCTAGAAAAATGCAAACCCTTTGCTGATCTGCCGGGAATAAAATTTTATATTTCTCGTTCAGACGTCATCGCTAGGAGGCGGTGCNCTTCGTCGCAAGCGACGGGTTCGACGAGAACGATGACCGGTGCTTGAAGTACTTAAAAACACCGTTAGTAGATCGGCAGGATTCGAAATGACGTGTGCCTAAGCAATACCAATAATTTATCAAATCTAGAAAAATGCAAACCCTTTGCTGATCTGCCGGGAATAAAATTTTATATTTCTCGTTCAGACGTCATCGCTAGGAGGCGGTGCTACAGTCCCGGTGGACCCACCGGCCGGGGCGCCCGCACTCTACAGTCCGGTGCGGGCGCATCCACACCCGCGCCCGTCCGTGCCGCCCGAACAAGACATCGAGATATTCGCCAAAGACAACTTAAATTTCAACAAAGGCATATTTAGAAGGAAGGTTTGTACCATCTTATTTAAGCCTGTTGTTTGTTGCCGGCGATTGCAATACAGCAAATGGTTCGCTGGTAATTTTTTTTTTATTGCTTAGACGGAACGAACTCACAGTCCATCAAAATTATGTAAAATTCAATGAATTCAATTTGATTTGTTGTTTTAGTTAACGGTTAAAGAGCCTCTAGATATTACAATATTGACCTCGCCATTCATCTCGGGCTGTGATGTACAAATTTCAATTGTGAGCTATCCCGAAGCTTCGAACCGTAACACATGACTTCTTCGTAATAGAAGTAGGCAGACTGTAGGACTCACCCGAGCCGGCAAACAATACATCCTGCCTTCTTACAATCTTATGTCAAGGTTATGTACTTAATAATGTATTTTCATTTTAGGCTTCGGTCCGCGATATGTTATCGTGGACTTCGTCGTCAATTAGCGCTCCTATGGTGGGCGCCGACTGGGACAAAGCGCACAAGAAGGCAGCCATAGATCTGTTCAGGCTCGTGCAGATCTACATGGGCGACAGGAAGGCCAGGCCGGGGATGACACTCAACTCTGTAGCTCAGGACATACTGCACGCTACTTTTGCTAATGAAAAGTAAGTTTTATGGCTCAGGTTTTTGGTTGGATTTCATTTAAGAGATCATCTGAGACAGGATTATATTTTTACTAAAAAAGTTTTCGTTCTCATGTCTTAAAGCGGATATCCACATTGTAATGTTTGAGGGTTTTGGTAACCTTTTTTATCTATGGACTTTACGCCAGGTGGACAATGAACATGTTCACTTATCAATGTAAAAAAGTAATTGCATTGACCTATGAAGTCTGTTACCCACTTTATTTGCGACTATAATATACTACAACAAACATCTTTTTCGTAGGTTTTGAAATAATATATCGCACGCGATAATGTCACTTATGCAAATTATGTAATTTTTCAGGAGAAACGTTGGAAAATTCAACATCTTACTATATAATTCTTATATAGCTCTGCTAGGCTATAGAAATAAAATGTTAATATTTAAACTAGAAACTTCATCAGTAAAAGCAAACATCTCTCTCGTCTCACTATAACTAATAACTAAAAAATGTATTTTCTCATACTCAGTTCAGTGTTAACAAAAATTGCATAAGTGACTTTATGGCACCGTGTGTGCGATATATATATATATTTTTTAACAGACTCCGCGACGAGCTCTACGTGCAACTATGCAGACAGACAACGGAGAATCCACTACGCGATTCATTGCTGCGCGGCTGGGAGCTGTTGGCGGTGTGCTTGGCCTTCGTTCCGCCATCGCCTGCGTTTCAACCCGCCCTCACCAATTACGTCAACAGGCATCGAGACCCAGCGTTTGCCGATGCTTTTCCTGAGGTACATACAAATCAAATCAAATCAAACTTTATTAGCTAAAACACGGCTTACAAAGTTGTTGATAGTTATTTTATGGAACAGCGTGTTTCTACCAGGTCGTCGTGCAAATATTATTCAAAATTATTTACATTAAATGCAGTTAGTAAATATATTAATTAATTAAAATATCAAACAATAAAATAAATTAATTGAATAAGAATTAGTTATTTATGTCATAAAACGAAAACAAAGAACAGAAAGAAGCGAATTTAAAATTAATATAATGAACATATAAAACACAATCTAGTATTCGAATTGCGTTATCAAATGGAAAAGTGTCCTATAACACATCGATAGGGCTGTGCCATTAACGACTACCATAAGCGACGGTTACCACTTATCATCAAGCGGGCCGTGTGTTCGTATGCATCTGAAGACATTAAAAAGACGTAAAGGCAGAAAATATATATCGTTGAAAAACTTATTATTTAAAACGGATGTCCACTTCTTTTTCTAGGTGGGCAAATGGCCCATTCACGTTCAAGTATCACACTATGCTGGCGTTGCCTGTAAGAGATTGGAGAGAATCGGTTTCGCAGGAAAAAGGCAGCCAAGGAAACCGACGACAGAAGATATCGATCAGGCCAGAGTAAGTTTATAATTAAACTAGCGACCCGCCCTCGCTTCGCTTCGGAAACATTAAAACACACATGAAACCAAAAAAAAAATTAAAAATAAAATAAAAAAAGTAGCCTATGTTCATCAGGGACAATGTCGGCTTCTAATGGAAAAATAATTTTTCAAATCGGTCCAGTAGTTTCGGAGCCTATTCGAAATAAACAAACAAACAAATCTTTCCTCTTTATAATATTAGTATAGATTACATAATATTTTTGCAATGCTGTAATACGAATTGAAACTTCGTGTCTTTGATAAATATATTTTTTTGGGGTCCATTGATAATGACCTAATTAAATAATTAATTAATTAAATCCAACTAATCGTAAATGCTTATCGGAGTCCATAGGCAGCCTTATGTGAATGCTACAAGCATTTTGTAGTTTTAACTCTCTCTTGCAATGGTGCAGTGTCGAATCCTTTTCGATGATACTTTGGCACATAAAATACACATACAAATTTATATTTTATTAAATATATTTTTTTCTCCACAGATACAAATATTTCGTCAGTCGATGTTCGGAAACACCCTATCAGAGGTGATGACGTTACAAAAAGAACGGTTCCCTAATAGACAACTTCCCTGGGTTCAAGTGGCCCTGTCCCAGCAAGTTCTATCGTTAAACGGCAGAGAGACCGAGGGCATATTCAGAGTCTCCGCGGATGTCGATGAAGTCAACGCTTTGAAGGCGAAGATCGATAATTGGGAACTGCCTGACGCCTCTACTCTTACAGGTAATTTTTTTATCGCACCTGATGCGTGAACAAGCTTACGGCCCTCCTAATCGTAATGTTAAATTTTTTACAAGTCTGTAGTCATCAAAACGTGAATACCACCAAGTACTTTGAGACGTGAAGTCGAATTTTCTTATTAAATTGCGGCCTATAGGATGGTGGTACTTAACCAAACGCACAATAGAATGTAGTTAATCTAAAAGTTGTCTTCAGTTACTGATATCGGGTTATTTTCATTCGAATGTGTTGTCATCATATCTCTTTTGCACTGAAAGCCTGGTAGGGACTGACTCAAAATAAACAGTACGTAATAGTAATAATTAACTAGCGTGTTGTGTTAAGCTTACGTCGTACGTACGTTATTAACCCAACATATCAACCTAAGTACGCTAATATCTATTAGAATTTATATTATTATATTGCAAAGATAGTGTTCGAAATACAACGAATTTTAATGGTTTGTGTTCGTAAAATTACAACACGACAGTTACTGGTGGTAGGACCTCTTGTGAGGCCGCGCGGGTAGGTACCACCATCCTGCCTATTTCTGCCGTGAAGCAGTAATGTGTTTCGGTATGAAGGGTAGGGCAGTTGTTATACTGTTAAAAGTGAGACCTTACAACTCATGTCTCAAGTTGGGTGGCGGTATTTACTTTGTAGATGTCTATGTGCTCCGGTAACCACTTAACACCAGGTGGGCTGAGAGGTCGTCCAGCAATCTAAGAAATAAAAATAAATTAACAATGCAATTAATGTTAATATTAAATCTATCTGAAGTGACATGTTTTTGTAGGCGATGTTATATATTCTCTTGTTCAATGGCTAACTTCACAAACTTCATATTTTACTTTCATCTATAACGCATATGTAAATAAATGTTTGTTTTCAGACGCACATGCCCCGGCTAGCTTATTAAAGCTTTGGTACAGAGAATTGTACGAGCCTTTGATCCCGGACGTGCTGTACGGCTCGTGCGTCGCCGCCGGGACTGACTTTATAGCGTGCACGAGAGTTCTACATCGATTGCCGCCTTTGAACCGACTAGTGAGTTTGACTTCTTTATATTGCCGTCGATGTATATACATATCGAAGGTTGAAAGGCTATTGGGTTTAAGCTACGAATAAATAATAAGTGAGGAAGTCTAACTCGGAACAAATTTCACAAAAAAAGTGGTCCCACTTCAAACCAAAACGACGTATGAAACAAAAACCAATCACAACCGAGGTTGGAAATAAACATTATTTGTGATTGGTTTGATTTCAAAACGAAAGCAGAGATTGGTTCATGCATTTGCTGCAATGTCTGCTATGACAGCAGAGTCATGACAGCGTAGACGATGTTATGTAATAAGTGGACCGGACAAAGTTAATAATGAAACAATATAATTGTATAATGTTTATATATTTGTTTTTTTTTTTGTAATAAATGATGTCCCTCGACATAAGTTTTTGCCTGGAAGACATTAAAAAATAATCTTTTTTCGCAATGTAGGGAAGACGGATTCTGAGAAATTCAACCATTACACATTTTATAAAAAAAATGAAATGGCCATTATTTGTCTGGTGCCTGTTTTTTAGTAAGCGCAGAATTTCTTCATTGTCAATTATTTTAGAAAAACACTGTAGATATTACTGACAGACTACTTGTTCGAGTAAGTGATTTTCCGTTATCACGTATTTTTATTATCTGTATTATTAGTGTTTCTGTGCGTGTACATATTTTATACAACACCACAAATGGATACGAGAGTCCACCGAAATCTTTCAAACTAATCAGATTGTGAAAATACAATTTTTCATTAGCAGGTAGCAATGATAAGCATTCTGGACAGTTGATTTTCGCATGCAGTTTTCGGCTTACAAAGCCGGCTATATAGCCTACAATTTGTTTGATAGCGTGAATAGAGCATACTTTGCTGGTTTTCACAGGCATCCAGTCATATTCTTGTCTTTTCAACTTAACTGCAGCTTGCATTGGCAGGCAAACTAAAAGAAAACAAATTAAGCAAAATCCATTATCGTTATAAAATTATCAAATTAAATATACCTATTTTATAAAAAATATTTTATCGATATACTTTTCAATATTTCACCGAGAAGAAAAAAATACAATCAAAAATTTACTGACTTCATGTTGCATAGTGTTAACTATGTCGGTTTGATAACATTTTTGCAAATCATGAAATATAATTATAATTTTGCTACTAATTACTAGTGAAAAGTGATCCCTGGCTATTTTAGCCGTGTATGGTTCTTGCACCACTTCACAACACACGCTGGCATGATTGTTGAGAACACAATAATAAATCAAAATAAGAGATGTGCTCGCTTTCAAGAACAATATCCGACTGATGACGCGTTGGACACGACTTTTAAGCCCCGCCTACTTGGACACGACTTTTGTTTGGTCATTTTTAGATCGCAGTTACATTTCCTGACTTATTATTTATTCGTAGGGTTTAAGCGACATTTTGCATAATACTTGTCATTTATCTTTGTAATTAAAGGTTCGTTTTGTTTGGCGTTAGCATCAACAGTTCGATGTTCATAATTGAACTTTAATTAAGTTTACTCCATTGAAATAGCTGAAGAAGTTTTTTGATATGACTTTTTTTTTCAAAATTTAAACTTTAAATGGCTCTCCTTTAAAGTTGCATTAATGTCACTTAATCCAAATAGCCTTTTACCCCTAGATATGATCTATAAATCCTCGGAACCCGCCAGTTTTTGAATTATTAAACGTGTAATAAGAGTAAGCGTAGTCTAGAAAGTCTATTAAATAAGAGCTAAATAAATTCGGCAATTTTGGCAAAATCTAATCTTAATTCAGACGAACATAAACCTGTTCAAGATGCCATTCCGCGTCATAAAACCGGTCGATCTGTTGGGGTAGGCAGCGGCTTGGCTCTGCCCCTGGCACTGCTAAAGTCCATGGGCGACGGTGACCACTCACCATCAGGTGGGCCGTATGCTCGTCTGCCTACAAGGGCAATAAAAAAAAGCCTTTCACCCCTCGATATCTATAAATCCTCGAAACTCGCGAGTTTTTGAATTATTAAACGTGTAATAAAATTCGATGTTCTTTGCAGGTACTAACCTACCTCATAAGTTTCCTACAGCAGTTTACCGCCCCCGAAGTGGTCAGTCAAACAAAAATGGATTCAGCTAATTTGGCCATGGTGTTCGCGCCCAACTGTCTCAGGTGCACGTCGCAGGACCCGAGAGTGATCTTAGAGAACGCACGAAAAGAGATGACCTTCCTCAAAACCCTGATCACGAACTTGGACACGTCACACGTACAGGACATGCTGTGACCGACGAATCTCAGTTATTGTAACAATAACAACGGTAGCGAAATGACTGATTTCTAGTGATCTATATTAATATATATATATTCGTTTCCTAATGTGGTGTTCAATGCAAAATCGATTTCGATATCGAGCCGCAGATTCGTCTTCAAATGAAAAAAAAAAATTAAGACAAAAGACCAAATCTAATCAGATAAAAAATACTATAAGAAGCTATTAGTTCGACTAAAACATCGATAAATCACTTGACGTGGTCCATCACTATTGTGACGTAATAATGTCAGGTGTACGTGACGTTTAGCATCCATAGTTTCCTGGCCACATCGAATTAATTATAAAAAAATATATACATATACAGATATCATACATACTTGCAGAGGAGTCTAGTCTTTGTAATTGCTGTTGTAGTGTATGTATGGTATGAACTGTGTACCTCTCACATTTTAGAATTACAGTGACCCATCTAACAATATTTTGATTACGCTCCTTTGGTGTAGCGCATCCTGAAAGCATCTCTCAAAACGTAACTTCGAAACTGCGCATACCACTACGCAATGTGTTCACAATTGTTCACGGTCGTCATATCAAAATTTTGAAATAATTCATGGAATGACAAAATCGCCTTATCCACGAAAGCAATAAAAAGTTTTTAATATATTTATAAAGTACTATAAAATGATTATCAGAGGTGTTGTGAGATCGAGTAGTACTATATAATATATATCTATTGCTACTTCTACCAATTCCAGAGCATAGTGCGAGATATTTTTGGCTAGTACCGAGTAACTGAATCATGGATTACTTCAATAATAAAACCTACCGGTTTCATCTTCACTCTCTCAACTGACTCTATATATAATATAGCTGCCCGCTCCGGCTCCGCTCGGGTCTTTAACAAAAATTTGAACGACGTACTATAATAGTTAGACTTAAGCTGTTGCAACACTTTTTGTAAATAATAATGTGTTCTACAAAGTCGTAGTACATTATTTTATTCTAAAATATAATCAATAGTTTTCGCAGGGCACGCGACGTAAACAATATTTTAGGTGATTTTTTACACCTTGATTCGACCAATCGATTCAGTAGTTTCGGAGCTTATTCAAAACAAACAAACAAACAAATCTTTCCTCTTTTATAATATTAGTATAGATGATTTTGATTTCAATTCGTTTTTGCATTTTAGGCATTAGGAGACTAGGAAAAAGATAGTTGAATTTTTGAAACTATATCGGTAATCGTAAAAAAACCTCATGTGTTTTTAATTTCGAAAAATGTATTTGTTATAGATGTGTCACTGTAATCCTGAAACTCTGATACACAAGAAAAAGCAGCTAGCTTCCTTTCAACGTATTCGATTCTCTTACGTGTATATTATTATTGTAAATTATTTTAAAGACTATTTTTTGTACGCTATATTATTATAACTATGTAATTTTATTTGGTTGTACCCAAAGATATTTAATGGTATGTGATTATTTTTTTTATAAATTCTAATAATATACATGAGCTTTACAAAAGTGTATATGATTATAATAATGTGATTTGGGGGCGATTGTGTAAATTTTGCCGAGTTTTTTTTTTGTTTCGGGGTCTTGTTAGTGAACTGGGACGATTGTTTTTTTTAACCCTTAGCTTGGCAGAATTTTATTTTTTCGAATATAAAAATAATATTCATAGCACTTAACTTTAATGACCCAAGGGGTCTAGAAAAAATATAAAAAAATTTATTTAAACTACCCCTTTAAAAAAACCACCCGTATCTTGTGGGATACATAGCCAAGGGCATTGATAAATATATTACGCTATCAATGTATCTCTACAGATACATTGCCAAATTATCTATGACTTGATTATATAATAATTTATATGAAAATAAATATAAAAAACACGTAAATAATCAGTAGTTTGTACTATTTATTTAATAACAAAAATGGAACTTCAATGAAAAAATACAAAATCAGATTAATTTTAGACNTGGGGACAGGCATCATTTTGAACCAAATGCTATACAAAATACATATAAAGAAAATTTTAAAGTATAAAAACGTTTTTATCCTATTGAGTAAGAGATTTTGTACAGAACTGTTGACAATGTAGTAACAATTGAGATTTTGACCTCATGTTAGTTGTGATTAGGGTTCCGATAACCACTTGACACTAGTGTGCTTAGTGCGAGTTTTATAACGTTCTCGATAGCGTAAAAGTTAACTCAATTTTGTATGGAGTTGCCTAGGTTTGCCGCTAGGGTCGCTGTTCTAACGTCATATAAATTCGAGTTAACTTTTACGCCGTCGAGAACGTTAAGAAAACTAGCACTAGCAACTAGTGTGCTTAACACAGGTCAATAAATAAATATTATATAATTTGTTAATTAAAAGCCTACAATAGTATTGTGATCTATAAACAACGTAGTCACGCATTCGTCTCAGCTCCTTCAAGGCTCAAGTGTCAATTAAATGTAACAATTTAATTAAGTTAGCATACTGATCAACCTCGGTTACGAATCATCGACTGAATAATTCTCATAATTCATAAAAATTGTAATAGATGGCTTTCATTGTAGAAACGACTTTCTTTCCTTCCAAAATGAATATATAGATATATATCAAAAGTGTGAATAAATCCTTGTGTCCTTAGTAAAATAGTGGAGATGAAATATTAAATATATATAATGAATTAGATCTTTACGAAAAAAATCAATTTAGTGGACACAAGATAGAAAAAATATTTTCTGTTAGATTCAATTGATAATGTTTTAAAAATCTTGAATAGCGTAATCTCAAAAAAATTATGAATAGCCTCTTTTAATTCTAAAAAACTTTCAATGTAAAATGTTCCTCAGTGCTTTACGGTATTCAGATTTATAATGTAAAAATTTTGTAGTTTCTGCTCTTTCAATAATAGGAAAATCTATTAAAGTACGCGTAGTATAGAAAGTCTATTAAAATAAGAGCTAAATAAATTTGGCAATTTTGGCGAAATCTAATCTTAATTCAGACGAACATAAACCTGTTCAAGATGTCATCCCGCGTCTTTTAACCGGTCGATCTGTTTGTATACTACGGGCACAGCGGTAACAACGGTATTAAGTGCAGAGGTTTGTTAACAAATTAATAAAAATACTTTAAACGATAGTAATCTTAACTAGAATCGAATGAAAACCCAAATATAATATCAACTTTAAATACGTTCGATACAGACAAAGGTCGTTGAGGCCACTAGTCAGTGTGCTTAATGCGAGTTTTTTTTAACGTTCTCGATAGCGTAAAAGTTAGCTCATATTTGTATGGAGTGGGATCGTTTGCGTACGTTAGTCGCTAGGGGCGCTGTTCTAGTTGCATACAAAATTGGCTTAACTTTTACGCTCTCGAGAACGTTAAGAAACTCGCACTAAGCGCACCGAAAATCGTATCGTGCTGTCTACCTTGAGATGCGTCGAAGTCGAAGTGTATGGGATTTAATATCATACGGATGATAAAGTGACTGTTTCCGAGGCTACGAATGTTTTGCGTCTGAAATAGGCAGAACGGTGGTATATACCCTTGCACGTTCACAAACAAAGTTAGATTTGACAGTGAATTAAATATGAATAAACATAAAGCATCTCTTTTGATTAAAAAAAAAACAAAAAAAAAAAACATTTCTTTATAATTATCAAATCAAATCAAAGAGTGGGGCAGTCGTTGTAACTATACTTGAGACCTTAAAACTTATATCTCAGGGTGGGTGGCGCGTTTTACGTTGTAGATGTCTATGGGCTCCAGTAATCACTTAACACCAGGTGGGCTGTGAGCTCGTCAACCAATCTAAGTAATAAAAAAAAAAGAAATTTATATTTACTTTCTTGCCACAAGTAAAAGCAGCGCTAATAAATAAATAAACGTGCATTATTACCGTTCGAAGTTTTTCATAGAAACATTTTGCAAGTACAAATAATTTTGGTTAGAGAACATCATGAGAAACTAAAATTATAATTCGCTGTAAATTAGCTTGTTTATTCGAATTTAACGAGCCCGTAAAAAATAACGAAGCCACATCCGTAACCTCAAGCGTTTGTTCATGCAGCAGTCACATTAGATAATGATTTATTAAACAATCATTTTGCGCAGTTCTCGATCCGTGTCAATATAAAAACGTATCACATAACATTGAGGAGATATTCGAAAAATAGTATCGGAAATAAAAGGATTTATGTTTCAAGGTAAAAAAAAACCAAATTTTAAACAATAGTGACGCAATAAAAGATAATTATTTTCGTTATTAAAAATCGAATCCTACTTAGCAGAAAACGGTTAATTCTAGTAAAATTAGGCTAGTTAAGCTTCCCATTCCATTTTTAATGAAAATAACAGAATTATTACACGTTGTGTTACGTCACTATTCGATAAACAAAGAGCAACGTTGCTTCAAACGCAATGTTCGTTGGCGGGAAATGATCTCAAAAATTCATTCTTGTTAATGCAGATTTATTTTGTATTTTTTTTTGTTATTTTATCGCATTTTTGAAACATTTTTTACGATTCGTCAAAGGTGTTTCAGCCAACTGTTCATGTTGTATCCGAGAAATTAACATTCGCACAATCTCTTAGATATTGTTCTTGCCTTATCATTTGGAAGATTTACACCGATGTTACCATGAAACAATACGTGCCATAGACAACAAAAACGGTTTTCATTATGTTGTGGTGGGTTTTTTTTCTTAATTCTTTTTTTAATTTAGAACGTAGTTGCTAGCTTGCGTAGGCTTTACATATTTGGCGCTATGGAAGATAATTTCGGCATGCGCTTTAGTATACAATAATGTTATAAAACATTCTTATCCAAGATATTGTAGGTGATAATAAAAAGCAATATAGAGCACAATTTATTTTTCTGTGTAAATTTTTTAGCTAATATATATTATATTATAATACTATAAAATTGTTAAGCATGCGTTTATATAACTAATAATATGATCCTCAATTATAGGAAATTATATAAGTGCTCCTAAAAATTCGCATTATATAATATTATATAGTGCTTAAATATTCCAAATAATAAAGAAATATAATCAAATACAAACAGATATAATAAATAAATATAAAAATAAATGAAAAAATAAATTCTCTATGTAAATAAATAATACGCCTATTTTTTTTCTTGTTATTCGTGACAATATGCGTATGATGTTCATAATGTAGATTTATCAATGTAAATGTGAATGATGTGGAATAAACTACTGATTATCCATTGGATAATTGCGAATACCAAGCTTTTGTTTCATTTATTTAATTTTTAAAGTGCCTTTCAGCTATTAAAATAACAATTTTATTATATTTACGTATATCCAAATTTAATCGTACGATATGAAATGCGTGACCGTTTCTGTAAATTGAATATAACGACGTCACTTATGAATAATTTGTAAAAAAAAAATTCGGGTGTCATCATTTTAAATTACATAAACACATCGACAAATTGTAGTTTATTAAAATAATTTTAGTTGACAACAATTGTGGTCGCTCGCTTAGACCGTATGACGCGTATATTCACAGAAAATTAAAACTACAGTAAAATAATCATGAAACGTAAATTAAAGAAGTTTTTTCCGAACAAAGAATACAATAATATAGTTGAAGCAACTCATTTGTGGAAGTTAATTAGGAAACTGACGGGTTTGTCCGTTTTGACTCTGGAGAGTAAAGAGGGGGATCGCATTGAAACACGATTCAGTTCACTCGGTTTTGTGTTCTTCTTGCTGTGGTTCACAATATATTTTTATTGCACCTATAAAGCGCACAATGAAGATCAGACGATATTGAGAAATATATACAGCACGAAGCTCCAACGTTACGGAGATGATTTCGAAAGGATCACCTCTATCATATATGTTCTTTACTCAATGTGGAAACTCCCGTTCCAAATTAGCGGCAACCGTCTATTACTACAAGAAATTGTAGATATCGATAAAGCTATTGAAAGCGTGGGGGTAACGATTGATTACAAGAAAAACGCAACTTTTGCGCTATTTATCTATGTCGGTCAAATTGGCACGTACCTCTTTCGTTTGTTCTGTGTGTGGGGATGTCTTGGAAATTTGAATTCACCGGTTCCCGTAGAAAAATTGTACCAAGTCATATTCACCGATGCCTTGTCCCTTCTCCTCACCTCACAGTACTGTTTCTCTTTAGTTATATTACGTGATAGATGCAGATATATAAATAAAATTTTATGTGGGATTGAAAATCGTGAGTCGTCGAGATTGAGGCTGTTCGTTTATAGTTCTATGCCTGGTGCAGAAAAAGATATAACCTGTCGGAAGATTAAGGATTGCTCTAAGATCTATGGAATGATTTATAAGGCGGTAGAGTCGACTAATATAACGTACGGTTTTGCCTTAGTGCTGACCATGTTGTTATATCTGATCTTCATAATTTTATATATGTTTTACTTTATGGAGGCAACCGCAGCCGGCCTGTTTCTAGACACAAAGAAGTACATTGACTTTTTGATATGCGTTTTATCAGAATTATTGCATGCGATGTTGATTATATTTTTAAATATTTATTTTAGCGAAGAGACAGTAAAAGAGGTTGGTACAGCGAAACAAAAATTAACATTTCACACTATCGATCTAAATTTAATAAAGATTCGAATTGTTTTTTTTTTGTAGACAAGAACAACGTCGTTCGTAATTCATGGTATAATTAACAGTGATTTTAACACTCAAGCAAAAACTGAGGTAAGATAAGGATAAAATTAAAGTAGAATACAGATAATATCAAAGATTATACAAATCTTTTTGTTTAACTATTGATTATTTTGTTTTGTTTATCATAGTGATGTTTTAATTAAATTAATTATAACGATTCACAAATTACATACAATTGAGAAACTTTCCCGAAGTGTCAGTAATTTTAATAGGTAATATTACGTTGAATCACCAACTTTTGATAGTTTTAATTTGGATCCTATGTTCCTATAGCTATGATTTGCTGGAAGACAACGCAATATTGTGAAGATGTGACATTGAGTCATTAAACAGTCTGTTACAACCTTATGACGGTTTTAACAATGCAATGCCAGCCACTTTGGGGCAAGCGATTCAAGTCTCAATTATTGCATTGCATACTTGTATTGCATAATTGTAAATTTTCGATTAAGTGCGTCATGTTTTTTTCAAGGCGCACAAAAGAGACTTATGCGATATTAAATGAAGTCTTTTCATTTTAGGCTATCCACTTTTCAACTCAACTTTTGCATCAGATACCGAAATTCACCGCAAGCGGTCTAGTTGAACTTAATTATTCATTGTTATACGAGGTTTGTGATCTTTTATATTTAATTTAATTAGAATATTGTGTAGTTGATTAGTATTGTGATTGAAATGTGACTTAATGAATTATGATTTGCGTAATTGTCGTACAATTGAGATATATTCTTTAAATCTTCAGGTGGGTGGCGGCATTTTCGTTGTGACACTTATGGGCTCCGGTAATGTAACAACTTAGTAACAGACGGACCGAGAGCTTGTTCACCCATTTAAGCAATAAATAAGGGATGTTTTTTTTATTTTATTACTTAGATGTGTGGACGAGCTCACAGCCCACCTGGTCTTAAGTGGTTACTGGAGCCCATAGACATCTACATCGTAAATGTGCCACACACCTTGAGATATAAGTTCTAAGGTCTCAGTATAGTTACAACGGCTGCCCCACCCTTCAAACCGAAACGCATTACTGCTTCACGGCAGAAACAGGCGGTGGTAGCTACCCGTGCGGACTTACAAGAGGTCCTACCACCAGTTGTATCATTATGTCTCTTAAGCATGACGGTGAATTGTTTCTTCATTTTTATTTCAGGGAGGCAGAATGGTGTTCACGTATCTAATAATAATGCTGCAGTTCGTGACCGAAAGAAACTAATCAAATGTGAACAAAAAATTGCAGTTACGAATACTGTAACAAACAAAAAGAATTCTATTATAAATTGCACATCATCATAAACTAGAAATATAGGAGCTATCCAATAATTACTTAATGACGATTTTGGTTAATTTGCTTCTCTGCTATCTACGTGTAAACGTGATTTTTTATATAGTTTTCCTAAAATATTAAATGTAATTAGAAATGGATTAGGTAATAATAAATAATAATCATAATATAAAAAAAATGACATATTTTATTTTATAAAATAATTATTTTGATTATACTGTTGTTCGAACTACAAATAAAAAAGTAAGCAATTATCCAAAGTCCTTAATGTTGCAATTAGATTTTAAAATTAAACAGTATCAGTTCTTAGCTGGCAAGGAAACAGTAGAAAATTCGAGTTTGAGATGTAGATGTAGACTGGGAATGTAGATTATCAAATTTAAAACAATTTCGTTTAATTTCCTAAATCCGCTAGTACCTAATACTAATAATTACTATTATCAATATTTGTTTCTTCTATCACTTCTTAAATTCGTATTAGGTAAAAACCTACCATGCATGTAAATTAGATATAATAAGGTTGTAGAAATAAACAATTACATTTAAATTGTCGATCTTTGAGTTTGGGTGGTATCCACGTAAAACAAAGGGAGGGAAAGAAAGAAAGAAAGAAAAAAATCGTGAACAAAATAGTGTAAAGAGGCGAACAGCCCACAACATCGTCGAGGCTTTGTTACTTTCTTATAGTTTATGGAAAATATCTGGAGTAATCGTAGTGTTAATAATGACAACAAAAAACCCGAGATCAAACCGTAAAAGTAGTTTTACTTAGATTTAATGGAAGTACAATACTCGAGAATACTGTTGTTCATTCTCCGGTTAATCCATTAGTTGCTTTTAACGACATCCTTAGGAAGAAATGCTATTCTAAGATCAAACACCACACAGCCTATCTAAATGCCTAAATATGTATTTGCCCATTTACAATAAATAAATATTTACTACTAGCTTTTACCCGCGACTTCGTCCGCATAAGTTTTTTTGTTTTCTCCCGGCTATAAGTCCCCCTGCAACAATATCCCACTATCGTGTTCCAGTCCTCAACTTCACATCAAAATTTGTTCAAAAGCAACCTAAGCTACATAATGGATAGCTCCGAATGTTTCCTTAGTAAATATAAAAAGTAAATAATGTAAATCGGTTTAAAATACTACTAACTACCTACCTGCCAACCCCCGATGTTAGACAGTGTGACATCCGTAACATCGTCTGCGTAGGAAGTACTANTATAATACAATCAATCTACAATTAATATCTAAATTAAAACAAGAGCTTTTTTTTTAGGCGAACCTTTCTGCTTTCACGTAATTTATTATCGTACTGCGGTTTATTCCCGACAGTGCTTCCCGGTCACCGTCCTCGTCGAACCCGTCGTTTGCGACGAAGGGCTCGACGAGCGAATTAACCTATAGACACAGTCCACTGAGTTTCTCGTCGGATCTTCTCAGTGGGTCGCGTTTCCGATCCGGTGGTAGATTCTGCGAAGCACTGCTCTTGCTAGGGTCAGTGCTAGCAACGCTTTTTACTGGTGGTAGGACCTCATGTGAGTCAGCACGGGTAGGTACCACCACCCCGCCTGTTTCTGCCGTGAAGCAGTAATGCGTTTCGGCTTGAAGGGTGGGGCAGCCGTTATAACTATACTGAGATCTTAGAACTTATATCTCAAGGGGGTGCATTTGCGTTGTAAATGTCTATGGGCTCCAGTAACCACTTAGCACCAGGTGGGCTGTGAGCACGTCCACTCATCCAAGCAATAAAAAAAAAACTCCGGTTTGAGCCCCGTGGGCTCAGGTGTAGGTGAACACACGTTAGGGCGAAGCTGAAATAGCCTCTTAAGGCTATCGGCATAGGTAGGAAAAAAAAAGACAGTGCTTGAAATGTAGCTCATACAAAATACCAGATGTATTTATCAGATAGGAAAATCACAAATCATTAAACGATACTAATATTAAAACATTATCAAGAGTTAGTTGTAACATGAAAACATAAGAAAATAATTAAACAAATTTACTACAGTTTTTTTGCGTTTAGTAATTATGTTATTAGGTATTACATCATAATTCTTATTAATACACACTATAGTTATTTTTCCTAGTTTAAATAATTGGTAATAAAGCTTTGTTTATTTCTTTTTCTAGTAATCTTTCCGTTTGTTTTTTTTTACATTCATTGTCTATTGTTTATGTTTTTGTGTCTTGACGTGTACAATCTAACAAAAAGGTGAGTGATGCTCAATTTTCCAGCTATCGAAGAGAAGTAGTATTTAGGTGATATTTGTTGTCTGATCACTGTTTTACAGGCAACTGAACACCAAGAACTTACAAATTTATTTATATAGGATATTAATCTTATACCTTTAAACGAGCAATTCTTGTATATATATAATCTGAATCTCAGAAACGGCTCTAACGATTTTCATAAAATTTAGTACACAGGGGATTTCGGGGGCGATAAATTGATCTAGCTACGATTTATTTTCAGAAAGTGTTGTTTTATTCGGGTTTTCCATAATCAACTCTTCCCGACATGTATTGGAGAATAATAATACTATTTTTCTTAATTGAGGGCAACTAACCGCTTTAAAGACACAACAAGATGGCGTTATCAAAAAAAAACCGAGCAAAGCTCGGTCATCATGTAGTTATATTAATATGATCATCCAATTATTATTTTTGTTTAATACAAGGTGTGTCATCACACCTTGTATTTTGATTATTGATTTTATCACTGGTGGTAGAACCTCTTGTAAGTCCGCGCGGATAGGTACCACCACCCACCCCGCCTATTTCTACCGTGCAGCAGTAATGCGTTTCGGTTTGAAGGGTGGGGTAGCCGTTGTAACTATACTGAGACCTTAGAACTTATATCTCAAGGTGGGTGGCGCATTTATATTGTAGATGTCTATGGGCTTCAGTAACCACTTAACACCAGGTGGGCTGTGAGCTAGTCCAACCTAAGCAATAAAAAAAAAAGTGGCTAATCGTTGCGTGTCGTGTATATGAGGTTCAGTTATCATCCGTAGGAGCCGGTCCCCAAAATCGAAAGTGTATTTGTCTTTCTATGATCTTCGCACGTAGTGCCGTGTTCTCTAGCAAGTTATGAAGAATCGAATAGCGAAATCATCTAAAAAAGATAATATTACTACCATAAAACTCTAAGTAGCCTGACAAGTAATGTTAAGTAATTTTAAGACGCATGAGAATTATTAAATACATGTGAACGTAAATTTTGATTACTTTTTTTAGTGTTGTAGTTCGTCGTGTATTGTAAGCCGAAAGACCCCAGAATTTGTATAATAATGAATTTAATTGAATTAAATTAATTATACGAAGATGCTATAAATTGGAGATTTTCCTTAGGTAGCTTTATAAATACGGCTGAAATCAAAGCAGACGTACGTGAATTAAAATTGTATAGAAATGTTCGAGTTCCTTCTGATATTAGTTGGGCTCAGCTGGATTTTAGTATTCCGGTACAGACGGCGGAACATGTATAGAATGGCAGTGGCTATCCCGGCTCCTGACGAGACAATCCCGTTAATTGGCGTGGCCCACAAATTGATGGGTAGCACAGAGGGTAAGTCTTTTTTATTAAAACAAATCCGATTAAGCCTTGTGACTGCCGCAATGTACCTACTGTATAAAAACAGCTAATTCCGGCGCGGCGTATTCCTAAAGAATTTTCTATAAATTTGTTTATGATCGCTTAGTGATATTTCATCCCTTACACCGTCTGTTACGAAAAAGTATTGAAGTGCAACCGAATTGATTGTACTAAATTACACTGCACTGATCTGAAATGCAAATACCAGCTGTACAAATTTTCAACTTAATCTAACAAACATAGAAACTCACATTTTATATTAAAANCGCGGCGTACTCCTAAAGAATTTTCTATAAATTTGTTTATGATCGCTTAGTGATATTTCATCCCTTACACCGTCTGTTACGAAAAAGTATTGAAGTGCAACCGAATTGATTGTACTAAATTACACTGCACTGATCTGAAATGCAAATACCAGCTGTACAAATTTTCAACTTAATCTAACAAACATAGAAACTCACATTTTATATTAAAATAAACAAGGAGAAAAAGTTATAGTCGCTTAATTTTATAATCGCTTCTACGGTCATAGTTCACCGCGGTGACGAAGTTGCGCACGAGCGTGAAGTCATTGACGGCAGAGGGTCGCGGGTACGTGTTAGGGAACGGGGCGTGTCGCAAGGCTAGGGTGCAGTTTGTGTACCTGCCTTCGTATACGGCAGCGGTTTTTTTCCACGCCGAGATGGTGGGAACCGCAGCCGGTACGACGGCCGGTTTCGGCACTGAAGACGCCGAAATCTTTGGGCCGACGGTTCTGGGTGCTGGGTAGTTCGGGCGCTTACACGGAGCCCTAGGACATCCGCGGTAATATGCCGGGTGCCCTTGCTTAAGGTACAGGACACAGCTTGGGGGTTCTGTCGCGGTTTCCCTAACTCGCGAACATTTGGTGGTCGCGTGATCGCCGAGGCACTTCACGCAGCGGGAGCACGCGTGACAATTACCCGCTGGGTGACCTTAGAGCTGGCACCTGTGGCACTGCCCGAGAGTATCACGCTTATGAGGGGGTTAAGGCATAAGAAGTATCTATTGTACTGCAAAATGATTGTTCCAAGCTTGAAACCGTCGTTTCAAATCACCGACCAAGATTCTTTGGTTGATTTTTTTTTTATTTTTTTTTTATTGCCTTGATATTTGGACGAGCTCACAGCCCACCTGGTGTTAAGTGGTTACTGGAACCCATAGACATCTACAACGTAAATGCGCCACACACCTTGAGATATAAGTTGTAAGGTCTCAGTATAGTTACAACGGCTGCCCCACCCTTCAAACCGAAACGCATTACTGCTTCACGGCAGAAATAGGCGGGGCGGTGGTACCTACCCGTGCGGACTCACAAGAGGTCCTGCCACCAGTAATTACGCAAATTATAATTTTGCGCATTTGATTTTTATTACACGATGTTATTCCTTCACCGTGGAAGTCAATCGTGAACAATTGTTAAGTACGTATTTCATTAGAAAAATTGGTACCCGCCTGCGGGATTCGAACACCGTTGCATCGCTACGAATGCACCGGACGTTTTATCCTTTAGGCCACGACGACTTCACTATCTTTACTATTCTATTAGTGTTAATGGGAATTCGATTCCAAATAGTAAGCAATATTGTTGAGATTAATAATAGTTTTAAAATAAAGTATAAATACGACGACATAATAAAATTTCAACTCTAATATTTGTTCTTTTAGAAATAATGTCGTCACTTCAAAGATACAGCTACGATGCCATCAAACACAATGGCATAGTAACTATGTGGTTGTTTCACCTTCTTTACTTTGGTGAGTCGAGTATTTTTATATAAATAGGAAAAATACTTAAGTACAATTTTCCATTCAATTTATTAAGTAATAAAATATCTTAAATAAAATATTAAGTAATAAAATATCTTTGCTTGTAAAATTTTACTACGGAGCTGGTAAATCAACATTTGAGAGCAACATTATGGGTTCATGCTCCTTCACACTTTACGGTTGAGCGTTTGTGTGCTGAGTTCAAGCGAGGAAGAACTTCAATTTTTTCCCCTACCTATTCGCTGGTGGCCTTGAGGACAATTCCAGCTACGCCCAGACGGGTAGGTGAGCTCAGGGGCTCAACCTGAGAAAAAATCCTAACACTAGCCCCTAGTACGAGCAGTGCTTCGCAGAATCTACTACCGGATCGAAATCGCGACCACAAGACATGATTTCGGGCGAAGGCGGCTTTGCGTTGCTCCTTCGCCTGTGTCGGATAGAAGGTAGCTTCTGTTAACGACGATCCCAGCACGGGACGCCCTACATTGGTAATGACTGAACAAATGATTTTAAATTTTGGAAACGTTGTCTTGCCGGATCGTCATGGTACTGTTTGTTTTCTAGCAGAAGAAATGAAGACTTTTTTTTTTATGATTGAAGGATTACTGGTGGCCCGGAGGCCTTTCCAGTTTCACTAGGACAGGTGGGCGAGCAAAGGCTCAGCCAGGAGGGGTGGGATTTGCTAACAGCTACCCGAGCGCCTCCGAAGGAGACCTAACAGCTCAAGAGCAGCTGCTTCGCGAATTAATCTACTACCGGATCGGAATCGCGACCCGCTGAGAAGATCCGGCGAGAAACTCAGCGAGCTGATTCATGGGTTAGGTTGCACGGCGAACTCTTTGTCGAGTACGACGAGTACGGTTACCGGGGTCCCTAAGCCTGCTCCTAGTGTTAGAGCTGAAGGCGTCTAATGCAAAGGTTATTGGATCTGATGGATCCGTAAGGACGTGTCTAGGGCGTCGACAGTGACTGGCTCCTGCGTGATCAGGATTCGGGGAGTAGTCAGCGGCGGCAACGATAAGGCGATTATCATGACGCATAGCTTTATCGAAGTACCGTTCCGACGCTGACTTCATGTATTTCTGGATAGATTCGAGGCCCAGGTTGTCGTGTAGGTCAACGTTCCTCACGAACCACGGAGCTCCGACGGCTAACCTGCAAAAGCGGGATTGTAGAGATTGGAGGGTGTCTATGTGTGTGCGGGCCGCGTGAGCGAACACCACACTCGCGTAAGTCATGACGGGCCTTATGCAAGTTTTGTAAAGTGTCACCTTGTTCCGAAGGGACATGTTACTCCGCTTACAGATCATGGGGTAGAGTCTACCGAGAATAAACGCGGCACGGTCACGGACTGATTTTATATGCGGGCGGAATGNAACCATTAATAAAAATAACAATTAGCACAAGCTTACAGAGACTTAAGACAATGACTCACGCACACCATGTCCACGACTACCTTCTCTCACGAACGCCGCCGATCGAATGAATGTTTCGAGCAAAGGCGTTGCTATTTATAGGCACTGTACCCTCAATATTATTATAAAATTCGTGTTTTCTAAATTAACACTTAAAGTCTTTGAACGATGTTCTCTCGACGAATGTCGACAAATGCGCGGGTGACGGAGCTGCGCGCCGGTTTTATACCCTTTTTGTAGGGTATTCCTTACTATATACTATTATATTTATTATATTAGTATATACTTATTTATTTACTTATTTAGATTATAGTCGATTTTCGACTACCGGGGACCGCTAGTAATTAATAAACTGTTTAACTACCAAATTTTGAAGTGACTCACTAACTCATAGTAAGTAACACGCTGCTGTTACGCTGTCACTTAGAAGTTTTTTTGAAGTTTTCATTTACGGATACCAGACCGATGGGGTATCGGATCAGGACTTCAGATTTATCTCGGACTCCGGCGTCTGCGAAGATACTACATCTTGAGAAAGGCGCGTGGGTCATCTTCTGAAAACTGCCCTACAGGACGAGTACCGACTAAACTTCACGAATACTCTTGCTCGACGTCCGATTGCCGCCAAAGACAGAACAAGGGCAAGGTCGTCCCTAATTTCACGGTTAACACTCTGTAGAGAGAGGAAGAATAGTCTCATTGGATCGTTTACCCGTATCCATTAGGATAAGCATTTGGGCACTCTCCAAGGGCGAAACATACCGGTATTTGGGCATGTACAAAATATAGGTATTGACGTTGCGGTCTTCAAACAGGCTGCATGCGACGTGTTTTATGAACGTCTGACAAAAGTGTGTAAGAGCCTTTTGTCGGATGTAAACAAGACACGGGCGTTTAGCGGCTGGCTGATGCCCGTTCTTATGTGTACCTTCGGCGTGCTCGGGTGGACTCAGACCGAACTAAACGCCCTGGATAGAAAAATTGGCGCAATTGGAATCGCCTCTCGACCGTAGAATGCCAGCAGACGTCAATGTCGTTACCATCGAAACAGAACTAATATTAATTTTGCGATAGAAATAGGTAAGATGGACATATCAGAGCACGCCATAGCAGTTGATCACACGTTAGTTCATGCTAGTAATTAGGCAAGGTAAAATGTGCTAGGCTTACCCGTCTAGAATTGTCAGTAAGTATTAAAGATAAAGCAACAGAGAGTGCTCACTACATTAAGGTCACGAAAAAAAGCCTAGACCATGACATTCAAAGTTTTATCATTTAATTTTATGTTTGATTTTCAGGTAATTCAGAGTAAAAGAGAAGAGTTTCACATGGAGAAGATTTCTAAAGATCTAGAAGTGGATACTCATTATGGTAGGTACAGTATATACAATTTACAAAACAATTTAACAATTTTTTTACACAAAGTCGAAAATTGAGTGAAATATTTTTGAAGTACGTAAACTTATACAGATTTTAACGTTGGTATTCATGAGATTGTTTTCAGTATACAATGGAATGCGTAATATAAATTTCAACATCATTTCTTGAACGTCATAAGGCAAAGAACTTGAAAATTATTCTCCTCCTCCTCCGTGCGTCGTATTCCTCAGTTCTGAGGGTCGTGACCTTTACTGAGCACTTTTGTCAGGACTTTGTTCTTCCGTTCACTTCTGTCCTCCGCGCAGTGGATAGCGACATTGATGCTGGATTCCAAAGTCGTCCTAATCTGATCGGACCAGCGCATGGGACTACGCCCCCTAGGCCTCTTTCCTTCCACTTTGCCGCTGATGAGAAGTCTTTCGAGATTGTCACCCTTTCTTCTCGCAACGTGACCGAAAAACTCTAGGATCCTACGTAGGCAAATGGTGGAGAGTCTTAAGGAGACGCCTAGTTCTTCCAGGATTGATGCGTTTGTCCGATGCGCCGTCCAGGGACGCGCGAAAATTATTCTAAATTAAATATATTCATGGAAATGCCAAAACTATTCTACCCGTGAGGCCTTACAATACGATACACCACCAGTAAATATAGGCTGGTGACGGCAGTACGCTGGTTTGATAATTAAAAAACACTGTGTGCTTAAGCAAACAGAGGCATTCACAGTGAGCTGTCTATTAGTGCCAGATCAGATTTGAATTTAATCATCTTAGATAGTAAAAAATCAATTTCCTCTTCTCCGAGATTTAGGGTCACACAAAAGTAAGACATTCCTGGATCTTCTGATTACGTTTTCTGGAGACGAAAAAGGTTATACTAATGTCGAACTACGAGAAGAAATGCTAACATTGACAGTGGCGGGCACAGACACATCAGCAGTCGGTATTGGATTCACACTGGAGCTTTTAGCTAAATACCCTAAAATACAGGAAAACATTTTCCAAGAGTAAGAAAGATACTGTAACTTATCTTCTTCTTTGTATTTAGATACACGTTTTTTTTTAAATATTCATACGTCTGTTTAAGTGGTCAAACTGACTATATTATATCTGTGTATCTGCTATTTTATCCTTTAAGCCACCAGAGCTTTGTATTTACTTTTGCTATAGTACTATAAATAAATTTCGCTGAAGTATCTAAATATTATAAACTAAAATTGAAACGGCTCACACCGGATTGCCAGCATTACAGCGGCTACGACGAGCACACGGCGGGGCACGAGGTAGAGCTCTTCTTCCCTCTCGTACTCGTCGCCACCCAGTCGGGGGTCGGACGGGGGCGTTCGTCCAGCTCCAGCCAGTTTCTTCCCGGCAATTGTAACGGGGCGACAGTTTGTGTTGCTGTCGTCGCGGTCGACGCTGAACGGAGTGTGGAAGAGCAACCCGGTCGGCGGTATATCGCGTTCCGACCCGGTAGGATGGTTCTGATCCAGCGGATCAGTTAGTTGTAGCGTTGACCGCGGGAGTCGTGCTGCTTTGCCCCGGTTTCGACCTCGGGCGATGATCGATAAGGGGAGTCGTTTAGTGGTTTAGGCCCTAAAAGTGCCCTTGGGCCCACAGTCTGCTCCCGTCCTCGGCAAACCGTCAAGTCCTATTATATTTCGAATTAAGGGATAAAACAGCACTTACTCTTATAGGGCAATGCGAATATATAAATAGCCACCATGCCTGCTTGCCGCGAAGCATTAATACGTTCCGGTTTGAAAAGTAGTCCTCGTATTATGCAATTGAGTAGATCTTACATTAAGTGTCAAGGTGATATCATCACGTCAATGCCATGATGATCATTGAATAAAAGAGCTCTAATTGAAGCAACAAAAAAACTTATTTGTAGTTGAGTTAAAGAAACACATACATACATACATACATACAACGGTAAATTAATAATTTTTTTTTAGATTGTACGGAATTTTCGGCGGTTCGGAACGTGCCTTAGTTAAAGAAGATTTAGAAAAGATGAAATATTTGGAAAGAGTCGTGAAGGAATCTCTCAGATTATTTCCTCCAGTTCCGTTTATCATAAGAAAAGTTTTAGAGGATACGAGACTGCGTAAGTAGTCAAGCGTTGTTCTTTCATCAATAGCTATTTGCGGTGGTACGGCAAAGCGCATCTTTTTCTTTAAACTTGAGGAGGGCAAACGTAAGCATGGCGGACATCTTCAGGTACAAAGATATGCTTAAGTGTCTCATGAAGAAGTGCGACATTGAGCCTTTTGAGTGGGACTAAACAGCTGCTCGGCGACCAGAATCGAAGAGTAAAAAACAACTATTATAATGGTGTGCCAACCTGTCCGCATTGTGCACAGAGGCTTAGGAATAAGATCGGCTATGTTAGCCACAGACGAGCACACCGTGACAATTACGGACGGAGTCAAGACGGAGACGGAGATAAAAACGGATCTGAAATGATCTCCGGGGCCGAAATCGGCAAAGGAGGAGCTTTATTATTTGCAGTGGTAATTTAGAATACTAAACGGCAAACTAGAATTAACATCAAATCAACTGTCCGGTGCATTCGTATCTAGCGATGCACTGGTGTTCGAATCCCGCAGGCGGGTACCAATTTTTCTAATGAAATACGTACTCAACAAATGTTCACGATTGACTTCCAAGGTGAAGGAATAACATCGTGTAGTAAAAATCAAACCCGCAAAATTATAATTTGCGTAATTACTGGTGGTAGGACCTCTTGTGAGTCCGCACGGGTAGGTACCGCCGCCCCTCCTGTTTCTGCCGTGAAGTAGTAATGCTTTTCGGTTTAAAGGGTGGGGCAGCCGTTGTAACTATACTGAGACCTTAGAACTTATATCTCACAAGGTGTGTGGTGCATTTACGTTGTAGATGTCTATGGGCTCCAGTAACCACTTAACACCAGGTGAGCTGTGTGCTTGTTCACATACATAAGCAATAAAAAAAAAACATCGTGTGAATACCTCACATTTTTTCCTATTTTAAATTTCAGTATTTTGTTGTTACGATAACTTTGATTGAAATAACACTTGGACTGTGTGTTCTGTGTACATATTAAGACTTTTTCCTTCGGATTTTTTATTTTTTATTTTTTATTTTTTTTTATTGCTTAGATGAGTGGACGAGCTCACAGCCCACCTGGTGTTACCCACGTGGCCCACGACTTCTAAAATTTCAAGGTTTTCACAAATGACAGTTGACTTTAGATCCAGACAGGGTGCAGACGTTTCTGAACCAAAAAAAGAGGGCACTTCGAATGTAATCCGAGATAATTTGAAGGAATGTGGTGTTTTTTTTTATTGCTCTTGTAGGCAGACGAGCATATGGCTCACCTGGTGGTGAGTTTGTACCGTCGCCCATGGACTTCAGCAATGTCAGGGGCAGAGCCAAGCCACTGCCTACCGTTAAGTACTCTCCACAAGCTTCGTTTAAAGATGGATATGTCATAGCGTTTGGGAAACACCGTGGGGGGAGCTCATTCCAAAACCAGATGCTACGTGGCAAAAAAGACCTCGAAGACCGGAAGCGCACTGTTGATGAACGCAGTGGCTCCAGGTAGTATGGATGAACTCTACTTTGGTGGCGGGCGGTGCGATAGTAAAAACGAGATGATGGTATCATCTCAAACAATTCCTCAGAGCACTCTTCATGGAATATACGGTACTAAATACAGAGGGAACCGAAGTCCCTCCGCAGACCCAGAGGTCCCAAACGATCCGTGAGAATGGGATTATCGACAATCCGAACGGCTCTCTTCTGTATGGAGTCAAATGGAAGAATCTGGTATTTGGGAGCCCCGGCCCAGAGATGGGAGCAGTACTCCACGCGAGGCCGGACTTGTGCTTTATAAAGCAAAAGTCTTTTGTCCAGGCGTAAAGTACCGCTTGGCTCTGTTGAGGACTCCCAGCATTTTGGAAGCCAACTTGGCTTTGCCTTCCAAATGACTCCGAAATTAAACATCGCTCGAAATGTCGACCCCAAGTATCCCAATAATCTCTGAAGGTTGCAGGGATATTCCTTGGAATTGCAGCGCCATGACAATGGGGTCCTTCTTCGCAGTGAACGCGCAAACTTGTGTCTTCAACAGGTTGAATTGAACTTGTCTCAGAGAGTTTTCCACTTCCGACACAAGTTTCGATCGTCTCTCTTGCACCACGCTTCGAGAGAGACTCTGATGCCCAATATATCGCGCATCCCCCGTGCTATCATCCACATAGCAATGCATGCCATCAATAGACAGCATGTCATTGATATACAGGATGAAAAGCATGAAGTAGAGCACTGAACCTTGAGGAATGCCAACGTTAATGGTCATGGTATTAGAGCAGTCACCGCTTAGAACCACTGTGATGCTTCACCCACCCAAAAAGCTAGCGATCCACTTGCAGAGTCCTTTGGGGATTCCGTAAGACGGTAGCTTCGACAGAAGTGCCCTATGCCAGACCCTGTCGAAAGCCTTCCCGATATCAAGGCTCACAGCAAGAGCCTCGCCCTTGCTCTCCAAGGAAACCGTACTGTCGGTCACTGATTATTCGCTCCATCACCTTTGAAAGCAAGGAAGATATCGCCTGGTGGCTACAGCTCCACCGGCGCGATCTACCACGGTCTCTAACACTAGGAGCAGGCTTATGACAAAGAGTTAACGTGCAACCTAATCTATACATCAGCCCGCTGAGTTCTTTGCGGGATCTTCTCAGGGGGTCGCGATTCCGATTCAGTAGTAGATTCATTCGCGAAGTAATTGCTCTTGAGTTATTAGGTCTCTTTCGGAGGCGCTTGGGCAGCTGTTAGAAAATCCCACCCCTCCTGGCTGAGCTTTTGCTCGCCCATCTGCCCTGGTGAAACTGGAAAGACCTCCGGGCCATCACTAATCCTTTCTTCATTAAAAACATCACATTATATCTAAGCATCTTTGTAAGTAGCTATGGTAGGTCACTAATTGTTTCTCCTAAATAAATTTGAGGTTGTAATAAAACAGTTTTATGTAATAGTCACTAATAATACTGTTTTTCTGTTATTTTAAGCATCTGGTAACGTTTTGCCTGCCGGTTCAGGTATATTCGTTTCTATCTGGGGAATTCATAGAGACCCAAAGTACTGGGGTCCAGAGGCGGAACACTTCGATCCAGACAGGTTTCTACCGCAGCGTTTTAATGTCGAGCACCCGTGCTGCTACATGCCGTTCAGTAGCGGCCCCAGGAATTGTTTGGGTGAGTACTGTGTCCATACCACGACCAAATATCTACGAGCCTAGAGCCATATATTCGAGGTCGACCTTCCCTTTTTTACAGGATAAACTGTTGAAATTGTTTGCTATTGTATGTTGACAGCTATTTACGATTGGATGAACTTACTGTTTCCCTTCAATTACTTTTTTGTAATAAATAGTTTTGAACTTAATATTGCTCGTATGAAGCGACAACGCGTTAATTGGTTCGTTTTATATTTTCGCAGGTTATCAATATGCAATGATTTCGATGAAGACTTCTTTATCTGCGATATTACGTAGATACAAGGTAGTGGGTGAACCGGAGAAAGGTCCTGTTCCTCGAATCAGGGTAAAACTGGACATCATGATGAAGTCAGTGGACGGATGCCATAACATAATTTGGTCGGCCTTCTCTCCAAAGCCACCTGCTTTGGAGAGAAGGCCGACCAAATTATGTTAAAGAGAAAATTTGTTGCTGATATCGTCTTCTCGCATTAAAACTGTATAATCTCAAAGCTTACTAATTTTACAGGAGAGTATTTTAAAGGTTTAACATGTGATATTTTTAATATTAAACATCTTTAAAACATTAATTTTTAATTTTTTAACCAGTTACATTATCAGTATTTTAAAGTAAGATAAAATTATGTATTAATTTTGTTAATAGTAGTAAAATATAGATTAACTAAAAAATAAATAAACTAAAAGTAAACTACGCTCTTTGACAGTATTTATGAAAAAAATACTGGTGATACCAAATTATTCCGCATATTAACTCAATTTCGAATATTTTTGGAATTTCTACACTTTTAATGCGAAAAGACGATATTTCAAATAGAACATTTCATGTTTGAAATATTATATTACATTCATTGAATCGGTTTGTGCGCCACTTATTCATCCTTACAGGCATTATGTCAGATATATTCAAACACTCTCAGAATTTTGAGTTTGATGTTCAACCTAACCCATACACATAAACCACTGCGTTTCTCGCCGGATCTTCTCCTATGGGTCGCGATTTCAATCCGGTGGTAGCGAAGCAATGCTCTTGCTAGGGCTTATGTTAGTAAGTTTTCCTGGGTTGAGCTCCGTGAGCTCAGCTACCAACCCCCTTAGGCTCCCACCAATCAAGTAGGAAAAAACTCTTAGAAAATATGCCTTTGTGATTCATAAAAAAAGCGTTCATTATAAACCGAGTATATCACGTTGGAATGCTGATATCACGAAGCATTTGAATTATACAAGAATGATATATGGAAGCATCCAGTTTTATATTACTAATCCTCCCACAAAACAAAGTAACATAAACTAAAATCCCATTACCATACCCAATTCCATTCTAACTCCTAGTTATTATGTGGCCCAGTGTTAATATAGCATTTCCTGTGTAGGTGACATTTTCTTTATCTACAATCTTCAAACCCCTGCTTGTACAATTTCTTTGCTTCTTATCGTAGAGTACGAGAGATGCAATTAAATATGCTTTAGTGAGTTTTCTGTTACAATCGAACGATCACAGATGGTTTTGTATTTTTGTTTTGTTCGTCTTGTCATATTGTTTGCCTTGTCGTATATGTATTTGCTAATTTAGATAACTTTTTTATGATATCAAACCATAGGGTCTGGGCATATACCTTTATGCATCATTCCGATAGAGGCACCCGTCACGTGCGGACGTGCCCATCGACCACTCGATCGCCCGGCCTTTGTTCGCCCGGCTTTTGTTAGCCCGGCCATTGTTCGCGCGGCCTGTGTTCGTGGTACATCTGCCGACCAAGTGTTTTTTCTTGGAAGTTTTTATTTGTTTTGTTTCCTTTCGTTATTTCTGTGTTCGTGGTACATCTGCCGACAAACTGCTTTCCTGGAAGTGTTTAATTGTTTTGTTTCTTTTTGTTATTTCCGTTTTGTTGTGTTTTTTTTTCTTTGTCCTGTAGTAATCGTGCCGCATCGCCATCTGTGTTCAATAGAACCGCTCAGGTCCGAGAAGTTGGGGCCTCGCCGCAAGGCGAGTGTCTTCAAGACCCGGGGCCGCCCCACCTGGGCACTCAGCGATCATGGACGCTGTGTTCGCGGAATTCCTCCGACTTCGTCATCCACAGCTCGCCTCAGAGTTTCTGGCTTTCAAGGCCAATCACACTGCGAGCTCTCTCGAAGACTCCGCCGTGCTCGCTGCTCCTGCGTCGCCTGTACCTGCGTGCAAAGCTTCTACATCGAGCACCGCAACCTCCGTCGTGCCTGCCGTTCCCGCGTCGCCTATACTGGCGAGTAAAACTGCTGCGTCGTCCGCCGTGGCCACCGTTCCAGCTGTGCGATCATCCGCGGCCTCCGTCGCGCCCTCCAAAACACCTGCTCGTAGGTCACCGGCGCCCGCCTCCTCGTCCTCCGACTCTGACTCGGAGATGGAGGTCGACCTCGCCCCCGCCTCATCGACGGATGGATTTACCCTGGTACAAAAGGGTAAGAAGCGTGCCGCGGAGTCTCGAGCTCCCGCGGCCGCTAAAATTAGCAAAGCCGCGAACGCGTCGCGCCCCCGCCCCCAGACTCCCGTTGCGCCTCCAGCCCGTGCCAGTCCGTCGCCGCGTCC